AGTCACTCTGACCTAGCTCAAACCAAAGGTCAACAGAACAAGTCACTCTGACCTTATACCAAAGGTCAGCAGAACAAGTCACTCTGACCTTATACCAAAGGTCAGCAGAACAAGTCACTCTGACCTTATGCCCAAGGTCAACAGAACAAGTCACTCTGACCTAGCTCAAACCAAAGGTCAACAGAACAAGTCACTCTGACCTGATGCCAAAGGTCAACAGAACAAGTCACTCTGACCTAGCTCAAACCAAAGGTCTGCAGAACAAGTCACTCTGACCTAGCTCAAACCAAAGGTCAACAGAACAAGTCACTCTGACCTTATACCAAAGGTCATCGAACAAGTCACTCTGACCTTATGATAAAGGTCAGAAGGACAGGTCACTCTGGCCTTATTCCAAAAGTTAATAGGGAAATTCAATTTAATTTAACATTATCTTTTCAAAGGTAAAAAAAATAAGTTGTTCTGGCCATCCTATATTTAAGGTCACTGACCTTTTAACAAAGTTCAAACACCAAAACAAACACCAGATGATTCATAGAATTTGGATATAACCATTCTTCATGTGCTACCTGTTCAAACAGAGTTTTGTGAATTTTTTGTCTGGTTTAGACATATATGCCTAAGAAAATAAAAAATGAAAACAATGTTGAAGTTGTCAGGGCTTTCAGTACTTGATTATGCAATCATCATTTCAATGTAAAATAGCTTTCATTTTATTGCATGAAAATGATGCTCATGTGAACTTTTGGTGTCATTATCATTGTCCTGTTTCCTGAATATCTACAATAAATATTTGATCAAATGCAATTATCCATATAATTTAAGACTTAAAAGAAAATAAAACTTTCTAAAAAACCGTAAGTTTATTTGAAAGTGACATTGGGCTAAGATAAAAATTAGTTATTAACAGAATTATTGACTTATACGAAGATTACAGGGCAATTATAATTGATGCCTGACAAGTTTCAAAATACTTGTATACAGTATATCAGTTACACAACGGTACAGGTGTATTTTCATAAATCAATTTTGTAGTTATTTTTGACATGTATTTAACCAGAAGGCAGGTAATCAATTGATTTATGTGTCAGGTGTTTAGGCTGACAGCAACTAACCATGTAAGGTTTAATCCAAACACAATTTACAAGATCATGCAATGTCATATATTTTAAAGAAACATTGTAATTATGAATTCATTAATGATTATGCAAGATGTGGAATTATTCCAGTGAAATTCCAAACTATTGCTGTGATTTTTTAACCTATTGATAGCCAAAACAGGGTCAAAAATGAATGAAACAATGAAAGATTTATCAGTTTTAAGGAAAAGATTGCAATATATTTCAAATCCACACAAGCACTGACTGCTAGATGCTTGAGGACAAATAATTATGTTATAGATGTAATGTTGCCGTTAAGACTGAGTTTAAAATCACAAAGTTTAATATCATCATGATTTTTTACATCTTGCTTGAAGTTCCTATTCAGTTAATGTAATAGATCCCTTCAAAAAAAAATCACTTAAATGGAAATTTAACAAAGGAAGACATGGATGGTAAATTATTTCAGCTGTACTTCTAAAATTTTCTAAAAAAAATATACTTCCTCTTATGAAATGTTAAAGGTAATATCAAAAGCACGTAGTGTGATATTGGTGGTTCTATAACATCATTACGGCCTCAAAACTGTTTTAAAGCCAATAATTAAAAAATAAAATCAATGTTCCTATCACATTCACATACAAACAGAGTGGACATTACCAGCTGATGAAAGTTAATAGGACTATAAAAAGCTGTTAATGTTTCAGGACTTGACATCAACATTCCAGTAAATGCACCCTTTATAACCAACTTTTATAAATTCACATTCAGATCCGAGACATGATAAACTTAATCCGGACTTTTAAATCCATTCCTTGACATTCCAAAGTTACCTGGGATGAATAATCACCCAAATATTCTTAAAGGTGTGATGTTAAACTAACTAGGCTTGAAAACTCAAATTAGATAAAGGCCTTTCATGTCGTACTAGTTTAATTTTAAATTTTCATTTTAGAATCCTTACAAAATATTCTGATTGATTAAGCATTTATGTTAGAATTGCTTCTAGAGAATTCACACATCTTAACTTTGGGCAATGCTGATTGAAATTCACCTATATGATCCAACTTATATATAATGTTTATATATATTTGTACTATATTTTTTTTTAAACAATAAGCTTATGCCTGTTGATAAGCACAATTATATCACATTTCCCACAGAGGAACCAGTGTAAGCCCACCCTACTACTTTGAATTAGTGGCAAATAGAATCTTTCACCCTCTTTGGAGTGATTGAGATAGGGGGATCTCAACCCCAGGGGAAAGATTATTATAGTGGAAAACACCATGTTGAATGGTTTCAGTTTGATAATATTACTGGGATGAGATCAGTCTATCTCAATAATAGGAGGAGGTGAATGATTATTTGTTGTAGTTATCCCATTGCTTTTCATTGTTAATGTCATGTTTTGATTTAAAAGGGAAACCCTCATATTTTTCAACCCCAGGGGGAGACAATTCAGAGATAAAATTTATATCACACTTCTTTAAAGTGTGGATACACCAGTTTAAGGCAAGAGATTGACCTTTCATCCACTTGGAGGTGAGATAAGGGATTTTAACAAAAGGGAAAGATACATGTATGATAAACACCAGGTTGGCTCAGTGTTTGCAACTTACGTCCCTGTGGGTTGAGATCCCTTGTCTCACCTTTAGGGGGGTGAAATATTCTTTCTTCTTACCCTGGTGGCCTTTCTTTCATCATGACATGGTTATGACATCATAGAGATATGAAAGGGAAATCACCCATCTTAACCTCCCAAGGAAGAAATCTCGGAAAGAGTTCCTTTTGAACCCCCTACCCAAAATGACCAGTAGGCTATAATAAGTATCTAAAAGGGTTATTTTAAGGGGTACCAAGAAAAATTGGGGCATGGTCTTAAAATCAACCCTTTCAGACACTTGTATCATATTTACCAGGTATAATAACCCATTGGTAGCCTCTTTGGGTAGGGGGTTCAAAAGGAACTCTTACCGAAATCTCACGGGTAGAAAACTTGTATAGATCTTCCCTGAGTAATAGAAAATATATTGGCTCCTGGTGGACTTCTTTCAGTATAAAATCATTTATTGTATAAACTCCTTTTAATAAAATGAGATTGTCAGCATCAGATAAACTCAGATACTACAACACAGACATGTAAATATGTGTAATCCTCGTGAGTTGAAACATTGATTTATTGTTCGGAACCAGACCATTAAAGAAAATGAGTATTGTTTAAGAAGTGTGTGGATGTGATCTATTGGAATTTGCAGTCCTTGTTTTAATACGTTGAATCAAAACTAGGTCAGGAAATGTTGCATGTTGTGTCCTGGAGTAGTGTCAATCATTTCTGTTTGTGGTGGAGATCAATATCATTCCATTCACTATGAGTGCCTGAGAAAACCTATAACCTTAAATGTCCATAAACATGTCAGTTTAACATGATATTGAAATAATGGAACAAAGAGATACAGACAAGTTATTGCTATTTTTATTGTATGTCAGTTCTGGGGCAGGTGAGCACAAAAAAAATGTTCATTTCAATCTTGATTTTTCTGAACAGATGATGGTAAAAGTGAGCTCAATTTTGATTGAACTTATTATTATCATTAAAATTTTATGATACTGAAGGGCATGTGTCATTTGTACACACATTAAAGAAATTCAGTCTAATTTTGACTTTTCATGGGGTTCAAATTTCATGGTTTTTCAAAATTCATTATTTCATGAACATTTCATTTGAAAAAATAATTTTATATAGCATATTCTGCAATAATGATTATGTAATGCTTCTATCCATTGGATAATTTTCATCCCCAATATACTGGATTCTGATTAAAAGCCCAAAGATGGCCGCCATCTTTCTGGTTGAGGCAGGTTATTGGCATATAATTGACACTGAAGAAATTTATATTACGATGATGATAATCTTTGTGATATGTTTCAATTTACTTTTTGTCACTTTAAGTGACTTTGTCAGTAATATCAGAATGTTGATAAAGACGATACACTGTGCTTATTGGGTACAGTAGGTGATATTCTCAATCCAGGAATCAACTTCAGTTATAATTGTATCACATCTAAGTAAATCATGTTACATGGTATTGTCTCCTGTTTTCACTTGGTAATACTACAGAGAATAATACATAAATCCCAATCTCCATTTGAAAGAAACGCACTGAAAAGTTTAGACGGTCTCCCATCATGATCTCTTGTTGATGCCTCTCCTTGACGTCCGTTGTTTTATCAGTCTACTTTAGTGAACAAATACCTTTACCATTCAGAGATAAATTGACGAATTTCAAGTTTTGTGCACCAGGAATCCATATATAAAAACAATTTAGGCAATGGTTGGTTGACAGGTTTTTCCTCTCCAAGACTCCTCTCCTGTCTGGGTATGTCAGAGTTCTGATGACTCAGTTGGATGGAACGGTCTGTAGCGGTGAACGTTTCATAATACTAGTTTTAGAAGATGGCTCTAGGGCTTAATAGTGCCTTATCTTAACTCATCAATGTGTTTCGATTGGCTTTTAATGTGAAGGACCATTTTGAAAAAAATTGTACTAGTCTTGTGTTTTGTTAAATTTCATTGATATTGCAATAATTACATGGTTTTTAGACTTAAATTATTTTAGAATGGAAGTCATGGTAATGCTTGATTGTATACATATCCTGGAGAATAGGTCATGAAATTGTCGTTTTAACATGAGCCCCAAACCACTTATATTAACTGTTGTTAGGACAGACCTTTTAGCAAATGGAGATGTAACACAAAATATAAGTATTATCTAACTACTATTGTCTTGTATTACAGATTATCTGAAATAGATGTTGAGGAATTAGGATTCAGCTGCAGGAAAATGACACAAAGTAACATGGAGTACGGTTGACAGTGTAGTGTGAGAATAAGTTAAAATGTCTACAGCTGTACATGGTGAGGATGGCAAGGGGCCCTTCCAACATCTCCATCGGAAAGGCCCCCGGGATAGAACTTATTTCCAATCCGGTGAAAAGGTTAAATTGTGGAGCAGGGAAAGTAGACATGGTGTTTCATTTCAGAACAGAAACAACCGCCATCTTGATCGTCAAGGGAAACACAAACACACAAGTAAAGTCAGACGAACTTTGGCGTTTGATAGTGATGATGATGAGGATGATCAAGGTACTGATTTCAGGAATGGAGGCTTAGATTTCACAGACAAAATTGCAGCATTAAGATCACTAATTATACCTATGAAAGATCCTGTTTCTATTTTAAAATCCAAACGTAATGTTGACCAGCCCACAGATGAACGAATATCAAAAATCAATTCCAATACTTTTACTGTGGACAGCAAAAAAGATATGGACGTCAAAGTTTCTAAGAAAGAAGATGATACTGCCAGGGCAAAACGGTCACTTCTGAGTCGTAAAGTAGACAAGGAGCTATCTCGCATGTCTTATATAAATTACCAGGCTCATGTACATATGATGGAGAATAACATTGAGCACCACCCAAAGGATGGACGACAAACCCCTCAACGTGATATTCAAAATCTTGTCAACAAAAACACGTCAGTGTCAAATATTCTCGATGATTATATAGAACGTCATGACAGGAAGAAACGCTGTCAAAATTTCTCTGAAGGGTTGGAGACTATTGTTCAAACGGAGGAAGATGACCGAATTGTAAAATCGTCTTCATGGAAAGCAAACAAACACACCAACAGTTGTAATGTTGATGAAGTTGAAATGAAAATGAAAAAGAAGGATGGGATCAGGGAGTCTAATTTTCATGGAAAATTTGATCCAATACAAAATGGTGACCATATTGATCACAGTAAAAATAAATTGAAGCCTAGTCAAGTCGCACAGACAAATGTCTCCTTAGGAAGTGATCCGCTCAGCGATGTGGCATCATTGCTCAACAAAGATGGCGGATATCGTGGATTGAAAAATGTTCAAAGTAATGTTCCACATTACCCTCCAGCTTCGTCCTCACAAGATAACGAATCGGGTCAAAGAACAATGGGTCATGTGACTAAACAGCAAAAATTGAGTCCACGCGTGCCAAAAGCAGATACCAATGTTGAAAATTTTGATGGCGCATTCAATGAAAAAAATAAATTTGGATCTAGTCCGGTAGTAGAAACCAAATATCAAACAAATGTGCAGAGTTATACAGGCTCTTTTCAAACAGGAAAGAGTTACAATTACGGGGAGAGAACTCCAAGATCAAAATATTCTCCTGAAAAGGAATTTACTAATCCTACTAAAAAATTGAAATCTGGAGGGCAACATATCAATGGTGAAAGTTTGAAGAGTAAACGCTACCAACAAAAAGGTGACTCACTGCACAGGAACCGGGATCATTCGATGTCAGACTCTTCTAAAGAAAACATACCTGATTCTGATTTTGACAGCGATGACTACGATAATCAACAAAATGTGGACATTTGCAGCCATGGAAATATACGAAACGAGAAAAATTATTGGAAAGACAGAAATAAATCTAGAAATTTCCGCGTGAAAAATAATCGTAGGAAACAGGAGAAGCAGGCCAAAGATCATGATCATTACAATGGACTCTCGGATGAAAGTTTACAGATAATACCAGAAAAGGATATACCTGTTCCGCCAAGAAATCCCACTCAGGTTTCCAGAACAACTTTACAACCTTCTTCCAAAAAATACCAAGATGCCCCAGAATCAAAGTAAGTGTAACAATTTGTAAGGAGGGTTTCCAATATGTGATAAAAATACAGTGGAATCGATCTAAACCAGACACCTTTGGTATCGAATAATTTGGTCGGTTGTAGAGAGTTCCGGATTGCAGAGAGTCCATTGTTATAATATTGTTGGAATCAGGACTTAATTCTTTGACCAGATTAGGCAGATATCTGGATGGCAAAGAGTCCACTGTACATGTATTTCACCAAATTAAGCAGATATCTGGATGGTTAAAAGTCCACTGTACATGTATTTCACCAGATTAGGCAGATATCTGGATGGCAAAGAGTCCACTGTACATGTATTTCACCAGATTAGGCAGATATCTGGATGGTTAAGAGTCCACTGTACATGTATTTCACCAGATTAGGCAGATATCTGGATGGCAAAGAGTCCACTGTACATGTATTTCACCAGATTAGGCATATATCTGGATGGTTAAGAGTCCACTGTACATGTATTTCACCAGATTAGGCAGATATCTGGATGGCAAAGAGTCCACTGTACATGTATTTCTTCTGAATTTTTTTTTTATTTAATACCATATTTAATTTATAGTAATGGCACTTAATGTGATCGATGAATTAGGAGTCTTGAATCAGGCAAGTTTGAAAAATAAGTATACTTTCGTCAATAATGGAGAAATTATGAGGTGGGCTGAAATTTGATGTCAAAGCAGAAATATACATTTTATTATCTAGAGGCAAATAAACACAAATTGAAAATGAATTAACAGTTTGGTAAGAGAGTAAAAATAACCTTCTGTGAATGTTTTCCAGTCTACAATAATAAAATCAAATTATGGCTTTGCAGTAAGGGGTAAAACTAGTTAAAGGTCAAGGTCAAGATGACTGGTTCTGAAAATTTAAGTAATTTACATCCCTTGTTTATTCCAATGAACATCCTGGGGATGTGAAATAGAGGAAGCACGTATGACATCAATTTGGAACTGACTTTTAAGCCTCCGTTATCAATTTTATTAGTAAATTGTTATTTTGATTTAATTGCCTGGAGAATTATTTTGTTTTGGAATTACAAGTTATATATACAATATAAAAAACACACAAAAAAAGGGGAGGTAAGCGGAAATAGATATGGTTGGTCAGTTTTCTAGCTGGTTTTTCTTTCATGTACAAGTATTTCATATGTACATATATCTGTGTTGCAGGGTTTCTGACACCAGTCTGTCAGGATCAGTATGGTCTTCTGGCAGTCAGTCCAGTGTGATTCAGGCCGCAGAACTCATAAAGAGGCTCTATAGTGCTGATGCACACACTCGAGAGGAGCTCATATTAAAGGTATCTTTACAGTATTTGTGTTCCTGAATGTTTAAAAGAAAAAAAAAGAGTTTGTTTTTTTTACTATTGTCACTATCTTTACATTAAGACATGTGCAAGAAGGAATTACATGATATTTACAAAAGAAATTCTTGGACTTCAATATTTAAGAATATGACATGGCTAAGATTTATGCTAAATTATTGCCGATAGTGAAATAAACTTGCTATATAGTTTATTGATCTTGATAAACGCATTGTCAAGGACAAAGAATTTTGGATTGACATTTTACACAATGCAAGGATGTTTCCAACTGTGCAGACATTTAAAGCATCAGATGAATATGAAACTGATATCAGAGCAAAATGGAAATAAATGTTACATTTGTGTTTGTAGGTATATATTCAGTAGAAAATTTATCTCAAAACGTTAATTTATTCTATATTGAAGGCTCGTTTTTTCCGGCGATGGTTAAAGCTTGTTCGACGTCGCAAGAAAGGATTCCATGCAAATCACAGTGTAGAAGAGACGGATGAGGGCCTTCATAAAACAAGTCACAGAGGTTTCAAACATCATAGTACATCCAAAAAGTATATGGACTCCTCTTTCACAGAAAATGTCATTCACCAAAAACAGAAGTCAACCAACATGTCCACGCCTGTTGTTAAGTCAGCCGAGCATTTCCAGGGCACCACACGTGGTGGTTATAAGACAGGAAATGGAGAATATCAAGCAGCGACTGGTAATGTGAATCAAAAGTTATTCAATGGTACAGAGTTCAAGGTTGTAGACAAAGACAAGGTCACAAGCAAGGTCAATATTGAAATAGATGGAGATGATCGCAGTCTCGCTCATACACGTTTACTTCATATAGAAAATTTCTTGGAAGATGCCCTACAGGAGTGGCAAAAGAATTCAGCAGACAACGATGCTCTGAATGATATCGTTGATTTGAAATCTGGACTAAACAACAAAGATGTTTGCCCAGAATCGGAAGAAAAAATCTACTCAAATATCTCTACAAAGCTGTGTTCTGATCCACAGAGGAAAAATTCTTTCAGCAGTAGAGATGACAAATTCAAAAAGAGGAAAAGGAATAGTTCTTTAGATAGACTGTTAAAATCTGACGATAACTCGGTAAAGTCTGACAAAGACAAGAGGAGAGAATCTCGTGATCAGAGACAGAACAACTGTGTCATGGATCTACGTGTTAGTGACCATGCTTCAGTAGCTAGTGGTGAGTTTGCTGTGGGTAATAGTCAACCTTCCAGTCGTCTCAGACAAGGTCTTGGGAGCAAATTTATCAAAATACAGAAAAAGAAACGAGATTCAGCAGGTTCACTTCCTGTACAGATGACAACTCCTTTGGACAGTGACCAACAGCTGCTGGACACGGCTAACTATGGCGTTTGTCTTCAGAGGTAAATTTGTCACTCACTCAAAGATACCCATGGTGCCTACCTTCACAAGTAAAATTGTACCTAAATGTCTCTATGCAAAGTTACCTGTGACACCTATCTTCAGAGGTAAATTTGTACTCCTAACTTCTTCTCTCAAAGATACCCATGGTGCCTACCTTCACAAGTAAAATTGTACCTAAATGTCTCTATGCAAAGTTACCTGTGACACCTATCTTCAGAGGTGAATTTATACCTGCAATATCTCTCCCTACACATTGTTGTTCAACTCATCTGTAACATTATGAATGGCTATTGAAAAATAAAACCTTAAAATCATGCTTAATACATTCAGACCAAACTCAGATTTTCTTGATCTTGAATGGAAGAATCTGTTCATACTCCAAATCTGTAGTTATTGATATTGAAGTTAGAAATAAGAACCTTTTTGTAAACACACAGGGCCGAGATCTTCCTACGAGATCGTCTTCTGAAGGTATACTTCAAGATTTGGAAAAATCTCACTATGGCGAAGTTGAAGGAAAGTCAAGCTGATGCTCTACATCGATACCACTCACTACGAAAGGGTATGAAAGCATTTTCTTGGGCAATCAGTCGTTCACGGATTCAAGTGGACATCCTCCAGGCACGAATGACAAGCATTGTACTAGCTGCTCGCTTCACACAGGTTAGTTCTACATGCTCACCTTTAATAACTCAGTTTCAAAACATTGATATAATGGAGGAACCGCATCTGGGAATTTTGGATGTTATGATACCTTCGCAAATTCAGTGATTTTGGTAGAAAGTGCCAAATGAACCAAACCAAAAATATTCATAAAATGAAGACAGATATGAAAGAAAATGTCAGAAGAACTTCAGAATAATTCAGACTAACCAATTTATGAAGACATCACTGTAATAGTGTCAACATTCCAGAATTATTCTGATTTGACAGTCAGGTCTGTCTAATGAAACACTTGTTTTATAAATAGTGACATGTGGGAAGTGTCGTTTATAGTGGTAGTATCCTTAAATAAAGATGTTTTACATCTGTTTATGATACACCTATATACCTGAACAATGATCAGAATGAGATTCAACACTCTGGTACACCTACAAATATCAGATAAGAAATTTAAGCAGAAATTAGAAACTAAAAAAAAAAACTAAATGATTAAATAAAAAACTTTGAGAAAAAAAAAAGAAATGAAAATTTTTTGTGCGCTTTTTAAAATCTCTGTTACAATTTTTCATGCAAAGAATGCAAATGACAGATTTTTGATGCCACTTAACTGTTCAGCAATTGAATAGAAATGTGTAAAGTCATCTGTGAAATAGTCACAACAATTTTCATCCCAGCAACATCCTTACATTACAAGTTCAGTCTGTGGGACAGTTAAGGTTTCATTCATTTTGCCCCTTATTGGATGCTAACATTATGTTATAAAGATGTGTTTGTTGCTCTGTCTAACGAGATCTATGTTAGGCCTAGGGATTGTCCAAATTTTAAACAGAATTAATCTTGCAGAGGAGAAGTACTAATTGATGAAGGAGTTACCAATAAGATGATCAACTGATAAACCCAAAATTTGACACAGCTTTCCGAAATAAAGAAAACACCACATTAAGACTAATTAAAGATGAACAACTGGGGATATCTAGTGCCAGAATTTGACTCAGTGATGATGAAAAACCATATTCAGACAAACCAAAATAATAGCACCCCATTTTGACAACAAAAAAAAAATAAAAAATTTCAGAGGTCTGTAACATCCCAATTTATGGTATATGTATAGTGAAAGGAATCCCTCTACTACTTTTGAAAATAAAGTGTAGACTTTGAGAAATTGTTAGCTTGTTAGGAATAGCAAGGTATATGAAAGCATGTTCAAGTATTTGAATATTAGTTTTTTCTTGATATTGCATAAATTTTCTCTAAGAAAAGATTTTTTTTTTAATTCTAAAAAATGTTTCGAATGTGTCAATTACTACAGCTCTCTAATTTACTGGTGAAAATGTTTGATATTCTAGTGGAAAAATTTAGCCATGAAGAACCGTCGGGAACGCCTGGAAAAATCCTTCAGTAGATGGCAGTGCTTTACCCTGGAATCACAAAAGTAAGTATATTAAAAGCTTCAAATCAACAGACTTCTTTTTTTAAGAATGACATGACTTCCTGATCTAGAATTGAATGTACTACCACCTGGACAAGCCACATTGAAGTTTGTATACCTACAAAAACACAAAACAAGAAAGGGGGAAAAAGCTGAAAAAGAATGTACCGGGTATTTATATTTTTGGCATATAGTAATGGATGCTTTTGGAATGTTGGTACATTATATAAGTATAATTTGAAAATAAAAAAAATTTGACTGAAAAAAATTTTGAATTTGAATTAAATGAAAGGAAAGGAGATAAAAAAAAAGAAATTTGGGATAAGTTTTAAATAACAGTATTTATTTCTAGGCATAAGAGAATTGTTTTGTTTCACATTTTGCCAAAATTACAATGAAATGGACATTTTTAGGAGATGTCAAAGACAAACATGTGTACTTGAGATGTAAGTAATAGATATATTGTTCCTGACTTCTTCACATGTGTCACAGAATTTTACCCAAATTCTTCACATTTGTCTGTGCCGTACTCCCAAATGTGAGTTATCTCCCCTACCTCATCTAACTGATGGATAAAAATTTTAATTAACTGAAAAAAAAATGGTCATCAAACATTTCATAAATATCTATCTGTTCTGACAATTTTCAAGATTTTTCCTTTTTAATCACTCATTTTATATTTCAGATTGTCATAATTTGTTTTTTTACGGAATATTACGACCTGATTTTGTTGTTTTCATCAGTTATCAACAACATGACAGAGTCAAACTAGATTTGAAATGAAAAATCCAGAAGTTATATAAAATTAGTCCTATTTAAGATAATGCATTTTTGAAAATACTTTTTTGTGTTATATAAAGGCAGTTACGTAGGCCATATTGATGAGAAGAGAAATATTTAGAGAACTTATGGTGTTACAACTCAAATACAGTTAATTAAACAGCACTGAATAGTAATAGATACATGGGCAAATATTTCATTGACAAACCACTTTTCACAAAATCTCAATGTTTTATTTGTTCCTGCAGCACAAACTTGTGATACCAGTGGTAACAACTTGCCCACCAATGTTTTCTTTTACATGTATATTTGTTCATGCTAATGTTTGGTGCTCAATTAACTCCAGATGTCTGTATATGAAAAGTTCTTTATCAAATCATGATTTTGAACTACATGTTTTATGAAATCATGTTTGCCATTGGCTACCACACTGATGCTTCTATCCTAATTTGGCATTGGTCAAAATAAGTGTTACAAGACATCTGATTGGCTGAGGTATATGGATTTTGATTTGAGATTTGATCTGTTATTGATGTGATTTCATGTTAATTTTCATGTTTCATCTCACATTTCCCATAGATTTTTCCATCCTAACTAATAATCATTAGTTAGTCATTTCATTACAAGATAAGCCAGTTTTTGGATTAAAGAGCAAATCTATAAAAATAAGCATTAAATACATGTATGTTGTTAATTAAATGAAATACCAGAAGTTTAAATGAATTATTATCAATTACAAGATTATGATGACTGTTCTTAAATTTTTTTTACATACTTTTCAAATCACAGAGGATGATAATTCTGTATCCATATTTTGCCTGATAGTTCAATATGTTAATAAGTATATGTGTAATTTTTTTCTAATTACTAAATTGAAATATGATAGAGATTGAATCAGATAAAATAAAAAAAATGGGAAAAAAAATAATGTATAGGCAAGGTTGATTGTCATTTATTTCTTTTACCAGAATATAAAGATACACCTGGTTATGTGTCTACTATTACATGATCATACAATAATGAATGACATAATTTGTGAAAAGAATATTTCTAAATTGACTTATTCTGAAATAATTGTTACTTACCCAGGTATTTGTTGCTTGAATATGTAAACAAATTATCAAATCATCAGAAATGTAAGTGTTTGGTCGAGATCAATAGAAAATAAACAAACAACTGTGAAAATGCTTTATTCTTCCATACCTGTCTGCTGCCTATCACATGCTTACCAGCAGAATTCAAATATGTAGCATTAAAATGAGAGAGGAATATCTACAAAGGGAGGTAACTCAAGATAAATCTTCCTTGTGATTCAATATATTTTTGTACTAAAGTTTATAAAAATAGATGCTATGAAATGTTTCTTTATTCACAATTACTTTTTTGCTGTTATTTTAGAGTAAGGAAACTTAGATGCCAAGGTGAACAAAAGATACTACGTATGTCTCTGATGCAGTGGCGCACACAATTCATCACACGACTCAAGGACAACAAAGCTGATTTACATTTCAGGTAAAATATTAACAGCTGGCAATCAAAATAATGACAGTGTATTTTATTTTTCTGAAATGTACTGAAATTTTCTGATGTTTGGATTTATAACTTTGATTTTCAAGTTGAAAACAAACCTTGAAATAAAAATGACAGACAAACATGATGCAATTCATTAAATGGTAGTAAAGTAAAGAGATCAAAAATAAATGTATTGACTATAAATAAGCTTTTGTGAAATATTGATTTTTGATAAGTAATGCTGATAAATTTTCAGCTGGCCTTGTAGACATAGGAAATGCTTTAAAAACTTTAATAATATTTAATTTTGAATTTTAGAACAACTCTACTCACTGAACAGCTGAGGTGTTGGAAACTATTCACTAGGGATGCAAAGGAGAAGAAATGTAGAGTCAGGACAGCCAGGTAAGGGGAGACAACCACAAGTAATGTGTGCACTGTTGAATAATACTGTACAGTTATGTGTAAGTTTGTGACATGTTCCCTATTTAAAATTTGGAATGCATTACCTTATGTTTTTAATTCTCCTACTTTCTTTAAACACTCACTTTATCTAATTTCTCAGTAACTGAGATTAAAAAATGGAAATGAAAATATTTTATTTATTGAATATATTGAAGATGTATCAAATGATATATTACCTATATGGTGTATTATGTAGTTCAGACAATGATGATTTGTTGGTGGATGGTTTGTGTGTGTCATTAACTCATTTTAATGGCTTTCAGCCTGTTTTTCTCACATCACTTACAAAACAAGATGTTTGTCCAAATGGTGATGGTCTTCAGGAAGTCTAGCATTGCCAGATCACATCACAGGTAACAAAAGTTGCATTAAAATTTCTAAACATATCTATGATGCAAGATATCTAGGTCTGAAGAAGATTTTTGAAATCTTTGCCAATTTAACTCTTTTTAGGTAAATCATCTGGACTAGCAGATTAAGAAAAATATCAACTTTTGACTTTTCTAATCAGTCTATTTGCCATTGACATGTGCTCTATCTTCCATTCATGGGCTTACAATACCATATAATATCTACCTATCCATGAATTTGCTTTGAAGAGTTGTTACTTCCTTTGATAATTTTGCAATTTTACAGAAATTTAAGGAGGAAATCTTGGTTATCTATTTTTATTAATATAATCACTTGAAAATCTTAACTATAAAAACTCAGAAGATGTAAGTTTAATGTGAAAATATTGATTTTGTGTATTGTTTTGTAGAATTCAATATAGCAATCTAGATTTTGTATACGGTAATGTAGATAAAAAAAGAAATATTTTATTAAAAACTGTCTTTTCGAACTTATAAGATTTTATGTGTCACCATTTGCAGGTTAATGAAATTATGGTGTTATAGTATCGCTTGTTGTTTTCCTTCTTATGTAGATGTGATAGTTTATTATACTTTTTTCTCTGTGTGACCAGAAAGAGGACATTGCACATGGTATTGGTTGCCTGGCGCCAGGCGTCACATGTCTGTAAAGTAGAGCGACAACGCGACATGAGTATAAGCAGAGAACACTGGCGTATGGCAACCACAAAACAAATGTTCCGACAGTGGCATGACCAGCTACTTGTACAGAGGACACGTACAAACAACAACAGGCGACTCATAAGGTAAGGGGAGATAATTTATGGTGTAAGGGGGGATAACTGCATTTAATTACTAGTACTAGCCTAAGAATACAAATGTAGGTTGTGTGTATTATTCTGGGTTATCAAAGATTATCTAATATGGCGTCAAATTCTCAAATAGTGAAGAAACATCAGTTGAATTGTTAAGGATGTATTAATGTCTGGTGGCCAAAATTTCCAAATTTAACATTTGTTCTAGTCATGATTTGCTGAAAGGCTGAATTTATACAAAACATTATATAAAGTGCCCCGTTTCAGCTTACAAGTAAAACTATAGATAACAAAGTGTAAAAAAAAACCACAAAAGTCTAAGATATTGTGTTGGTATTCATTTTGTATGGAGTTATGGCTTTCTGTCAGTCAAACATCACTTTCACGCATCTTTAAGTCATCATTAATGATGTGGTGATACTGAAGGGATAATATTTTGTATGTTAATCATATGAATGGGATAAGCTAACTCTACTGTCTTCATTTCTTTCTGTCTAAAAATCTTTTATTGCGTTTTCAAATAATGAATTGATCTTAGGGAAAAGGCATAATTTGGTTTTTAAAAAGTTATAAACACAAGTTATGTTCCTATTTTGCTGAAACTTTCTTCACAATCTGAGCAATGACAACAAGAAATTGAGTAAAACTTTGTAGACAACATATGAGGCACTTTTGGTGTCAAACAATGGATTGCATAATTTAAGAAATGCTCATTTAAAATGCAGGGATGCCTTCCATATTTGGAGGGTAGAGTGGACAAGACTGTTAGCAGAGCGTCTAGAGAATGAGGCACGTCTGAGACATGACATTCTGACCACAGCCCTACAACTATGGCGAGCAAATGTGGAACTTCTACAAAGACGTCGCCAAGCTGCTATTATCCATCTACAGAGGGCGCTAGTTCGTCACGTCTTACTGGAATGGCGGGCATACACTCACCACAGGAAAGAGCTCAAGTATGTATAGAAAGAGGCACCACAGGGGTATTTAAGAGAGGCCACCAATAGGGTTACTAGGTGACAAAACCAATCTAATACAAGAAACTAAGGTGTATTATGTTACAGGATGATATGTATTGTTATAACATACTACACAAAAGAGGTGTTTTAGGACTTAATTTCAGTTTTAATCTTATGAATTAATTTATATGGTCTGAAACATATAGTACATTGCTCTATTCAAGTAAACGTGGAAAGTGAAGTTCCATATTTAATTGACATCAAAATCCCTGGTCCTGTAGTAAGCCCACCCATATTTGCGGCTGTTATTTAGAATCATAAAAAATATTATCATGTTGTGAAGTAATAAGCCCACCCCTTGACTTTGAATCAGAGGTATCCTATAATAAGCCCACCTCCTGTCTTTGAGTTAGAGATATCCTATAATAAGCCCACCTCCTGTCTTTGAGTTAGAGATATCCTATAATAAGCCCACCTCCTGACTTTGAGTTAGAGGTATCCTATAACAAGCCCACATTCTGACTTTGAGTTAGAGGTATATAATAAGCCCACCTCCTGACTTTGAGTTAGAGGTATCCTATAATAAGCCCACATCCTGACTTTGAGTTAGAGGTATCCTGTGATAAGACCACCTCCTGACTTTGAGTTAGAGGTATCCTATGATAAGCCCACATCCTGACTTTGAGTTAGAGGTATCCTATGATAAGCCCACCTCCTGACTTTGAGTTAGAGGTATCCTATAATAAGCCCACCTCCTGACTTTGAGTTAGAGGTATCCTATGATAAGCCCACATCCTGACTTTGAGTTAGAGGTATCCTATAATATGCCCACCTCCTGAATTTGAGTTAGAGGTATTCTATAATAAGCCCACATCCTGACTTTGAGTTAGAGGTATCGTATCATAAGCCCACCTCCTGTCCATTTCATACAAAATTTTTACACGGTTAATGCTGTATGTATTTCAGATATCATAAGTTTACAAGATATAGAAGCATTTAAGACTTCCTGAATACAGAAAATTTAATTCTAATTGGGAATGTAATGATTGGAAATAAGAAATAAACAGTACAAAGATGATCTAAATTACTTATCTATTTTTTGAAAATATGTGCCTAAATAGATATTCCAATTTTCAAATATAAACTGATTCGTCCATTTAGAGCATATAAAGCTTCAGCAAGGTAATACAACTATACTATCTCCACATATTTACACCTATGGCATTTATAGATGGTAGACATTTTATTCACACAAGTCACCTTAGAACAATCTAGTTACCTCCCTTGCTGTGTGAAAGCGTACGACAATGTGTTAAGTTCTTTTTTTAAGAAACCTGTTTTTAGTGCTTTAGTGATTTTGTTTATTTTTTTTGTTCATTTTCAAATGGAGTTGATTTTATCAAACACTTGGTCTAGTGATAAAATTAATGTAGTGTTTAAATTCTATGTTGACTATTTTAGAGAAAGGGTTTTTTCATCAGTTGTTATCAAATGTAACATATATTTTCTATTCATTTCATTGTATACTGTAGCAATTCAAACCATAAAATGTAAGTGAATTATGTGAATTTCAATATTTTTGCTGATATTTTTTTTTTTTTTGTTCTTTTGGATGGAGAATTTTTTCAAAAATTGATTTATATCTGTGAAGCTTTTGTAGATATAATTTCTGAAATTCATTTACCTCTTGTTTTCTATGTTTTCTGGAACACTCTTCTTTAAAAGTCTTGGAAATGTTGCCATTTTGATTTCAATTCATCTACAAATTTTAGTGTTTTCTGAGTGAATCATGTACTTTGACGAAGTGAGACACATTGGTCATTGTATCAGATGTTGGTTGGTGTGTTACTGATTTTTATCTTCGTGACTCTTCCTATTTCTAAGTGTTTTTTCACCCACAAATGTTCTTGTGACATATTTCTGGTGTTAACAGTTTTTAGATTTATAGTATTAATCAGCCTCCTAAAATTCCTCCCATAGAATGCTGTACAATCAGCAACAACTTTTCAAATTTTACTTATTAGAGACCAAAATGCACACTTAAAGATAAAAATTAAATGGATAGGTTTCTTTTCAAATGAATTTGATGTTATATACAAAGTACATCATATTAAAAGATTATTTGAAAATTAAGCATCTATTCAGAATAAATAACATCCTGTCAAAACATTTATGTGTTTTTCTCCATATTAATATTTTTCGGAAATTGCATGATAATTTTTTTTGATAGTACACAAGTATGCGCTTTTTCCACTGCAATGTAATTTGTTATTAGAAAGAAAAACTCCTGGCAAGACTGCAGATCAGTTAGATTTTTCTGTTCAAAGCGTACAGCCTATATTAAATAAAAGACTGCTCTCTACCTCCAGGCTAATTTCCTGGAAAAACCCAGCAGCCAAGGCTAGAAAACCTATACTATCAACATTTAAGATTCAACAAAAATGTCAGTTGCCTTATATGAAATCTTACATGTGGATCTAAATCTAAATCTAAATTAAAATTTCATATTTAAAATATCTAGACATTTTATGAATTCAATGTAACAAATTTGAATTACTTTGATGGTGGTAGGCTTTGCTTTGTGCGACGAACTGACAACCAAGGGTAAACAACATGTTGTGGACTTTTTTATTTTGTGTGTGTAAATATGCTGGGGAGTTGGCTGTTTGTTTTCTGAATTTTGGCATTTAGAATGATATTCTACTGTATGTCTTTTTCATTTCATTTTATGTAAAAAAATCTTTATCATTTATGACTTAGTAAGAATTTGAATGTCTCATCATTTTTTTTTAAATGTTTATTTTATGAAAGAAATGTTTGCGTTTTATTTTTTTTTGTTTTTGGGCAAAAGAATAATTTTTTAGGGAGTTCAAGTATTCTTTATTTTCAGACTTTGAATCATTTGTCTTGCCACAATTAGACATGCTTTTCTGTATTTTGAATGTAATTAGGATTGCCTACTTAATTAATAGTGGTTTAGTCTTTAACCTCATACTGTGCATGTTGTAGAGAGCAGCAGGTGTGTGATTACCTCATGTACAAAGTAACCTCATCTTTCAGTGGCAATCAATGACACTTACATTGTATATGTACTGAAAGAAAAGAAAATTCTTTCAAAAAAATTTATTGTTCCACACATATTGTATTGATGCACATCATATTTATTTGCCAAAATAAACCCTTTCCCAGTTGCCTTGTAATAATCCTACACATACCTTTTGAAGTTCAGTAGCAAATTGCTATTAACAAAAGTGATCTGATAGTCCTAAAGTAAATCCACACTCTTTCTTGAGTCAGAAGTAATTTGTCACAACTTGGGGATAACTGCTGGATTAATAAGTCAGATCTTGCTCTGAATTAGATCACTGGTTCACTATGCTCTGTATTATTGTCAGGTTCACTATGCTTGGTATTATTGTCAGGTTCACAGTGGTATTGTTGTCAGGTTCATGGTTATCATCAGTGTAGGTGACATTTTTAGGCCTTTATAACAACACTATTGTCAATTTAATGATTAGCTGATTATTGAAAACAGTTTCTATTCCTGCTATTTTTTAAGTATTTTCTTAAAATTCATCTTTGAGTACAAAAATTCTTGTAAAAATTTAATACATTTTGGCAAATATTATGATATAAACACAAGTTTGGAACTAGCGCAAAATCTCCATGCATGTGAGTTGAAAGATTTATAATAATTCTTATAAAATGTAGCTTCAACAGTAAATCTCTATAATATTGCTTTTAAATGTTTTTACACATAATAGATCAAGTATGTATTGCCTTATCATTTCAAAAGGAAGTAACTTTATGAATAATGATTTAAAGTAACCATATCTCTCCAATCCTTACTTTGTACAGGAAGATCATGGCAGTTTACAAACGCACCAAAGACCAACAGATACAGCGACGATGTCTGTCCATCTGGCGTCAAACATTTGAGGACAGACTGGACGTACAGAAAGCGAAGCAGTTCTGGTCCAACATTTGTGTGAGGTAATAACCAACAATACATCCATCTACCCGATATAGCACGGTCGGTAATCCGTCATTTATATGATATTTTGATGCACCAGATTCCCCAAATTCTCCATGTTTTTCACTTTTTCACAGTCTTTCTTTTTCAAATCTATTGGATTCTCATATACCTGGTAGAGAAAATCAAAAACAGGATTTCAACTGGTGACACCTAGTTCTAAAGCCTATTTATTTACATTGCATATCATGGAAAAACATCATTTTTTGTTTCTTTTATTTTCTGTTTCATATCTTAAAAGATTGTGACGGCTTTTTTTTCAGTACGCATTTGTTTATAAACTGAATAAACAATACTTAATTTGGTTTCATTACTGAATAATTTCTTCTTTTTTTCAGAATAATTCAGGTTTTACTACATTGAGATAATGTAGCAATATTAAGTTTCTCTGATTTGTATTGTTTAAGAAATCATGAACACAACTGACTGATTGTTATATAAATTATCTAAACAAAATAAAACAATCACTTCAGCCTGTTTGCTAACTTTTATGAAAACTGTTGATATTTGATTTATAAATAGCATGAAAAAAGAGACCTCAAATTGATAACTTGTATGAGACAGAAATCTGGCAAATGTGGCAGGTTAAACTGCCTTTCTCAGTTTTAACTTGAATCTACCATCATATTTTATAACTGGATATTTTGTTTACAGAAAAGCTATTGTTCAGTGGAAGAAGCTTTGTCACCGCCATATGCTGTACAACTTGCTGGAAGCCACTGAGCCAATCCGAAACTTGGCTCTTATGAGAGGTAAGTGAGGCTTAGTCCCTCTAAGAGGTGGGCAGGGCTTTGTCATTTTGGGAGGTTGGTGGGAGTTGCCTTTTTGAGATTCAGGATTGGCTGTTGTGGGTACTGCCCACTGTTATATTGAGATGATATTCTTAATGATAAAAGAGAAATACATGCATACAATTGTCAGTTCATAATGAAAAATAAGGATTCCTATGAGGTTGGGTGATCCAGTATCCACTATCACCTCGACATTCAGGCTCACTTGACCAGGTGAAATAAGTGTTATTATTTTAAAAAAAAACCCAAAAGAACCATGTTATCTGGAACTATTCATCAATGAAACCAGGCAACACTTATCCTTTTTATAGTAATGTTTCAAAGATGGTTGGATGCCAAATCAAAAGTCAACAGTGAAAAACAAGAAGCCAATCAGATGCGTATGATTCTGGAACATTCACAGCTGCAACGAAGCTTCCAGACCTGGTGGATAGCTACACAGCAACGCCTCACCATCAAACCTATGTTGCTACGGCGACAGAGGGCCATGGTAACAGAGTATGTAGTCTATTTTAGAGCAATTTTTTCTAAAGAAGGATAAGTAAGGAAAAGTCTTCTGTAATAGACATCTTTTTCATTTATGTATTGAGAAAAAAAGTTTTAAAAATATCAGTAGATGTATGAATGAAAAATATGTAAAAAAGAATAATGAAAGAAAATTGATGAAAATTATTTATATATAATACATATATGATCAATTACCTAAACAGGGTGTTTGACAACTGGCGCTGGTTAGTGAAACACAAAGCTGCATGTAAGAAAAGTAGTGATCAATTCCAGACCTGCCAACTACGATCCAAGTTTTTAATCTGGAGGTAAATTTTATTTCTGGCAATAAAACTAAACAAAACAAAACTAATCAAAGCAGTTACCCAAAATGGAAATTGTTTCCATCCTTCTTTGAATAAATGTTTTAAGGATGGTTGTAAAATGGCTGTAAAAACCTTTATAGCGATAACAGTAATTTAAGAATTGTGCGAGAAAAACTTCGCCGATTTTAAAAGCATAACTTTTCCTTTTTGACATGTTTTGGTACCTAGGTAATTTGTAGGGAAATTCATCTGTATGTTTTAAGTGTTTTTATCTGATACACACTGCTGCTGTTTATTTTTAAAAATTCAGTGAACTGCAATTTTTTTCCAACCTAAGAAAATTTGCTGTTACATTTTTATGGGTATAGTTCAACAGAAATCAAATTTGAATGATTGTTTTTTGTAGTAAAGTACAAAAAAATTTGAATGCTTCAAAAAGTTAACCTGAAAGATGATCTCTTATCATTTTATATAAATATGTTACATAATTATGGACATGAAAACATTGCAGACGCCAGTATCAAATTCACCAGCTGGAAAAAGATGTGAGTAAAACCACTAACCAAAATCGTCTGAGACGTTCACTGCAGGGTTGGAGGCTTATCATCTCACGCAAACATGCAGCTCACTGCTTCCACCAGAAGGTGCTGGTGAAACAGACCTTCCTTTACTGGCGGGAGAAAGCCCTTGGACAGCTGGAGAGACGTGTGGAAGCCAATCAAATAGAGGTACAAAAAAACAAGATTTGAAATTTATATGGTAGAGACCAATAATGCAGTTGAAAACGCTAAGCCTGCTGGCACACCTGGTCTTATTTTTCATTCACTTTTGTAAAGGACTCTGTGTAAGACTTTCTCTTGTTTGCATTTTTTCCTGAATTGCAATTTTGATGATATGTTAGTATTTTATAAAACAACACATATTTTCTTTAAACTTTTTCATTTTTCTTTTCTTTTCCAGGAATATAATATGGCCATTTTAAGGTCACACTTTGACCTCTGGCTAGCCAATGTCCGAGAGAAGGTTGTCAATGAGGTGACCATTGTAGTAAAGATGAACCAGGAAAGGACAGACTGCACTCTGAGGAAATCCTTTTTGTTTTGGCGGAGACATTTCCGTGCCATTGTCATTGCAAGGTAAATATTTAATATATGAGCCAGGAGTTTCTTTTCATGGTCAAACATGAGTTTTCATTGCAAGATGAAATATTTTAGAAATTTCTTGTAAGCTTTCTGGCTGCATCATTACTTGAGTGATTTTGACCAAACTTCACATTTCATCCATTTATTGTCATTTATAATACACTTCATTGTTGAGTCATTTGTATTAACTGTGACATCTTGTTTATGTCATACTCAGTATGCTCTTTCAAGAATTTTTTGGAATGTTTTTCACCTGGTAATAACAGGCTGTTTGTAATGTCCCTGTTACAGAGAGAACCAGGCCATCCTCTGTCGTAAACTTCAGCTTCAGGCTCTACAAGCATGGCACCATCTCACACAGGCCAGGCTTCATGATGCTGTACAGAACTTTGCTGCGAGTCTGGGCCTGCAGCCACCAAGTGGAGATCACATGTCCATATCGTCGGGTATGTTAATACTAATAATTCAAGGCAACAGAATAGATTTTAGCGAAAGGTCATTACAGTGAGTCTGTCAAGTAAAGACAATTGTCTGGAGAGAGAAGTAAATATATGTAGGATTTATAAGGTGATTAATAGGTATGATGTCAACTGCCTTATCATTTACTGAAGAAAGAAGGGTACCCCTGGTAGTCTCTTATAATGATATTGAGACTACAACATAGAGTACCCTAGTATCTCAAAACTAGATAACATTAGGAAGAAATTTATTATTGTACGATGTGTAAATGATGTCTAAAAATAACCTAGTTTGGTCTATATCAAAGAGGTATTACCATATTTCACTGACAATAAGCAAATGATGTCTAAAAATAATCTGGTTTGGTATATATTAAAAGGGTATTACCATATTCTAACTGATAGTAAGCCCATGCCTGATGATAACCCCACCTCACTTTCTGTTCAGATATCAGTTTAGTGGTAAGAATATTCAATCACAGATAACACAAGTGCTAATGTCAGGTTGAAAAGTACAAGAACTGGTTTTTCATTTATCAGAAATACTGTCTCTATGTAGGTGTTTATGAATATGGACTGTCTCCAAGTAGTGACATCTGTCCGTCTCCACGGACAGACTTTAGTGAGAGGAATGACCCCTATTTGTCACCAGGGACAGGCACTCCCAGGAGGATAGAAGCTTACTACTCCTCTGGTGGCCCAGGAACACCGAACAGAAGGTAATGTTTAGGAGAAGGGGATTAGTGGGGGTAGGGGATTAGTAGGGGTAGGGGATTAGTAGGGGTAGGGGATTAGTAGGGGTAGGGGATTAGTAGGGGTAGGGGATTAGTAGGGGTAGGGGATTAGTGGGGGTAGGGGATTAGTAGGGGTAGGGGATTAGTAGGGGTAGGGGATTAGTAGGGATAGGGGATTAGTAGGGGTAGGGGATTAGTAGGGGTAGGGGATTAGTAGGGGTAGGGGATTAGTGGGGGTAGGGGATTAGTAGGGGTAGGGGATTAGTAGGGGTAGGGGATTAGTAGGGATAGGGGATTAGTAGGGGTAGGGGAGGGACAGATGGTCAGTTAGGGGAGAGGATTAGAGGGGGCGGATCGATGGGAGGGTAGTTTAGGGGGACCGGACAGGGGGAGGGGATAAGGGTTGTTTGGTTGGTTGATTAGTTGAATGCTTGCTTGCTGGCTTGTCTGGGAGGTAGGGTGGGGAGGGGAGGGTGATTATTGGTAAGCATAAGTCAGAGAGCAGACTCATGTCACTTTGAGAATAGGGATGATAAATCTGAGGTAATTTTGAAGAAGGATCATTACAATGAATTGATGAGAACCAAACAGATTAAAATCACTTGTGAAGTGTGTTTTAGATGAAATTTTTCATTGATGTTCACTTCATATATAATACATGTCATTCATTGGTGATAATTACCAATGTAATATGAGTCAGTTAGTGGCAAAAGGACAACATTGTGTCAGAACGGGATGAAATGTTAGTTATGAAAACAGGAATTAAGAAATAAGTGCAGTCTGTAATAACACCTTGTCTTTCGCAGATTGTTCTCACCCTCCCTCAGCCTTTGGAATCTGGACCAAGACAACATCACTACAGACTTGAACCTCCGACCTACTCTGGCTGACAAGTCTTTCCTTGATACTCGGTTTGCTATGGAACAAGCTGTGAAAACTGAAAAACTCAGGGTAGATAACTCTATATATGAATTAATTATTGTAATTACCAATCTTTGGATGGATAAATGTAGACTTAGAGCATTGTAACCAAATTCGATTTCAACACATTTTATTGACTTTTTCATGTGTTGAAGTCCAAATTAATTTCTTTTGGGTGAGGGGAGACAACTCCAATTTCATGTTGAAATGTAATCATGAAGATTACACTCATGGTCTGCATACAGTTTAGATATATATTTACAGCTATATCAAACACTCATATTTATTCATAGATTATTCTGCACACGTCCTTGAGAAAAACGACTTAATTTTTTAGACAGATCATGAGTCCTTGTGAATTAACATATTAATCTTAGGTTCGATTTATCAATAATATTATAATAACGAATTTTTGATATTCAAAATCATGATTACATTATATGGAAACTTATTCAGCAACATTTGTATGTTCATTTGGTTGTAGGAGCTGGCTCTCAGAAAGTATCAAATAAGTATAGATTAATAAAAGGATATGAAAGTAAATATTATAGAATAATTATCATCACATACTACATTATCTATTCAATTTTAGTTCAGTATTATGATACAAATTTTTACATTTTTCGTAGACATTGGTTTTCCATGCTGTGAAGAGGCTTAGATTTTGGCCAATAAGTATTGCGTTTGATCAGTGGAAGGAATTCACTTATCGTCAACGAGAGCTGAAAACATTATCCAATCAGCTGCAAGCTTACATAAGGGAAGCGAAGATGAGGCATGTTTTGCGGATCTGGAGAACAGCCCAAACCAATAACAACAAAGCCAAACATTTCATGGTAGGGATGCTAGCTTTAGGTGTAAGGATGATGAATATACCAATATTGATTTTGTAAGAACATCTGTTTGTTGTAGGGATAAAACAAACTTTTTATGATTCCTGTCTGATATAACAAGGAAATTGAAGTTGGACCTATTTTTTTCTTATATATCATAAAAAAGACTATGATAAAAAGAAAAGAAGGGCGGAGTCTCCCTGTCAATAACTCTAAGGCAAGACTACACACTTGTTGCCCGTCCGTGTACACATATCTTGTAATTCAAACACTGAAGTATTTATTTATTTATATTGTAATTCCATGGATTGTTCTGTATCTATGCTGAAATAAGCCCCCTCCTTTAGTGTAAAAGTTTTGTTTTAAAATTTCATAACGTCTTTTTTCTAAACTACTTACTGTAATGAAATACTTTTTTTAAAATTGATGATTCTGCAAAAATGAAATAAGCGGTTCATTGCTTGCAGGGGTTTATTTGTGGATAAATAAGGTAGAAAATTTATAGCAGGACATTTTATGTGGCATGTTCATTTTAATAGGTTTCACATTTGGATAGATAATCCAATCATTATGAAGCGAGATGGCATGTAAAAAAAAAATTCATGTACCTTTTTTTCAACTTTTTAGGATTTACTTTCATAAGAATAAAGATATATAATGTTTGGATTTGGAGGGAAAAGGAAATTCTAAGAAACTTTGTATAATATTAGGGGAGCAACTCCTTGCTATGAGTCTGTAATAATCATTTGATAAAAATTAAAAAAGACTTGTGCATTAGAGCAGTTATCCATACAAATTTCATCAAATTTATACATTATGAATAAACCTATTTTATTCCACTCTTAAGTTACATGTAGTATCTAGTGTTTGTTTTTACTTGACAGGAATCATCTCTGAAAGTATGGGTGTTTACAACTCTGTATGAAAACAAATGTAGAAGCAGACAGAAAAAACAGTTATCTGCCCTTGCCCATCATCACCTGTCCCTGAAGGTGTTTAGAAAGATATTTCCAGTTTGGTATGAGAAGGTCAGTTATTATGTTACTGTTAGTGACAACAAACATGATAAAATTTCTTTATAATAAAATTTCTTGGCAAATTATTATATATAAAGATAATAAAGCTGATTGAACTAGAACTTAATGTTATAGAAAATGTTAACATTTTGAGTTAATGGAAAATATTGTGCAAAACTAGGGAAAATTTGAAAATAAGGTAAAAAAATTAATTTATAAGTGATCTTCCTTTATTCAGGCAAAAGAGAAACGCCACCAGGAGCATGTGAGTCACCTGTGGGCTAACTTGACTCCAGAAGAACAAACTCTGCTACCCTTGGAAACAGAGGTCAAGGGTCGTATTCAGAAAAAGACTTTGCGAAAATGCTTTGCAGTGTGGAACCTCAAGTTTCAACAGATCTATAGGCTGAAGAAAGCTTTTAACAAAATTCTACTTTGTAGGTAAGTTGACAGGGTGTGGAACAGCTGTGTGTTAATTTGTATATAGTTACTGTTATTGATTGTCAGGACTAATGTCTGTTAATCTCTAAACAAACCTGCTTGACATCACTTTCACATCTCAAGCTACATAGTGATGACTTTCAAGAGAAGACATTAAATGACTAGCCCAAATTTGTCACATAACACAGAACGTAGACAAGCATCTATAACATTGTGTATATAACTTGTTGAGATCATGAAAATGCTGGAATCCTTTCAGATACTCTATATTTGGTTTGACCTTCTGGAGCATATCACCAGTCATTGTTAACTATTGACAAACACTAGAGCGAAGATTACCATTGGTTTGTTTTTATTTTGTTATTTTTTTGTGAAAAAGTGACAGAACTTGTTAAGGGGTAAACGGCATATTTCTGTAGTTGATAAAGATGATTCTCTATGGTTTTGAAGGCTATAGATTGCAAAGTAAAGGGAATAGTTGTTGTGATAGAGTAAATTACCATAACTCAGATTGTATGTTTGTGTATCCCCAGGTATTTAGAGAAATGGCGGCTTTGGTCACATCTCAAACGAGAAAGGAGAGAGCAATCAGCCAAATTCTCTGCACACAGACTTCAGAAACAGGTATATTCTTAAGTCTTCACACTTATTACTTTGCTTTTAAATCTGATAGCACTTTGGGCAGCCTAAAGGGTGTAGTTTTTTCCCTGAAGCATGTCTGAAGGGCAGAAGCTGAAAAGAAAAAAAAGGTCAGCCAAAGGTTAAACAAACAATGTGCTGCCACTCAAAATCATCTCAATGTTTTATACATTATTTTTCATACAATATTTTACAATTACAATTTATACTTACATGTGTATAACATACAACCACAGGTTTTTGACTCAGTGTTATTTCTCTGTCATTTTGAATGTATCAGTCAGGATTATATAATGAGTGTATTCACAGGCGAGCCTAATATCCGTGCATAAGATAAGAGATTTTTTTTTTTTCAGAAATATCCAGGTATGAAAAAATGTATGCTCTGCAATATGATTTCCTAATTTGCATATTCTGTAGATATGTTATAAGTGTTTTAATTTTTACAGGTGTTTTGCATGTGGCGTTTGCGTTATCGACAGCAGTCCCAGGTGGAACAACGTCACAAGACTGTATGGGAAAATCACCTGGTAGAAGTCATTAGGGGATGGCACAGGTGGACAGTAGGTAAGGTTGAAATGGCATGATGGTCAAATCTCTCTAGCCATTATAAAGAAACGTTTATGTGTATTCTTAAGAAATTGACTTTGTTGTGTCAGGGCCTCTTCAATTAAAAACTATTTTGAGGGGTTTGTCTGATCTAGACTTAAAATTACATTATTGTATTTACTTGTAGCTGCTAAGCAGCACCGCAATATATCGAAGTTGATCGAGAAAAAACTGCAGCTCCACCTAGTGGTGAACACATTCATGAAGTGGAGATTAGAGACAAGAAAGCAGCAGCAGATTACTGTTTGGTACCAGACACGACTGGCTATAAAGTAAGTACAACAGTTTTTTATTTGTATCAATCTGTTTTGAAGACTTTAACCATAAAATAAAAATCATTTTTAAGATATGGTGTAATGAAGACCTCACTGACTTGAGATCTATCTCAATTATTCAGATAGGTTTTTGCACTAATCTCACTTTTATTGAATAATGCTATGGGGATGTACATATCATAATATATTGTCACAACAATTGTGTTGTCAGTTACTTTATTTAGTGTCCCACATCAAAGATTGAAATGCCCCATGGTTATCAGTTTGTTTATCTGTCTCTCTCAGTCTGTCATTGCTCTTTAAGTTTAATCAGAACAATATCTCAAATTGTGTTTGATCAATTGCAAACTCTATCCAATGATTCCTTGAATGAAAGGTTTGTGTGGGAGTAATTTTTTAGTACTGGGGTCAAAGGTCACGGCTACTGTAGATAAAAATTTACTAGAATGAAATGAGAAGTTAACCAACCACAGGACAAGGTCATATTTCAGTATATTAAAATGAGACAATGTCATTGTCAGTATTCTATTTCATCACTGGTCAATGATTTTGCCTCAATTTAACAAATCAGAGATGAGTTGGATTAAAAGTAAATTAAATGAAGAGTTACTGTGCAGCAGGAAGATATATAAAGATGATGAAAACTGCAAGGTGGAGCCACTCCCATGTCACAACACACAATTAATTACATCTGAGTTTGTGCAAACATATATACAAGGTGCCCTGATAGATCTATAGAATATATCAAATAATTTGTATTGGGCAGATGTATGATGTACCCAGTAATTATCAGTGTTTACCTTCCAATTAGCCTCTGGTTTAGAGTTAAACATTGTGGTGCCCTTTCTGATATGTCATTATTCTAGGTTAATTATTCATTGCATTACCTGTAATGTTATCTGTGCCTCCAGGGTTCTATACAGCTGGCATCAAGTTACTCTACAACAAAAGACAAGGAAACGCCAAATTTTAGACTTCCGTGTCAGAAGCTATACTAAACTGGTAAGTGCTGTGAATTTGCCGCAGCTATTTAGGTACCATGTACATGTACATTGGTGTTGAAATTGAATGTGTGGACACCCAGTAGCCTGTAAAGGTTGGAAGTCTGACATAAGATTTATCGTCCTGTTTTATTAAGTAAGGAAACTCAAAACATTTTTTTCATGAGAGAATGGTATTAGAACGCTGGTATAAAAAGAGATTTTTTTTTTCATTTTCTATTTTTAATTTGTCTTTCTTCTGACTTAACCTGAACACGATTTCTTTCGAGCTCCTTTGATTTCTTTTTTCTGTTGAGCCCTTTTGTTCTTGTTTTTCCATATCCAATTTGTTTTCCAATTAAGAATTATTTTTGTTGTGTCTTGCTTACTTCTTATGAATATTTTTCCAATCACTTGGCAATTGCCAGCAATCTATCCAAGACATTTTGTTGACATCAAATTACAAAATTTGAAAAAATATATTTTCAAAAATGATAAGAGCATTAGTGAAAATTCTGCATGGTAATTTCTTCTCAAGCTTTTGAAGGTCCTGTTGTAGTTACTTAGGATATGAAATATTCCTGTGAGTTTGTGGAGATAATATTGATGTTTTTTGTAATGCTTTAGGTTGGGAAGCTCTTCCATACCTGGCACAGTTACTATATCAGTAGACTACAGCAACATCAGGAGCATGAGAAAGTTGTACGTATGCGGGCACTACAGATTGGCAGGAAGTGGCATCGAAAGGCACAGACCACCAGGGGGCACCGCCTACAGCAACACTTCAAACATCGTCAGGTAGGATTGTGGAAGTGAAAGCTGTTTCATTATTCATCATTTGCCATGTTATTGGTTTGTCAAAACTCTTAGAAGCATTAAGCACCAAAAAAAAAAACCGGGGTGGGTGGGCGGTATTTAGATCTAAAATTGTTATATACCATTATTTGAAGATGTCTATACATGTATCATGTTTATATATATCAAATAGTTTTATGGAATAAGTATTAACATGATTAGCTTTATGGAATAAGTAAAAACAAGATTATTTTTTCTTTTTACAGTTACAGACATGTTTCCGTCGTTGGAGGTCCTGTTATGACCGTCACCTTGAGCGTGAGGACATGCTCGCCTGCCATATCGCCTACAAAGATCAGCAGCTTGTCAGTCGCTATCTGACATTCTGGAGGACGTCTGTGATGTGTTGTCAGGCTGGGCGCATGTTTAACACCAAGCTCATCAGCACTGTGTTTGTAGAGTGGCGTACCTTCACAGCAGGTGAGCTAGCTATTCTCTTATTCCTGAACATGGGATGATTAGAGCCTCACATGGAAATGCGGGTACTCTATTGTCATAACATTATCTTTTCATCTGTCCAACAGCACTTTGGTTTCCAAAGATTATTCCAGAATCCAGGTCAAACTGTCTGAAAAAGGTATATCTCTGATGTTTATATGTGCATTAGGAATTTTAATCCTGGGATGAAGACAATGTTGCTAAAAGTAGAACCTGGAATACACTGACAAAAAAGCATTACACAGAGCCCTTACAAAGCCACTTTTGTCTTGCATGCAAGGTGCTTGTATCAGTATTCTAGTTTATCAAAATAATCTGCTAAAATTATGACTGAGTCCATCAAAAACTTTTGCCATTTATTTGTCCATATAAAAAAATAAAAAATTCAATGATATTATTAGGATGGTTGTCATTTCAATTATTTGTGACCTGTTCATTTAATCAGACAAACTGATTTGTTGGTAGTCTAAATGTATCATTTCAGGCATAAATTGCAATGGGCCAAATACAGGCCTCAAAAGGCTTAATTAAAGCTTTCTAGAAAACAAACTTAAATTTAGATTAGGAGGTCCACTCATAAACAAGCAATCTTGGTCCACTTGGCCAAACCGATAAACAAAAATGGCCTAGTTTTGTTGTCTAACTTCAGCATGTATAACTGGAGTTAGATCTTGTCCTGTCTAGTCCTACATATATATTACTTTAGGAACTTCAGGTACTTTTATGGCACCATTATAACTGAGTTGATTAGTATTGGTCTACATAATCCCTGGTAAAGAGCTGAAGTGCATGGTTCAATACCCTCTACCAATGATGGTTTGCCATTCTCAGAAAGCTGAAAAATGGATCAAACTGTGTATGCTGTTCAGTGATGTATCCACCTGTATTACAAAGAGATTTGCCTCAAAATGCCCCTCGATGTCAAGGAGTCAATAAACCAAGCAAATGAACAAACGGGGTTTTGATCACAGGTGACAGTTAGGTCAAATTGGAACATAGTTAAGATCATGTTTCAAGATCATGATTATCAGTATCAGTGACTGTAGAAATTGCTTTTAATTGTTGAATATTTATCTGGTTTTACCAAAAATTGAAAAGAAAAAAATATGATGTATTTTTCATGGAAGTCATGAAATAGAGTTTGTTTTTCTCTGTCAGCTTTATTTTCCTCATTCACTCATTCCATTTTGTTCTCCTTATTAATTCATTTGTTCATTTTTGTTTTCCTCTGTCAGTTTTTTTTCTTTGCTCAAATTTTTTCTTCATTCAATACCTTTTTCAATTTCATTTTCAAGGTTCAATGAATATGTTTTTTATGATCTTATTTCATCCTTGTTAATAGTAATAACACAGAGGTCCTTAGAATTAACAACATTTCCAGTAATTTGCATGATGATAAATCAGTTACGTTGTATAACACAAGCATTTCTTTGTTTCTTGTTTGTCAAAGTCCTTTTCCTTTTTGTGGAATTATGTGAATCTTGCCATTTTGCAGAGGCCAAGACTAGGCGTGCTAAATGTGCAGTGTTCCAGCAGGCTCGGCAGCAAAGAAGTGTAACAGTACAGTTTCTGTATTGGGTTCATGTCACACGTGTACGTCGGTCTATCCACAATCACTTCAACCTCAAGCTACAAATAAGGTGAGTGTGAGATCTAATAAAGATTTTTTTTTAGATGTAGTTTGTTCAATAACTTGTTCTGTATGATGAGTACTTTATACTGAAAATATTACAAATTTCACATAGAAATCACCGATTTCACAATGAAGTCACCGATTTCACATAGCAGTCATAGATTTCACATAGCAGTCACCGATTTCACAGAGCAATCACCAATTTCACATAGAAGTCACCGATTTCACATAGCAGTCATAGATTTCACATAAAAGACACAGATTTCACATAGAAGTCAGATTTCATGAATGGTATAAATCACAGAAGTATTTCACAGATTTCATATGCAAGTCACAGTTTTTATGTATAAGTCACAACTTTCATACAAAAGTTGCAAATCTCATGTACAGATTTCGTATAAAGGTTACAGATTTTAAAAAAAGTTTACAAGTTTCGTATAAAGCTTATAGATTTCATATAAAGTTTACAGATTTCATATAGTTTCAGATTTCATATAAAGGTTACAGATTTCATATAAAGTTTACAGATTTCATATAGTTACAGATTTCATATAAAGGTTACAGATTTCATATAAAGGTTACAGGTTTCATATTAAGTTACAGATTTCATATAAAGGTTACAGATTTCATATAAAGGTTACAGATTTTATATAAAGGTTACAGATTTCATATAAAGGTTATAGATTTCATATTAAGGTTACAGATTTCATATTAAGTTACAGATTTCATATAAAGGTTACAGATTTCATATTAAGTTACAGATTTCATATTAAGTTACAGATTTCATATAAAGGTTACAGATTTCATATAGTTACAGATTTCATATTAAGTTACAGATTTCTTATAGTTACAGATTTCATATAAAGGTTACAGATTTCATATAGTTACAGATTTCATATAAAGGTTACAGATTTCATATAAAGGTTGCAGATTTTATATAAAGGTTACAAATTTCATATAAAGGTTACAGATTTTTTATAAATGTTACAGATTTCATATAGTTACAGATTTCATATAAAGGTTACAGATTTCATATAAAGGTTACAGATTTCATATAGTTACAGATTTCATATAAAGGTTATAGATTTCATATTAAGTTACAGATTTCATATAAAGGTTACAGATTTCATATAAAGGTTACAGATTTCATATAAAGGTTACAGATTTCATATTAAGTTACAGATTTCATATAAGGTTATAGATTTCATATAAAGGTTACAGATTTCATATAGTTACAGATTTCATATAAAGGTTACAGATTTCATATAGTTACAGATTTCATATAAAGGTTACAGATTTCATATAGTTACAGATTTCATATAAAGGTTACAGATTTCATATAAAGGTTACAGATTTCATATAGTTACAGATTTCATATAAAGGTTACAGATTTCATATAAAGGTTACAGATTTCATATAAAGGTTATAGTTTCATATAAAGGATATAGATTTCATATAGTTACAGATTTCATATAAAGTTTACAGATTTCATATAAAGGTTACAGATTTCATATAAAGGTTACAGATTTCATATAAAGATTACAGATTACATATAAAGGTTACAGATTTCATATAAAGGTTACAGATTTTATATAAAGGTTACAGATTTCATATAAAGGTTACAAATTTCATATAAAGGTTATAGATTTCATATAGTTACAGATTACATATAAATGTTATAGATTTCATATAAAGGTTACAGATTTCATATAAAGGTTATAGTTTCATATAGTTACAGATTTCATATAAAGATTACAGATTACATATAAAGATTACATATTACATATAAAGGTTACAGATTTCATATAAAGGTTACAAATTTCATATAAAGGTTACAAATTTCATATAAAGGTTACAAGTTACGTATAAAGGTTATAGATTTTATATAAAGGTTACAGATTTCAGAAGTCACAGATTACTTGTGTAAGTCATTACACATGTAATAAAATGAAACAAGAGGCCCATGGGCCTTAACGGTCATCTGACAAAAAGCAAGCCAAACCTAAAAAGTGGGTTGAGGTCATTCATTTGATTCTCCTCCAAGCATCTTACAGGCCCAATATCAGCACTCATGGACTTTTGCTTGTTGAGAAGAAGTCGTTTGTATATTTTAACATATTTGACCCCTGTGACCTTGAAAGTGGGTTGAGGTCATTCATTTGAATAAACTTGGTAGCCTTTCCTCCCAGCATGCTACAGACCCAATATCGGCACTCATAGACTTTTGCTTATTGAGATGAAGTCCTTTGTATATTTTAACATATTTGACCCCTGTGACCTTGAAAGTGGGCCAAGGTCATTCATTTGAACAAACTTTGTAGGGCTCCATGCCAGCATGCTATGGGCCAAGTATTAGCCCCCTAGGCCTTCTAGTATTTGATTATTTAAAGATTTTGACATATTTGACCCCTGCGACCTTGAAAGTTGTTCAAAGTCATTCATTTAAATAAACTTGGTAACCTTTCCTCCCAGCATGCTACAGACCCAATATCGGCACTCATAGACTTTTGCTTATTGAGATGAAGTCCTTTGTATATTTTAACATATTTGACCCCTGTGACCTTGAAAGTGGGCCAAGGTCATTCATTTGAACAAACTTTGTAGGGCTCCATGCCAGCATGCTATGGGCCAAGTATTAGCCCCCTAGGCCTTCTATTATTTGAGAAGAAGTTATTTAAAGATTTTGACATATTTGATCCCTGTGACCTTGAAAGTTGTTCAAGGTCATTCATTTAAACAAACTTGATAGCCCTTCATCCCAGCATGCCACAGGCACAATATCAGCAATCTGAGCCTTTTGGTTATTGAGAAGAAGTTGTTTAAAGATTTTAACATATTTGACCCCTGTGACCTTGAAAGTGGGTTGAGGTTATTCATTTGAATAAACTTGGTAGCCTTTCCTCCCAGCATGCTACAGACCCAATATCGGCACTCATAGACTTTTGCTTATTGAGATGAAGTCCTTTGTATATTTTAACATATTTGACCCCTGTGACCTTGAAAGTGGGCCAAGGTCATTCATTTGAACAAACTTTGTAGGGCTCCATGCCAGCATGCTATGGGCCAAGTATTAGCCCCCAAGGCCTTCTAGTATTTGAGAAGAAGTTATTTAAAGATTTTGACATATTTGACCCCTGCGACCTTGAAAGTTGTTCAAGGTCATTCATTTAAATAAACTTGGTAGCCTTTCCTCCCAGCATGCTACAGACCCAATATCGGCACTCATAGACTTTTGCTTATTGAGATGAAGTCCTTTGTATATTTTAACATATTTGACCCCTGTGACCTTGAAAGTGGGCCAAGGTCATTCGTTTGAACAACCTTTGTAGGGCTCCATGCCAGCATGCTATGGGCCAAGTATTAGCCCCCTAGGCCTTCTAGTATTTGAGAAGTTATTTAAAGATTTTGACATATTTGACCCCTGTGACCTTGAAAGTTGTTCAAGGTCATTCATTTAAACAAACTTGATAGCCCTTCATCCCAGCATGCCACAGGCACAATATCAGCAATCTGAGCCTTTTGGTTATTGAGAAGAAGTTGTTTAAAGATTTTAACATATTTGACCCCTGTGACCTTTAAAGTGGTTCAAGGTCATTCATTTTAACAAACTTGGTAGTCCTTCATCCCAGCATGTCACAGGCCCAATATCTACACTCTGAGCCTTTTGGTTAATGAGAAGAAGTTGTTTAAAGATTTTAACATATTTGACCCCTGTGACCTTTAAAGTGGTTCAAGGTCATTCATTTGAACAAACTTGGTAGTCCTTCATCCCAGCATGTCACAGGCCCAATATCTACACTCTGATCCTTTTGGTTAATGAGAAGAAGTTGTTTAAAGATTTTAACATATTTGACCCCTGTGACCTTTAAAGTGGGTCAAGGTCATTCATTTGAACAAACTTGGTAGAGCTCCATGCCAGTATCCTCTGTGCCAAGTATTAGCCCCCTAGACCTTCTAGTATTTGAGAAGAAGTCGTTTGAATGAAAAGTTTACTGACGGCGCACGGCGGACGACGACGGACGAAGCATGATGACTATAGGTCATCGGACCCTTCGGGTCCAGATGACCTAAAAATCAAAGGAAGAAAAAAGAAAACAAAATGAGTTTTTCCATAAAATTCTAACATGCACGATTTATTTACTCAGGCATAAGTTTTTTGGTGAAAAAAGAAATTGGCTAACAACTTCAAATTTATTCAAATTGAAATAAAATTTTGTACACACTTTCCTTAAACAATGCTTTTTACATAGAGAAAAATTCCTGGCTCAGTCAGCTTTTTTTTCAAAGCTTACCCATTTTAGTGAGTCAAAGCGGTATAATGACACTTTTGCACAATGCATAATAATGTCCCTTATTATGATAATCTGTTAAAAACTGCTAATGAAAAAAAAATTACCTTGCAAAATGTTTACTTGGTCAATTACAATATTTTTATTTTAAATATATTCTAGGGTGCTTCGAAGTTGGGCAGTAGAAGCAAGGCGACGCCGTAAACTAAAGCTTCTAAGTGAAGTGATGACTGCCCGTGTCAATCGTCGTGTTGTCATTTCTGCCTGGTACACCATGAGGGAACACTTTGATTACTACCAGTCCCTCACTGACATGTGCAACAAGGTTCACACTCTCTCTTTTGATTGTTCTTGTCAATAATGATGTCTGAAAAATTTAGAAATTTTGATGTGCTGATTGATATCACACTTAAACTTAAACAATATTTACACTGAACACTTTTCGTTCTTGTATTATGGTGAAATGTTTTCATGCTAGTTAAATTCTAATGTCAGTTTGAACAGAAAAGAGCAAATTGATCTTAGGAAAATTTAACCCAAATTTGATCTTGCTGTAGATCTGAGATTATCGTGGGAAACCTCGTAGATTTTCCCAGATACAAATGTTCTGGTAGAATGTAAAGGGTTTCTCAACATTGAAGAAATTTTAGTGTGACTACATCCTTGTTTTCCATAACAGGTGGTGAAGGACAAGGATCTAGGCTGTTTACGCCATGCTCTTGTTAAATGGAGAGAGAGACTCAACAGGGTCATTGCTGGTCACTGCTACCACCATATGCTGGCCCGTCGTGGGGTTCGCATGTGGCGCCGCTTTGTTTACCTCCGCAAACAGGAGAGGCAACACCAACAAGACCAGGAGAAGAAGGCAGTGAGGCATCACAACAGACATATAAGGTTGGAAGTCATTTTATCATGCCCCCATGGGCGGTTGGATGGGAAGATGGGGCACAGCATACAGACAGCATGTTACTTGTCCTCTCATCCTGTCCTTTGTCACCCTGCCCAATCCCAAATCAATGTAATATCTTGATAACTTCTCAACAAATTTGATACATATCTATACTATTGTAACTATTGAAACCTGTTCAGTCACCTTTTAATGATACACAGCTTAATGTCATTTAACAGTCAATTAACAAACAAATGAGCAGTGTAGGCCCATTGGGCCTCTTATTATTGTTTCAGAAAGTGGAAAATATTCACATCGTCTTAATTCAATAGAAAATTGGGTTGAATATACATGTAAGGGACAAATAGTGAGGGAATATCAATTTTATTTTCCTTAAAGCAGACAGATTTCCCAGAAATGAAATCCAATCTATCTTTATTTGAGCTCAGTTTCATATCACACATTTACTTTTGACAGTCGCATGGTCCTGTATGCATGGCACAGTGAAATCCTGATTGTGCATCAGATACAGCGCCATAACGACCGACTGTCACAGAAATATGGACGACTGTGGAAACTCCGAGTGGACATGATGTACACTGCAAAGATCCTGGTATGTAACATCTTTACTGACCAACCAGATAATACAACTAGAGGGAAATTATTTCCTGGTCTGGTCCTTTGAGTTTTACCAAATAATCAGCAGATTAAGTAGATTTGAATTAACTCTTCAGAAAATGAAATATTGTCATATTTGATATATTTCAAGAGATGACAGCATTTCAGTAAATCAAATCAGCTGCTAATTTTTTCTGCTGTTTAAAGAAGGGGAGATAACTCCATTGATTACTTTCACTCACAGGAAAAAGAAAATTTGTACAAGATTTGTTGGCGACAGTGGAGAGTACAGTTTGCTCAACAGCTTGCTGTGAAAAGGATGTACAACTACAACAAGAAACACTTGTTAGCTCAGGTATGTCCTTGTATTACTATCAAGTTTTTGATTGGTTCAAAACTTCAACATTTCCATTAACAAATAAAATCACTGTACAGTTGTATGGATCTTATGTGTTGATTTTGTATTTTGTAAAATATTCCTCAGTGGAGTGTGTAATTGCAAACTTTGAAATTGTAAGATCTAAAGCAATTATTATGTATTACTTGACTTGAAAATCAGCTTCAACCTATGAATAGTTTTATGCAGTGTACAATATATTGTATATGTTGTATCAGGTATCTTTGGTATTTACAAACTTGTTATGCTCTGTATGAAAATGTTTTATCAAGGGAAAGTTCTTTTAATGTCAGGCACTTCTTCCTCTCATTTGATTTCTTTTTATACCCACTCTGTACAGGTGTTTTTGGCATGGAAGAATGTGAGCCTGAAGAGGAAACCTGTCAAATATCTGACATCATCACCAATTCCATCGTCAATCCCGGTGCTGCGTCTCCCCAACACTGGTCTAAGTTCAGGAGAATCAACTCCAACGCCAAGTCCGCGTCCAACTCAGATTCCAGGGCCAATGAGTGCACGAGGAAGCTCAGGGTCAGGGGTCACAGGGTCACGGCTAAGTCAACGAAGATCATCTGTGCCTGGTATTATTCCCATAAGGAAAAATTAATTCTGGCAGTTCTTTCAACAAAGTCCGAAAGTTTTATAGTACAGACACTGAATGTTTGTGTAAGGTGAAATGTGTTGTCTGCATAAATTGGCAATTGATGTGTTAGTTGAGTGAATGACAATGTCATGTAACTGTGTGAATTGACTTGTTGACAGTCAACAACAATTGTGAGTGAAATTGTTTTAATTGATACTTTGATAGTGTTGTTTGTCAGTTGGTCAATAAATTTCATGAATATTATAGACAGTCAAGCCAAACTGTGATATTAAGGTTATTTATGTGATAGAAGAAACAGTGTAGCATTATTTTTATCATGACAGTAGCACTCTCGTTTATCTTTAAGTATGCTATATTAGTATGTATTTATTCTCCTGTTACGATTTCCTAAACTTCATGGATGTTCCATATTAAAAGATCGACAAGCGGAAAATCATAAATAAGGACTTTTAAAGCATTGTAATGACATTATTGATTTTCCACAACTTACTTCTAAGGATCATTATCAAAATATAGGATCATAGACTGCCTAGCAAGCAACATTTAAAAAAAAAAACAAAAAAAAAACAACAACAACATACTAGAAAGTCACCAATGAAAAGAGTTTAAGTATTTTTTCTTTTTTATCAATAATGAGGTAACATCATATGTATTTAAGAAATTGACAGCATTTTTTCTTGGTAAAGTAAAATTCTGTAGAAAATGCATGTATTATATGGTGGATGTACACCACATCATAAACCAAATTGGTACTCACATTTCATACAGCCTATCCGCAAATCTCTATAGGCTATGAAAGAACCGTGCAAACCAGTGTTTACGTCATAATGATTATTGCAATGATATATTGTGAAACTAGATACATGATAAAAAATCTGTTAAGATGAACAGCAAGCCAGAGTTCAGCCTAAAAAAGAACTGCTTCAATAATTGATAGTGATACTATGTCTTTTTACAATAATTCAGGAAGCTGACTTAACTGAAATTTTCAACAGAAAACATCGTTAATTGATCCTCTTTATTGGAGGCTAATTAATATTACTTGTTTTCTGTATTGTAAGTAGATTTTAGTTTGATATTTGTCTTTTGTATGAGAAATAGTAGAAAAATTAGAAAATTATAAAAAAGTTTTTGTGTTTGATTAAATCTCTTTCCTGATTGACTCAAAATAATGTTCACTCTTAAAATCAATTAAATTGATAATCAAAATATCTTGCCAATGATTGTAGTTTTAAGTTATATGATTTTTGGAGTAATCTCCTCTTTGTACCAATCGCTTTTATAGGGCCTGTATTAGAAAGGAAATTTATTTATAGTCTAACCAAACATGGCATATGTTTTTTATGTTTATATTTTTGTGTTACTCTCTTTGAATTTAGTGCTAGTGTATGTAAAAGTGTAATTTTTAGAGAAACATGCTCTTGGAATATTCTTTTTAAAGGAAACTGTTTTTGATTAGATATATATACAAATCCACATCCTGAAATAGTCATGTTATCATAATTACCTTAGAGGTTAGTGAGAATGACACTTTCTACACAGAATCCTTTATTTTTATTGGAGATTCTGTGAATGGCTGCTGACATACTCCGTGCCAAAAACAGACTTAACTATGCAGATTGATTAGATTGTCATACATGTATTTAACAATTGATCACCACATTTGAAAAATTATGTGCAGTAGAAACTACAGTTATAAAACATTTTCATTTATCTAATCTTTTATATTTATTTATTTTTTGTTCCATCTTTTATCTTTTATAAAATCATGAAAATTCCGTCCAAGATCATTCCAGAATTGCAAAGCAATTCCATTTCAGAAAATTTTCCACATGAAAGCAAAGTATTGCTAGGGTTAATTTTCTTGCATTTTCTCCATAATTTTATTAAGTTGTTCTAAAAGTATGCTGTGATTTTATTTATCGTGATAAGATATAATTTTGTTAATTTATCCAAAGCACGTGTGATATAAAATTGTGATGATGCTGTGCTATATTACAGTGACAGCACAACGTCTATTTCTAGCCATTTCATTTTGTATATTTTTTATCACCTATCTAATGTCTCATTTTATATCTTTTTCTACATACAATGCATTTCACTAATTTTTACTTTGTTCTCTAATTTAACTATCATTGTGTTGTAATATATTTTATTTATTTATTTATTCAATGACATGAAATAGGTTTTTAAATTGTTTCAAAGGTATACATGTGTTGGAATTAAAAAGATCAGTTAGGTTTTCAAACAATGAAGCAGTATTAAGATAGTTGTTTCAGATTGATTAGAACAATAACAAAAGTTGAAAGATATCTTACAAAAATGTTATGTATAAGATAATAAACCTGTTGATTGAAAAATATTAAAATACATGGTTCATGAACAATATATTGCACTCTTCTAGATGTGACAAGGTACATGTTGCACATGTGCTAGTTTATGCACTAATTTTCATCGAGATATGTTCAAATTTTCTACTTTAACATATGCAGACTTGACAACCTGTTTTGTGGCCTGTCCAATCCAAGAACGTATTTCATAGTCTGTCTGTAGTTTCTTAAAACCGATTTTGAAGCATGTTCCCTCCTAGAACCTGCTTTGCCTTTCCGAAAACCAATATGTAGCTGATCCCCTCCCAATACCTATTTTCTGGCCAGTCCCCTTTCCAATCCCCTCCCAGAACCTATATTCTGGCCAGTCCCTTACCAGAACCTATTTTCTGACCAGTCCCTTACCAGAGCCTATATTCTGGCCAGTCTCTTACCAGATCCTATATTCTGGCCAGTCCCTTACCAGAACCTATTTTCTGACCAATCCCTTACCAGAACCTATATTCTGGCCAGTCCCTTACCAGAACCTATTTTCTGGCCAGTCCCTTACCAGAACCTATTTTCTGGCCAATCCCCTCCCAAAAGCTATTTTCTGGCCAGTCCCCTCCCAGAACCTATTTTCTGACCAGTCCACTCCCAGAACCTGTTTTCTGGCCACTTCCTTCCCTATTAAGCTGCCTATATGTATGTGTCCAGTTTTAGACCATTGGTGCTGACATGATTATGTCTTTATCATGTTTTAGTATTTATTTACGTGGGTATTTTTTAGGATTTGTGTGGGGCAAATTCAAATTTTGTTGGGAATAAAAAATATTTGAAATAGTATATTTTTGTTTCTTCTTTGTATCAACTTTTTTAAGCTGGTCATCTTGAAAATAATTCCTACTCAAATCAACTTCATGAGGTTGGACATCATAAGCATTACTCAGGTTCCAAGATTATTTTGAAACAAGAAAACCACAGCTTTGTACCACAGAATTTGCCTGTGATTTGTAAAATTCCACGACACAATTACCAGGTATATAGTGTATTGGAATCAAGTAGTGCTGTCACCATGGGGTTGATAAGTATTCCCTTAGCTTGCCAAAGTTGTTTAAAAACATATTGTGCAAGGGTGAAAATGCAAAATTGTTTTTGAGGATGCACAATGGCATGAAAGGTGAAAACTCTTTCAATGAGTGTTGTTACACAATATTATTCAAGGGTAACACCTCCATATGGTAGTAGCAATTAACAAAAAACTTTTTTCAAATAAAGGCTGTTGAAATAAAAAATCTTTAAAGGAGCATAACACCATATATATACAACGGAGAGGCCTGGCACCAGTTGTTAAAACTGAATTCAGTTGAATTGAGTTCACCAGTGGTTAGGTAGTGAAAAACTTTTGTTGTCACTGAAAAATATCTTACTTTTAAAGTAAAACAGACACTCAAAAATAATAATAATAATAGTAGAAATCTGACTTGTCTCAACAAATTTGCAGTTGTCAGGAATCTTCTCAATTTTTTGGATCATATTTGAACATTTTCATGAACCACTGGTACCTCTAACCAAGCTTCAGGCCACTGGGGCCTGTCTGGCCTTGTTATTCTATCACCAAAACAAATCTGAAAGAAATGGAACATTTGAATAAATTTAATTAAGTACAAACATTTGAATTTATTACCAGGTATCCTGAAATACATCACTCATTCAAATCAATATTTAGAAATTTACATTAAATTTTGAGTATTTGGTATTTTCAGCTAAGAGAGTTTGTAGTTTTGTAATTTATCATTTACACACTTTTAACATTAGTACTATCAAATGAAGATATACATTTGAATTTTTATGAACTAATTTTAAAAAGAAATGCTTCTTTAGGAATTTCAGACAACAGCAATATGTATTGAAAATGTGATTTCCAACTGTAATTGAGGCAATTATTTAGTACAATGTACATTATATACCGTTCCTAAACATGTGCACTATGTATCTTTTTCATTGTGCTTTTTTAGATATACTATATTTAGTTACCAATTGCTTGTACATTACAAATGAATTTGAAGACTTCACACATCCAAAAGAAAGAAAAATTGTACCATCTTTAGTTTCTACATAAATAAGAAAGTAGACAAAACGTCAAACTTATTACTAGGAAAAGATGTTGTTGGTTATTGCAAATGGAAATTCAAAATTGCAACTTCTTCATAAAAGTTTAAAGAAAGAAAGAAATAATGAAATATTGTCCATAATTTTATACATATTTAAATTAAAGTTTCTGGGTTTTTTTTTTTTTTTTTTGAAGAATTTAAAATCTTTGTTCTTGGAAATACTGATAGATTTGTATATTACCAAATTTATTTTTGACTTTTGAGTAAATACAGAATCTAAACTAGTAAACAAAACAAAAAACAAGCCCTTAGATACATCATGCACATGCTTAAAACAAGAAGATAAAATCAATTATATGGAAACACATGCAGATTTTCAAATATTGATGAAAATCTTCCATGAGTATACATTTCAAAATCAAAATTATGTAATGAGCAGTATTTTTTTCATACTCTACATTAAAATATGTGTGAGTATGCAATAATCATAAACACAAATTCTATTGGTCTTTAAATACACTACATGAAATCAAAAATAAATATGTAAGTTTGGGAATTGTTCATCTCATTTAGAAATTCAAGCTACAATATGTTTAAAGATATAGAAATACATCTACAAAAATACACAAATTTGAAACTGAACACGAACAAATCAGCAGATTTTTTTCTTCAATATCATTTAACATCACCGATATAAAAAAATTGTGAAGGCAGTGATATAAAAGATACAAGTTTAAAACAAGAATTTAAGAAATGTAATAAGATTCAACATCGTAGATTCATAGATTTAAAACTTTAAATTCTTACCTGATACATGTTGATTACATGGATTTCCATGACAAAAATATTCAGAACACATTAAAAATAAACATACAATGCTCAACTGAAGAATGATATCATGTGTGTTGAGATCATTCAGCTGAGATCCAGATAGTAGTGATATCAAAGAGAAATGTAACTTCATAAAATACATGTATTACAAAATACTTGAAGATCAAATACCTAACATATACCCTGCAATAAGCCCAGGTCAGGAGTTCATCTTATAGTTTCTGGTTCAATGGGTGTATTACAGGACAATGATGTACTATTAAACTGTCATTTGGTTCTATTGAAGCTTAATTCTAACCTAACGTGTTGTTGGAGAAATATTGTAAAATACTTTTTCAGGTAATTTCAGCATTGTATACGCTATTCATAAATCTACCATGTTGCTGTTGTCCTAATATCACACACTTAAAATGTTTGAGTTTTAAAACTTGCAAATTCAACAAGAAAGCAGTCGATCTCTCTCACGCTGGAAGAAGTAGAAAGATTCTCCTAGAAGGACTGGTGGAGGTCTTTTGTCCAAGATATAGTGATGGGGACGACAGTCTCCAACAGGTTGGAACTGTAACATCTGATGATTCAGGGCCAGCCAGTCAATCTGAATGGTTGGGTAGTAGGTACGCAGCCACTGGTAGTACTTCAGAGTGGGAAATGGAATCTTTACCCTAATGATGTCCATCAAATATGGATCATCCATAACACAGTGTTCTATAGGGATAGACACTGCTTTTGACATCTCAGTGATCTGTTCATTTTCGACAATAAGGTAATCAATGTATTTAGCTATAAGACCTTTGTGTCCAATATCACGTACCTCATCTGCATTTACCTCTGGTGACAGAATCAGGAAGAAACGGTCATTATCATTGTCCTTTACTTGTAACGGATGTAGAGCATGTTCATATGGCATATCATTTTTCTTGTATATGTAATTATTCATGACATCTACATATCCAGGATTTCTCTCATTCTCACTGATCTTGTTTGAATTTGATCTTCGCCGTCTTTTTGCCAAATGCGTAACCATTTCATCTGGCCCTTGACTTTTTGAACGTGTTGGTTGGAAGTATTGAACTTGGCCTTCTGAGGATTGTGATGAACGAGCATAGTGAACAAAGTCTCCAAATCCATCTGTTGATGGATCTGTTGTTGACACATTTGTAGGGAGAGGTTGACTCTGTATGGAAGGGCTTCCAACAAAAGATGATCCACGATTAGTCTGTATCATGTTGTCAATGGCTTCTTGAGAAAGATTCAAATAGTTTCCAGACTGGAAATTTGGAAGTCCACTGTACTGTGTATCCTCTACCATTGGGCCAAATGGCATTCCTTGTTCTACTGGGATAATAGCATCAGTATGGGGCCTCCTCTCATACAAAGTTGGGTTGTCAGTCTGTTTCTGTGCACCAATGTTAGACTGGGAATTATAAGTGCAGTTCTCTGCAACCATTTGATTATATCTGCACCCAGAGTTAAGCTGGTCCCCTGACAGTTGTTCACCAGACACACTATGTTGGAACCCATCCTTCTGATTTACAGGGTCCACTATGTGATGGTATGATTGTTGTCTCTGGTCCCATCCTGGGTTTCCCATGTTGTGTTGTTCAGATGGTGTGTTGATCCGACTCTGGTCCCACCCTAGGCCTGGGGCTCCAGGATCACTGTGTCGTGGCTGGGGGATGTTAATCCGGCCCTGCTCCATACTTGAACTATCTAAGGATCCATGGAAACTGTGACTTCGCTGACAATCTGGTCCTATTTGTTCTTGACCAACTCTATTCTGGTACAAAATTTGGGATGCTGTTTGCCTTGTGGCTGGTGTTGATAAAGAATCATTTGTAGGAGAAACTCTTTCAACACCATAATCACCATCCCTCAATCCAGAATGAGATTCAAATGCACAGCTAGCTTGGTCCCTATGAGTTGAATGCTCCAAGCTGAGGTCTACACCATTATCATGGTGAATAACTCCTGTGACAGAATTTTCCTGCTTCTTATGATTTTGATCCAAGTATTTAGACACATTGATGTTTGCTGCAGGACTTGAGCTACCATAACCAATGTTAGTATAGCTAGGGTAGTTATTCTGATCCAGACAAATGGTAGGCTGTATCTCTGATAGATGAATGTCACGGTCTAGTCTGGTAAGAAGCTCAGCAGCTATCAATGACTCCTGGTCACGACCTTCCAACAGACTAGAAAGAATTGTTCCTTTTTGTCCAGAATTTATATCTGTTATCTCCCCTTCCTTTTGCAAATCACCATTTGCTGGTAAATTTTGTTTTGTGTTCAATGACTCAATCCTGTGACCACCAACAACGGTGTTTTCTGTGGCTTGCCTGGACATCAATTTTACTTGCCCATTATCTGTGGATGCAGCAGAAGAATTTCCTTGATCTTGGGCACCATTGCCTGAAATCCTTGGCAAACACTGAGAAGATTCTTCAAATCCTTTTTCTGAATGTTCTTTCTCCACATCCAGAATGTCTTCATCATTTTCTAGACAGTTCATTCTGGCCATCACTTCAGCAGCCTTTTGTTCTGCAAACAGTACTTCATTATCCGGCCTGGTCACCTGACAGGGAAGAAACTTTTGACCAGTGATCCACTTTCCTCCAACTTTTGAACTTTGCTCTTTGTAATATACAACTGATTCCTCGATAGCAGCTCTTTGATCTGGAAGTTTTTCTTCAATGGCATTACTGAGTCTGCTATGACCATGATTTGGTAGTTTCTCCTCTGATATCAGTAATTTGTTGTAGGTCGAAAGTTCAACCGATTGTTGTGAGTTGGAGTCACCGTTAACACCTCTGTTGTTTGTTGCTATGGAAACAGGACTACAATTGTCATGTTTTGCTACTGGCTGGTCATGATGGTTGGCTGATACAGCTGGAGTTCTGTGTTCTATATTGTTTGTGATGCTAGATTCTTCACTGATAGCTTTCCTTCCATTGTTTCTTTGATCTCCTGTCAAACACAAAATTTAAAGAAATACAAAAAATTTCGGCACACCCACACATGTACAGTACAGTTGAATGGTCCAAATTATCACTCTTTCTGCAAATCCCTCCAACATACATGAAATTACTATTAAGAAGAGCGAAAGAAATCAGGTTCTCAATTCTCCATACTACTTTCCTTACCTTTTTGGTGACCTTTGATATTGACCTTGACCTTTTTTAAGTTATTCCCATGTTAATTACATCCAACACAAATGAAAATTCTGTTATGTTTATGACGCAAATCTAAAAAATATGGCCTCAGTAGAATAATTGAAGTGACTCCGTGACTCTTTGAGTTAAATGCCGAAACAAGGTCTGATTCTTCTATATAGAAGGTCACAATCTGCAAAACTACCCAGGTAATTACTAATAGTAGGGGCATTTTCTTCCTCTAAGAGATATGATCATGGAGGAAATATCACAAAGAGGTTATGTTGGTTTTTTTTTTTTTTAAAAATGTCTCCATCTGAAACAAAAAGGTGATAGGTTTTTAATGCTTGTGGTTTTTAAATCAGGTTATATTGTAAATTAGAAATATGATTTGTGTGTCCTTGAATATTTAATGTATTGGACTCACCATTTTGTTGGTTACGCCTTGGGCTCTCTCGGGTTGAACTCCTCTTCGCTCTCCTTGGTGTTTTTATGGGACTCTGGATGCCTTCAGATTCAGCGGTTGAGTCATCAGAAATGAGCCCTGCACCATCCTGTATACTTATTGCTATAAAAAAATTACTACTATATAAATCTTATGTCTAAGTGCCATATAGGTAAATTATGAACATTCAAATGAGCTGTGTACCTGCATAGGTTTCATTGATAAAACAATCAATTAGATTTTTAATTTCTTACTATTTATCTGAAATATTGTTTACAAGATTGTCTAATAATTTTTATGTATTAACTCAATAAGAAATAAAAATATAAATACTTGAAGTATTACAAAAATAACTGATAATAACCATTTTCACCATCAAAAAGTCATTTAGGAAAATCAAAATAAAAGAGATTCTTTGATATAACATTTCACATTGAAAGTGGACAATTCTTTCAAGCATGTATAATTTGCAAAGAAAGGGATCATTTTCAACCAAGAAAGGTAAGTAAGACATGAAAAGTTGAATTTTTTTTTTATCAAAAATAACATATACTCAATGGTTATGACTTTAATCATAGAACTGGTTAGCCATTCTTCAACTTATTTTATTCTCCACAGAGGAACATCTGCATGTTGTACATCAGTAATTTCCGGTCTTCTTTATACTTCTGATAAATATATATATTTCTGATTCCCATATTCCCAGTGTGAGAGCTGTCAGCTATATGTCTCAAGCTAGTAAATGTCATAACTTTGAAAAATCCAGCGTTAACATGAAAACAAAGGTTTAACATTACCTGGTGAGATTTTAGGACTACAAAACCGCTGCTTCCTCTTTCTACCTCTTCTAGGTGTTGACTTTGGGCTGACTGTACTCCTCACTGCAAAATACATCAACATCAGTCAATGATGTATTCATATGCATCTTGAAATATGTCGAGGAGGCCAAAACAAAAACAAAAACATCAAAGTTGGGATGAGCTCAGACGTAATTCAAACCCAGTAGATCTTCACTGATGGCAAGTACATATCTTAGCTATGAAAAAAACACTGTTAAAGTGTTGATAATACTGTTTGCAAAATTAAACCAACTAAACATCACAACATTTCCTGATTCAAAGTTTTAAAGAAGAGTTGTTCCCCTTGACCAAACAGAAGCATTTCCTATTTAAGATAATTATACTTCTCTCCCACTTCTGATACAATTATGCCTTGTTACATTGAGATCGGATCAATTTATTTTACTTTTCATGAACATTTCATTTAATTGACTCTCTGAGGTTTCATGTATAGAAACAGTGCATTCACTTATCATAAGGAATGGCACAGGACATTGCCAAGATTTAATTTCTGCTTTAAATTTTATATCTCTTGGTGCCATTAAAATATCAGACCTTCTACCATTTATGTTAATGTACTTAGGAATTTAATTCTTTCCAATATTTCACACAACAGGTACTATGATTGAAACAACCACCTTCACTCTGTTCTGATTTTTTTTGTTTATGGTGGCCATTTTCTCTACAGCTGTCTTCCATTTGTTCAGCTGTGCAGTACTTGTTATCCTGTGAAATAAAGAAACGACAAGAAAATATTTCATTTAAATCCTCTTCATTTAGTAGAGAGATTTGGGAGATCCCATTAGGTCTACTAAATATTAGTACGTTTGAGTACAAAATACACATGAATCCGGTTTTGTGTAAATAGCAAAATGTCTTAAAGATGTTATTCATTAGAATACATAGACAGTTACAAAGGGAAGCATAAAGAATGATGAACCCTACCTCAATTTTTAAATTATATGAAACCGACAACTTGACAATGTGACGTCACATCTTAAGGATAGCTGTTCAGTTTACCTGGAAAAAATACCCTCAGTGACAAAAGATTCCAATATAGGTTGTCAAAAATCATAGCATTTTTCCTGCACTATAATTTCAACATGCCTTTGAATGACTGTCCGTTGATGGCCTTACCACAAAAAATAGGCCTACCGTATTTACACACCATCATCAATGAATCGGCTGGTCTGAATCAAAAGTCTGGGAATATGATTTTCAGTCTAAAAGGACACGTCATCCGTTTTGTATAACATACCTCAAGCTGAAACAATTCAAATCTTCCACAGGTCTTTTGTCAACAAATCAGCTTCGCCGATGTTTACACTTGGCGTCTGCTACAACACGATGAGCATCATGGGATACATAGATACGGAGACAGAGTTATGTCCCTTCAACTAAGCGTATGGAAGTTCATTTGGCGGCAAAATCCAGGTCGGACTTAAGTCGACATTAAATATTTAACCGGACTCGAACATTCCGTTCCGTTCTAATTGGATTAAGATGTCATAAACTTCGTACATCGTCAACGAGCTATATTAGTACGAAATGACATAAGAGAACATATTTTAATTTCCAGCTAGATCGGAGACTGAAGTACAATTGCGACATCGATTAAAAATTAAACAAAAAAGGTAAAATGATATTTTCTGCGCGACTCTTTAGTCGAGAGTATATTTGTGTAAATGTTATGATAGCTTCAGTGCCGTTACTTAATACTGAAGTGGTAAACTCACGAAACATAGCACACACAAAAAGACGGCACAGCAACACAGCATTTTAGTATCAATACTCAAAATTCTTAAGTATTCAAAACTTTTTTCGAATCTCAGAAAACTATTTTCTTACATAGCTGCAAATTGCTGAAAATGAAAACGCAATCATTTTTGCATGAAAACGCCATAATTCGATGGCTCGACTGTAGTAAAAACAAAAATAATTTGTTATTGCAATGTTGAGCTGTTAAATCTGAGAAATCAACTCACAAAAGAATGAATTTAGACTTAACTTTTAGTATCGAGTGAAATATCCAGTATCCAGTTACCATCTTTGGAGTGTGAGACGTCATCTTTTTTGTTTTCATACCATTCTGTACCTTATTCTGTTTTTTTCTTAGTATAGCAACTGACAGGTTGGTTTTGATGATTCTGCTGTTTGCTACTGTTTTGCTGTTATTTGCATCATCTTTTTTATTACTTACCTATCTAGGTAAAAGTGGATAAGAACAGCACGGATTGAGTGCTTGAAATGAAGTAGGTAAGGAAGAGGATCTGAATCTCATTTCATTTTGAAATTTATGAAGAAGATAATTTTAATTTAAGTGTACGTTTTGACAAAATTGAAATAATTTTGTTAACCCTGCGGTCTAGGCTTTGCCTTTGCATTTATTCTTCTTCTTCGAGGTATACAGAATTGATAGAACATGTATTTGATTGAAGGAAAAGGTGAATTTATATAATGTCACACACCTGAAGGAAAATAAGACAGGGGGCGACACATTTCTGTTCCATTACCCTCTCCTCATTCCGCTTGCAATCGCAGTGACAGTGTATATAGTCGGGTTTATGATGTTTTAAGAGGGACGATTGTTACATATAGTGTGAGATCGAGGGTAGAGTGGTGTATGTAGTGGTGCATGTGATGTTTTGAGAGGGACCATTGCTAGTGTGAGATTGAGGGTAGGGATGGTGTATGTAGTGGTGTATGTAATGTTTTGGGAGGGACCATTGCTAGTGTGAGATTGAGGGTAGGGATGGTGTATGTAGTGGTGTATGTAATGTTTTGGGAGGGACCATTGTTAGTGTGAGATTGAGGGTAGGGATGGTGTATGTAGTAGGGTGTGTGATGTTTTGATAGGGACGATTGTTAGTGTGAGATTGAGGGTAGGGATGGTGTATGGAGTATGTTATGTGATGTTTTGATAGGGACGATTGTTAGTGTAAGCTTGAGGGTAGGGATGGTGTATGTAGTGATGCATGTGATGTTTTGAGAGGGACGATTGTAGTGTGAGATTGAGGGTAGGGATGGTGTATGTAGTGGTGCATGTGATGTTTTGATAGGGACGATTGTTAGTGTGAGATTGAGGGTAGGGATAGATATGTAGTGGGGTTATGTGATGTTTTGATAGGGACGATTGTTAGTGTGAGATTGAGGGTAGGGATGGTGTATGTGGTGGTGTATGTGATGTTTTGAGAGAGACGATTGTTAGTGTGAGATTGAGGGTAGGGATGGTGTATGTAGTGGCATGTGTAATGTTTTGATAGGGACGATTGTTAGTGTGAGATTGAGGGTAGGGATGGTGTATGTAGTGGTGTATGTAATGTTTTGATAGGGACGATTGTTAGTGTGAGATTGAGGGTAGGGATGGTGTATGTAAAGGTGTATGTGATGTTTTAAGAGGGACGATTGTTAGTGTGAAATTGAGGGTAGGGATGGTGTATGTAGTGGCGTATGTGATGTTTTGAGAGGGACGATTGTAGTGTGAGATTGAGGGTAGGGATGGTGTATGTAGTGGCATGTGTAATGTTTTGATAGGGACGGTTGTTAGTGTGAGATTGAGGGTAGGGATGGTGTATGTAGTGGTGTATGTGATGTTTTGAGAGGGACGATTGTTAGTGTGAGATTGAGGGTAGGGATAGTGTATGTAGTGGGGTTATGTGATGTTTAGGGAAGGACGATTGTTAGTGTTAGATTGAGGGTAGGGATGGTGTATGTAGTGGTGTATGTGATGTTTTGATAGGGACGATTGTTAGTGTGAGATTGAGGGTAGGGATAGATATGTAGTGGGGTTATGTAATGTTTTGATAGGGACGATTGTTAGTGTGAGATTGAGGGTAGGGATGGTGTATGTGGTGGTGTATGTGATGTTTTGATAGGGACGATTGTTAGTGTGAGATTGAGGGTAGGGATGGTGTATGTAGTGGGGTTATGTGATGTTTTGATAGGGACGATTGTTAGTGTGAGATTGAGGGTAGGGATGGTGTATGTAGTGGTGTATTTGATGTTTTAAGAGGGATGATTGTTACATGTAGTATGAGATTGAGGGTAGGGATGGTGTATGTAGTGGTGTATGTAATGTTTTGGGAGGGACGATTGTCAGTGTGAGATTGAGGGTAGGGATGGTGTATGTAATGGTGTATGTAATGTTTTGATAGGGACGATTGTTAGTGTGAGATTGAGGGTAGGGATGGTGTATGTAGTGGTGTATGTGATGTTTTGATAGGGACGATTGTTAGTGTGAGATTGAGGGTAGGGATGGTGTATGTAGTGGTGTATGTGATATTTTGGGAGGGACGATTGTTAGTGTGAGATTGAGGGTAGGGATGATGTATGTAGTGTGACTGTTTTATTGCTGGGAGGGAGGGTTATTAATGTCTAGTGAGGCTGGGAGAGATTAGCATGTGACGAATACGCCTAAGGTTTTTATTCTGGGAGGGATTGTTAATGATGTGTAGCGATGATAGTGAAGTGATGTTGGGAAATCGATGTTTTTTGTTCTGGAGGTTGTAAGTAGAAAAGGAGGATAAGGTACACATTGACGATATACTTTATATTGACACAGCTCAAGGAGTGATGTAGTAATGGAGGGATTCATTCATAAAGGCTAGCTTTGTTTAGTCGAGTTAAGAACAAGAGGCGAGAACCTTACACATTTTTGTTAGCGTGTTCAAGATCTTAGTTCCCTGACGTTGTTTTAAACGTGAGGCAAATAAACACGTTATTGATATACAAACAATAAAGATGCGCGAAACTTTCTCATTTACTCTTTAACTAGGGAATGATTTCATAATAAAAAGCGTGGAAGCGATCGGATTAAGGGGGCGGATCATGTACGATTCTCGCGTCTAATCCTGCTTAGAGGATTTCGCGCCCCTACAGGGATGTGTCTATTGTTCGTCTCAATATACTCTTTAGCCTTTCACTTGAAGTGGAATATCTCGTTCGCCTTGGACAATACAGACATGAAGGATAAAGTTAACTAGAGAAATACTGGGGTATTAGAGGGTAATTAAGACAGTGTAACAGATAGTCCACAAGTATCTTCGTCTCATTTACGGGCGCAAACTACACATCTTGTCGATCAGAAGCAAGCCTTTTCAAGAAATCTGGAGTCGAAATTGGAACTTTGAAGTACTAGAACAAACTACACCATTCTAAAAATGGAATTTTACAAAGTTTGAAATCTGGATTGTTTTTGCTCTGAACGGAAACCATTACAATAATTGTTTTGAAAACAAATTCTAAAGAATGAGGATTGCAACTGTTTTAGGAATGTGAAGAACAGGACATTAAAAAAATATTCCAAGTGGAAAAACATTTCTGGAAATTACTGTATTATAGATGTAATAATTTATTCAATATCGAACTATTTTATTATAATATTAAAAGTTAGTTTATATAAAATTAATTGAAAATGAGTGAGAAGGACTATAGCGACGCTGAAGATCTGACGTACAAACCCGATCCAGAAACCATCTGTAGACTAGGACAAGTTTCCAGGAAGAGAGAACAAGGTTCGGACGATGAAGAAATAGATGTGGTGGATGACAATGACAACGATTCCTCAGACAGAGGTAAATATTAACATTGTTTTATATGACAAAATCAAACTTTAACATTTCTTAATATACCCTCACGTCATGTCTTGAATTTTGGGTCTAAACAACCAATATTTAATGTATATTTTTTTTATTTTGTTTAAAATATTTGCTTGGAATTGTTGTTCTACTAAATCATATATTGTTAATGTACGCATCCAATTAGAATAAAGTCAAGATCATCTAAAAGTTCGCAAAACTTACTAATATTTCCAATGGTTTATATACCAAAAAATATTCATGGATGTTTTCAAATGCCTTGTGGATATTTTAATAAGTAATCGATTTGCTTGTGGACAAGACTCGAGTTTTCAAAATAATAGTACAGTCGTGGTAATTGTAATGAAGATATTCTTTGAAAGAATGTAATAGAAACTTTACAGATTAACTATATGCAAACAATGCATTGTAACTTTAATAATTTCAGTTGCATTCTGGCAACTGTGACGGAGATTTTATATCAGTGAAACTAATTAATAGACTATGTATTTTCATTTCCTTCAATTGTATGTAAACTTTGTAACACAATGTTCGCGGAAAATTCAGCACTGAAGAAATGTATGAAATTATAACGCAACTAAGAATGTACATTGGATTAATGTAATAAAGCTTTGAGAATTTTCATGTCAAAACGAAAATAAAATTTTAATATTTATGCATAATTTCTATATTTACTCTATATTGATACAAAATTATGTAAATTTTATAAATCAAATTGATCTAGACAATGTTAATCAGTTTTGATAATTTACATGTGCTACAAAATGTTAAATTTCACTGGTTTTCAACCAAAAACCTTGAAAATTCAATAACTTTAAATACACATATCTAAAACAAATTGATATAATCGTGTCGATTTTTCTAAATGTGTGTATATTCTGAATGAGTTGACGAGATTGTTTTATATACCAGTTGAAACATTCTTTTTTTCACTCAGAATTTATCAACTTTAACAAGTGATAATTTGTAAAACTTTGACACGTTGAAACTATGGACATGCAATATATTTTAATGATCAGAACTTTTGATATCGTAATTTATACGCTATCTTTCTGTAATAGAGAGCTCTGCGGAAACAGTCTGTGTGTCGAGGACAACCAGATAACGGTTCATACTAAGTGTGACTGAGGATGGAATATTAATTTCATAAAATTTTCTTGTTTCTTTTTCTTCCTTTTTTAAAGATAAATGTCTATAATTTCATCGTAAAACGAAAAGCAGAATTATTTATGATTTTGATATTGTGGTTATTTGATACCGCGTTTCGCTGTAAATATCTTTATTTTTTATTTATAATTTATGAAAAGATTTACAATATCTTATATATTAAAGTCGATCACATTATACGGAAATTGATGAACAAATACTTCATCATTTGTATTTTTATGAATTTTTTTTCTAAATTCATTTTGAACAGCAACTTCATAAAGTATAGTACCACAGACTTGTGTAATGATTAAATCGCCTTAGACGAAATGTTTTTTTTTTTTTTTTCAAAACCCCGGATACATTAAAATGATATTACTTCATTATACATTGATGGAACATGATACAACTTAAACCGCCTTGTTTTCAACCCAGGAATTATTTTTTCTTCATCTTTTTCCTTTTCTCTTAATGAAATTAAGTTCTCACAAATTCTATTTTTATATATATTTTTTAATAAAATCATGTTTTAATAGTGTAAAAAGGAGCTGATAACGTCGATTTCAAAAGATATATATATATGACATTAAATGAGTTTTTTATATGAATTTTTATGAAGGAAGTCTTTTTTGCGCACTTTTTCCTGGAATGTAAGCTTTATGATAGGGTAAGAATATCATTTTTTCAAAGTATAAACATGTTGAACTTAGATCAAGTGAATTTACATCTATTTTTATTTGGAAATGAAAATCTGTCCCTAACCACAAATACAGAAGTATTCAGACACGTGCAAATTTTTATCAAATCCAGCAACAGATTTTAAGTAAAATGTACTAAATGTTGAATATATTATGTATGCCTTGTTAATGTTATCATGTAAATATTTATCATGTATTGTATTAGAGTAAAAGGCGGTCATAAGTTGAAATAACTTGTGCCTAATCCTCTGCTCAATTTTGGGGCAATAAATATGTTTAAATCAAGGAAGTCTAGAACTTTTATTTTTCGAGCTTTGGCAAGCTAAAAATGGAAGACAAATTTCAGAAAATCTCTTATTAAATTAAAACAAATATATTAAGACACATTTTTCATCACATAACTCAGCAAAGTTACATACTGACAGATTCTAAAGTAAAAAAATGTTCAAGACAAATAAGGTAGCAACATTTCGAATCCATGTTATTCAGTCCGTATTATGACATCACAATCGATTTTTGGCTGGCTTAGCCAATGAAAAACGTTCTGGGGGTGTATTTCACTAATGCGGAAATTGTAAAAAAAATAAATATGGTCGAATTTACTGGAAAACAAATGTGATAATAACATATTTGTACTTTTCGCCGAATCCTCATTATCATGCATTATTGTATCATTCGTAGGTGTTTCTGGTTAAAATAATGTGTGCATATTAAACAATAAATGTTTCAGTATATTTTTGTAGAAAATATAATGGAGGGAGATGAGGTTAAATCAACATTTATTTTATTCAGGATATGATAATGAGGTTGACTGTGATGGGGATGCAGATGACGATTTATCTGCTTCTTTGAAAAAGCAGAGACGAAACCGGACGACATTTACGGCGGACCAGCTCCGGGAGCTAGAAGCGGTGTTCACACATACTCACTATCCGGATTGTACGCTCCGAGAACAGATCGCCGAGAAAGTAGAACTGACAGAGGCCAGAGTCCAGGTTCGTTAAAAAATTCTTGTTATAAAGAACCGTATAGATATTGTAAGGATAAAATCAATTTATAATAACACACAATAACATGGTATATTTGTCCTCATCATTAATTACTAGAGTTGTCGTTCTTGAGCATTTTTAAATTGTTGAGTGTAAACATATTTTGCTTCCAAAATTTAATCAGGAGGATTGGCACAGGTTGTATCAACGTTTTGAAGCATTCTCCTTCACAATACACATCAACAACACGACAGCGTCATTGCACTTCATATACTGTATAAACATTAATTTTCGTGGGGATTTGTTTGATTTCATAGGTACTCTTAGTCCAAGATTATGTATAAGTAGGTTTATTTAGCAATCCACAAAATCAAGTGTTGAAAAAAAAATAAAGATAAAAAACCACGAAATTTGAGCCCACTAAAATATATTGGTTTACAGTACACGCACACACAACCAGTGATGTACACATCGCCGGATTGCAATTCGAACGGTTTTTCGGTTATAACCAATTATGTTTTAATCAGCTCAACATTCTGGCATCTTGATGACCATGAGAAAAAAATGATAATTATAAAAGAGAAAGAAAAGAAACAAAAATAATAAAGCGACACATGATCCTCTCTTCTCATGTAAAGTTTCTTTCGAATTCGACAGATATATTTTCAAGAAAAGTGCCAGAAACTTCTGGAAGAATACTGAAAAAGCAACGCGTTCTCTACTTCGTTTGGTGAACTTATTGTAATTCGGTAATGATGATATTACAAAGGATACCATTGTATGGTTGATGTTTTGTCCCTTACAGAAGTTTTTGATTTTTTTTTTTTTTTTTTTGGAAATCAGTTTCACACTCAAAAGAATTATGGATAAGAGTCGGGGTTACCATAAACAGTATGACATATCGTTATCATTAAAGTATTTGTAGGCGGATTAAGTCAGTTAACATATTTATAATTTCCATTTCATCAATGTGATTATAAGGATATATAACAGATGTATGTGTAAAATATAATAAAAATTTAGAATCTCATGAATAACGGTAAAACAAAGAAACACGTGTTTGCGGGTTTTTTTCATATACAACTTTAAAACTTGTTACTTAATTCATAGAATACAAACTTGTAAACGTATGAATTTTCGGCAACTCGAACACAACTGGAAAGTTTATGCCTCTAGGGACAGATTAGCGGTCCTTGTTTTGTGACACAAAGGGGTAGATTAGTAGCCCCTGATAGGAGATACAGACACACAGGTGGCGCTGCAGGAAGCCAGTAGCCGCCACTAACACACTTGATAATTTTATAAATTGGGACAGTGATGGAAAGTTTCCGACATAGTAATAGGACAAAACAATTTTAACTAATCCTCTTTTGGGTTCACAGGGATGAATTGTCGAGAAGAATATCCCTATTGTGGAATTAAAATGCAAATTGATCTGAAGTATTAGACATTTTCACTAATGAGGTAAAATACTCTCGTTTGGAAAACACTGTAAACAATTTGACAGTGATCCCCGACAGATACACCACGCGAATTAGATTGTGTGGTTTACGAATGAGGGAAGAAAAGGGAATTCTGTTCATTTAGAAAATAATGATTATAAATAAAATGTTTAAAACCTTGAATCCGAAAGATGATATTTTTTTTAAACATTTGAAATCAGTTTCCCTATTTTCAAGGTATATTTTCTATTCTTCTTGAATTTTGAATATATATAATTTCATGTTTAGTTTTTGTCCTTAATTCTGATGAGGATTTGTGTCTCACCCTTATGGATCCTCATTTAAATGAGATATTGATCAGTGCTACCGCCAATTTAACGTTATCATGTTTTAATCAAGTGGAAACATATTATAATAGTCGAACAGGATAAATATCCGGATAAAAGGTAGTGATGAGGAAAGGGGTCAGGGTGGGGAGGGGGGCGGGTCGCTTACACAGACAACGGAAGAAAACTATCTTTAACAAATTATTTCATGACATATGATAGACAATGAAATACCATGATTATAAATGTTGTCATAGTGATACAATTATATATAAAGAATACGTCATTGGAAGTTTGATAGCGTCTTTATTGGAGGCTGGTGTTCAAAGACTGATACTGGCCTTGCTTATTTAAACGGTAAAGTGGAATAGACATTTCGAGAGACAAACAGTTATGATTAACCCGGTACTCCATCACATGTTGAAATATAAAATTTAAAAAGATGACAAAAACAAACACACAAACTAAACTTGAAGAAACAAGAAATATCCATTTCACAATTTCATTTTCAAACTTCAATCCATAGTAATTTTAATCACCATTTTTTAGATTTTCACTTACGATTTTTTCCCATTTATTTTTGCGTGCTCAAATAAATATAATTGATATATTTTGATTTATTTAAAAACAGACAAGAAACCTCTTTTAAACTCATACTATTTATTGGCCTTGATAACGCGCACCGATTTTTACATTGTATACGCACGCGAAGAAAACACGTTCTACACGCGAATCAGGCCACAGTATAATCAGGATAGTATTAAGTTAAGTTTATTAACCGATACAGGATCTTATAATATCCTCTTTATCGGACTCAAAAACATGACATAAAAATTCAAATGAAAGTGAACGCGACGTTACCTGTTAATGTATCTGAGATCTATAATTATAGAGGAGTTCCTGATTTTGCCAATATTCATCCGGTCTGTTTTTAAATATATTTACGATCGGCGATAATACCACATTTTCCGGACTTTTGCAATACATATTGCTAATATTCTTTTCACGTTCTCGCAGATTCTGCCGTTTATGTCTGTGTGCATTGATTTTCTGAAATTTTGTTCTTTTGGCATGACGGGAAACTCCTCTCCTTCCTCCTCCTCCTCTTCTTCTTCTTCCTCCTCCTCCTCCTCTCTCCTCCTTCTCCTCCTCCTCTCTCCTCCTCCTCCTCCTCAACCTACCGTATCCCTTTCTTTTCCAATTCTCCTCAGTCCTAATTAGCCCGGCACATTTTTGCTGAGTCTAGACTGTTTACACCTTGCCTCGTCAAATTTAACGAGTTAATATCTTGAAGCGGATTAATATAACTGTTTCAACACTTGTTTCCGTATTTTATTCATTTGATATGTTTAGATGGCTACTGTAAATTGCTTAATATAATGAATGAATTGAATAAGTTTATATTGATCAGGACAAATATGTGCAGAAAAATTCGGATTCACTAACATTTAAAATTAAGTCCATACCGATTATTATCGTTTCTAACAAAAGAGAATTTCCGGTCCCTGTTCTCGACACGGGTTCTTTTTAGATATATTATACCTCGTCCAAGTATTACTTAACACAAGTATAATATAATAACTTGCTAATATGTTATCGAATATCAATAAATTTCTATTTGTCAAGCCAATCGGATTTGAAATTAGATTGATTATCGCCCTCAGAATTACAGCCAAAAGGCTAGCATATCTTATTAACGTAGTTTGACACACGTGACCAGTATATACCTGGCGTATCAACATACATTGTAATACTTACCAGGGATATACACACACCGGTGACATAAGATATAATTCACCGTTCCTAATAACATCACACATTATATCACGATTACAAACATAGTTTACAGCATTTCCTTTACAGGGTTTTTATTTTCACATTTATCAGATCCATATTGGAAAACTACTTCTCAAAACCGATTAATCATATATTCAGTTGAATAATCATAATAAGAACGATAAAACGAATTATTATTGTAAATTTTATTTACATACTTTAAAATTCTTATTAATTATTTTTGTTTTTTTATATTATTGATTTACCTTGTTCCTTCACGCGATATTACAAACAAGTCGGATATTGTCAAGTTTTTTTTAACAAACAATAAATTAATTTTAGGTATTTGAAAATCCATAGGACACTTTCTGAAAACGGTTTAAAAGTAGATAGTCTTAGAAGCTATAAATACGAACATGCGGAGAGAGATATCTTTGATTTCTGTTAATTTCTCCACGTGACGGTTAATACACGTCACGGGTGTATTTAATATTTTTCACGTCTTTTCAGACCGTAGTTTTCTAAAATGCTTGATAATAACTCCTGTTGGGTCGATTACATAATCGTTATACATCACACCAACAAGGGGCACAGACTGACAACAATAAGACAAATATTTGTTTATCGTTAAACATTGAGGTTAAATACAGATTACACATTAGAAATAATTATATCATTTCATACATAACCCAACAGATAGTTTAGATGACCCATCAATATACACAATAAAGTCCGTGTCATTTTGACAACCTGTTCTAATCCGATAGGTTCCGAAGTCTTGCTTCGGGCCTGGAGATTTGTTTGATCAGGGAATTAAATACGTATAGATTATATTACACTTCAAGAGATATATTCTATCACCAAATGAAAGAAAAGATTTAAAATAGTATTAAGAAATTGATATTTCTTGAATAAAACCAAGGTGCTAATTCCAACGAAAATCTCTTCCACAACCAGAATTAGTGCTCGCCCTTGCTTCTTCATTGTCCCCTACGTCCACCTCACTGATTGAGTGATAACGTTAAGATTAGTCAGTGTGTTTTTTTCGTTAGTATTCTCACATCGGTTGAATCATACTGTCTTCTGGATTGTAAATGACAATTTGATAAAGATGAGATTATCAAAGTATTTATAAAAAAAAAATAAGGAGTTTATCCCTGCGGTTGGCACGTGCAGACTTTCTGACGTAAACAGGACGTTTAAGACTAATCGGGAGGGTGTCACGAATTAATCTCTGGTTAAAAATCTCCCCAATTATTAACAGATTTGTAAAAAAAAAGATACATAAATCATAAACCTATCACAGAACGAGACAGATTTAAATATCGAGATTTAGATATATAAGCTGGTCCTCCTAATACCTGTTTCAAAATCTTCCAATTAGTCTACGTTTCTCTAAACTTTCAATTAATATAAATCGTGTCAATTTAACGAGTAAAAATTGAGATTAAAGATATAAAACATGATTTTTAATCCAGATGAGATACTCATTTTGTTAAAATTGTCCTTTTTGAAATCGAGGGCGCTTTTTATAACACCGAAGAGCAGGTTTGTTATTCAGGGAAAGTATTAAGATTATAACAAACGAAGAATTAAATACGGTGATTAGGATAAAGGTATTAAAACAGATTTTGTTAAATCGAAGCAAAACCTTTTCTCTATTTATTATTCCTGCTTTCAATTAAAGTTTAGAAACTTAAATTTTGAAAAGTAATTTTCACAATGGAATAATTATAACTTTTTAAATTAAGGATAATTAAAACAAAATTGTAATCTTAATTCGCACATTTAAATTTTAATTCGAAACCAACATGTTTTTGCTTGATGTAATTTGATTTGGATTAGTCGCTTGGCAAAGTTACAAAATATTTGCAATATTATAATTTTATTCCGAGAGATGAAACACTTGCCACTTTGAAATGGTATGTTAGTTTTTATCATAGGAACTATGACTTGTACCTGATATGAAATATGACTCTAAATCTGCACAAAATGATATAATTGACAGCCTTAGACTTTTTATAAAGATTTTTCAGAATTCAAGCTTCGATGGGTATATCTGGGGAGTTCAACTGATATATTATTATACATCATCTTGTAAATTACCGAGTGGTCTCCCCTTGGTCACAATTTCCAGTAGAATTATACAATAAAATTGCTACAAGAAGTTCACAGTGCCGTTCACAACATTCTATTTTCTAATATCTCAACATGTGATTAACAAAAGATCATTAACAGACACTTACATATAAAATGGTGAAACACCATGAAGCCCAACACGGTGACGTTTTGATAAAAAGTGATACATCTAACTGTCATTAATACCCATTCACCCCGTCCCACCAACGCTAAAGGATGTCCCAGTTCCTGGCCAATTCCTTTGATAATTTGGCTCAGTGATGTAGACAAGTTCGTCCTGAAACATGATACAAATGGCTCTGAAGAGTGGTAAATATGTGACATTTTGATATAACTTTTAAGGAAAAGAACTAATATTGTTTTGTTTCAAGTATTAATATTCCTTTCGTGTGATTTACAGGTTTGGTTCCAAAATCGTAGAGCGAAATGGAGGAAACAGGAAAAGAATATAGTACGCATGTTTGATGTTTGGAGACACCGCCTTGAACCATACCACGTGACACCACCCGCATTCTCTCCAGTCAGTTACAGTCCGTCAGCTTTCACTTCCGTCCGGAGCAGCATGTTTCCATGGTTACCTCGTCTACCTCTAAACCTTCCGCCAGTTTTGCCACTTCCCACCTTTTTACCGGAAGCTACGTCACCGTTTACAGGTTTGTATTAACGACTGTTAACAGTCTAAAATGTCGTGGTATCTTTTTTTTAATTGCTGTTTCATTCGTTCACAGTTGCAGTTTACACTCACGATGTAGTTTAGAGCTTTGGAATTAATCTTATAGTTTATAAACAAACCCTATGTATTTGTTTCTTTGTTATAGGTGAAATTCCTCCGCTTTCGTCAGTCAAACAAACTCTCAGTGACATTTCACAACGAAAACACTTCGAATCTTACGCGAGGGACTACTTACACAGGTTCACAACCGAGAGCAGAGATCGATACGCCAGGGAACAGCTGAACAGAAGATCACCGCACGTGCATTCGACGACGTCATCACCTCCGACAAGAATATGATCCGATATTGTCAACTACTGTTTCATGTATATATAAACTATGCAAATCATTTTAAAATCAATACATTTTCATATTCATAATGTTCACGGGATGTCTGGATTCAAAGTTATGAATGTATGATGTGTTTTTGCTAGTATGCAGGAGTTGTGAGAGAAATAATGAAAATTACATAACGACGAGACTTCCTTGTCACTATCGGGAATTGTCGGCACTTTCCGTAAAAGGAATAGCATGCTCTCGTTTGAGGAAAGCCGACTGTGTCCGATTGGCGTCGATGTTTTGTATTCTCCATAAAGGACATATTTCATTATCATATAAAACGCTAAAACTCATAAACTTCCGCGAACCACTACAGCAAATTATCACTCAAACACAAGTCAATATTTACATTTCGATCTCATTTCTCATGTACAGGAACGAACTGGTCCTGTGGAATAATTGCTTCTATTTTGAATTGCAAGTATGAAACAATGCAGGAATTTCTGAGCGGGAGGATGTATTTTTTATATTGTGGCATAAGGATTTGGGGTTGAGATTGGGGACAATACAATGTTTATCTCGTATGTATCCGGATTCCAAGTACATAATAATCAATGTTTTATAATATAATCTGGATAACGGAGAGTCTGATTCTTGAGTTTCCAAATTTTCCAAATTGCAAAAAAAATGTCTTTATCACGAGTATATTCAAATTTATCCGACATTTTAATTATTTCTTTATCTGAAAAGAATTCCTTTTCTGAAATTGTTTCTGAAATTTCTGAAAAGAAAAACATAAATTAGTGATTTAAGACCTGCCATATCGAAAGAAATCTTGGTATACATGATCTTCTTTATATCGCAAATGAATTCGGATAAACGAAGCAAAATATATCTCAACATAACGAGGTTAAGATTTAAATCCGGATAACTAATTAGGTTTCTTCAGAACTGTAGAATTCAGCCGAACTTGTCGGTCATTTAGACTGCCTCCGAATGTTACTTCTAAACGATAGAATTAGCCGGTTTTCTTCGATAAGTCGTGCTCAACGGAGATTCGGCCAATGAATGCTATTTGGTCCTTTGTGCCAATTCTTCTTGCGAAACTGATCTTTTTTACAACTCCCGAATAACGTTTGTTTTAAGACTGTTCATTTCATTCCACAAAGACTGTGTTTATATGTATACTCATATGCAAAAACACGTACAATGGTTGTTCTTTTTATTTTTCTATCGAAATCTTTGTGAAATAAATATGTATTGTATATAACAGAAATGCTGATTCCGTTTCATGAAATACTTTTTTTATGTCCAATATGCAAATACGTGTACAATGTGGCTGAAATCTTTATGAAATAAATATATAATTATATATGAGAGAAATTGCATTTGGATGTTTTTTTAATCGTCGTCTCCTTCATCATTCTCAATACACAATATACATTTACAAATTTGTTGTAATCTTTAAAGAAAGTAGATTTTTTATGATAAGTTATGAATGTTGTTTAAAAACCGTGTTTTGAGACCCAAAATAAAGCAAATGATTAGAATTCCATTCTAGGAACAGCACCATTTGGTTGTTTGTGGTGTAACTGTTTCGGGATGATTCTCCCTATGTCATAAGCTTCACTTGCTAGTCCTTCACTGAAATATTAAAAAGTACAATTATCAGATTTCCCGATCTTCAGTTGTTCCACATTTCAATGCCCATCCATTGGCAAATAGGACTATCGTCATGGACGACAATACCTAACCACTGAGAGCCCGCCTAATGCAAGACTATATTCAACAAGAAATGATAGAAACGCTCCCGTGGATTGCAGTGTTACCAGGCACATTAACTTAGACAACATGTGACGGGGCTTCCGTATGTTGTTCAGTTACATGTAACCACTCGCCACTACAAGAAGGTTATGCCTCCAAAGGACCCCGGCTGTTCAATAGGCGGTTAACACATCAAATTAACAAACAGCAAACGACTGCTGAAGGATACAAACAACACATCGCATTAGAGTAATATGTCTTGCAAATATAGATGAAAATTTTCTGACAAGATATATGTAGAAAATGCAAGGGAAATTGTATCTGAAATTCCCTCATTCTAAGATGTTTGTTCGTATTAAGAGTAGTTCAGAAAATTAAGTCGAGAACTATCCAAATTGTTGTTGTTCCCAACCAAGGATGGAAACTCTTAAAACAGTGAAACACGAGGTCCTATTTTGCATGCGTCACATGGTTGGCACGCGAAACAAATTGGCTATTTTTCATCCATTCCTTCACCGGATTTAGTGGTAAAGTATATAGTATAAAGTAATCACAAATATTGGTATGTATTGACCTAGCCCTCCCGACAGCCTAGCCAACATTATACATGTACCATTAAACGCCAAGTGTCATAGGGGTGTATTCTTACAAAAATGGGTGTCTGGTGTCAATAATAACAATATCAATAATAATAATAATGATAAACAGTGGTGAAAGACTTTGATGATAATAGTTTTATTTAAAAAACGTCTGTTTGCCTTTGCTATTCTGATTTGAAATTAATTAGAATTACATGTATCTACATTGTATATAGTTGACTACCCAATAGAATAAACAGAGTTATCGACCTTACATTGACCTATTTCACACATAAATGTATATTTGATGTATGCACGTGTTACTTGAGTGAAAATTAAAATCTTACTGAATATTTTCAAGTTTACCACTTAACGGTACATGTGTTAAATCTGATAAGATAAGATACGATAAAACAAATATGTCTATATATATATATATATATATATATATATATATATATAACGATACGACGTGGGAACTACTTGTAAAACCTATCACCGAATGGTCTAGCTTCCCCTCTGGTTAGATCTAGGTTAGTGAATTCCTCGGCCTGCACCTCTGAAAAAAACAAAGAGAATTTTGATATATAAACAACTTCCAGCCTTCACATTGTCCTGAAGAGTTATCTATTGTTCTCTAAGATACCGAGCAGCATTACAGACCAAAATTAAGCAGAAAAAACACTCCTTCACTATCGTCACAGTAATTCTAGATCCAATGTCATTCATCGTTATCTTGTTCCTCTCTCCCTTTCCGTTAATACTTACTTTTTATTAACTGGCCTCTTTAAGTGACAGATAAGCTAAAATGCCTTGATGGACAAGTTCCGTTTTAAGAAGAAACTAAGCTATCCAGACAGACCGAATCTGATATGTATAATCAATACCTCTTCCGGGCATTTAAAATATACTAACGGAAAAAAATGTGCATGTGTAAAATGTTGATGTATAGCTCAATTTTATCAGTGAAAGGTTGAAACTTAAAACATTGAAGTTGTGTATGCCTCTCCGTCATTAACACTGATGAGTGCATGATTTGCACGGGTAGTTTGTCTGTTTGGCCCACGTCTTCGTTTTCACGTTCTTTTTCGGCCAGCAGCCAATCGGAAACACTTTTGTCGCCTAAACCAGTGTAAAAACATAGTGTAACACTCAAAAGCAGCGTGATTTTGAAAAACGTCTTTAATACGGCATGCCAAGGTTGAATGAAATTGGCAGATGCCGTGCCGTAGGCATGATCGAAGCTGGTGTGCGTAATACTGACATTGCCAGACAATTTGGTGTGTACCGAAATACTGTAAACGCCCTGTGGAGACGGTACCGACAGTTTGGGTCCACCAGAGACCGACCTCGCTCAAGACTAACACGTGTAACGTGTGTAACATCTAATCCCCAGGATACGTATTTCCGGCTCGTTCATCTCCGTGAACGACTCAGAACTTCTTTGACGGCTAGAAGTATTCATAGCCTTAGAAGAATGAGTCCCCAAACGGTATGTAATCGATTGTTTGAACCAGGCATACGTCCACGACGTCCTGACATACGCCCTGTTCTCCAGCAACGTCATCGTGTAGCACGTTTAGCCTGGAGTAGACGACACATACACTTCACGTGGCAGGACTGGCCGCGTGTTCTTTTCACGAATGAGTCCAGATTTCATCTCGACAACAGCAACGGTTGTTCCAGAGTGTACCGCCGTGTTGGTGAACGTTTCCATGACAGTCTTTTAATTCAGCGACGTCCATTTGGCAGATGTAGTGTCATGATGTGGGTGGCATCTCATTACATGGCAGAACAACTCTTGTGGTTGTGGACAGCACTCTTACAGACATTAGAAACCATCCGGCCTCGCGTCCTTCTATTTGTGCAGCAACGTAACGCCACGCTGCAACAGGATGACGATAGTCCGTAAGTCGCGCGGACCGTCACCAACTTCTTGACCTAGAACAATGTGACTGTGCTGTGCTGGCCTGCAATGTCACCGGAACGGTCACCTATAGAACACGTGTGGGATGAGATGCAGCGTCGCTTACGTCGCCTTCATAGTCAGCCGTTGACGTTACCTGACCTGTCACGTGCGCTTGTGAGAATATGGAACGGTATTCCCCAGGCATTTTTCAGAACACTTGTCGTATCAATGAGGCATCGTTGTCAAGCATACATCGATTCCAATGGTGGATATACAGGGTATTGATGAGCTGAACATTGTTTAGAGAACGTCTGTGAAAACTGATCTCTATCCAAGTCGCTGCTGATGCAATAACCATATCAATTGAGCTGACGTTAAATATAAAGGTCAGAAAAAAAACTGTTGAAACCTTTATGGCGATTTCTGATATAACTCCTAAGTTATAGCATATTATACCCATGCACAATTTCTTTTTTCCGCTAGTATATATACCACTATCTCTTTCAAAATAGATAATTGTTTGACGTTTTAAGATATGCTAAATTAAATATCACAAATCAAAATTCATACAGTATAAACATATGAATCATTCCACAAGTGAATTCCATATGTTCTCTCTCTTCCTTCAAAATGCTTTCGCATCTTAATTACACTCAATATGTCATTCTTATGATGACGTCATACAAATAAAAGCTAGAACTGTGCAAACCGATTACCCACAACAATTGCAAAATATTACACACGCGGACAAGCGCATGCAGGAGTCTGGTTCTTCCTACTATTTGAATGTAAATACATTCATTGAATTATTTAAGACCATGTGTAGTGCGGTGGGTTTCCCCGCCCTTTACATACCTAAGTCAAGGTCCACGTGCACGGATTGACTTCCCCTCACGTGACAAGTGTAGACTCCGATATTATCGGCACTAGCCGACTGGACGTGCAGTAATTTTATCCATGGACTCACTCCAGGGTCCACATATATCCTAAAATTATAATGATGATAAAAGTAAAGTAGATCTGTGTGTGTGTGTGTGTGTGTGTGTGTGTGTGTGTGTGTGTGTGTGTGTGTGTGTGTGTGTGTGTGTGTGTGTGTGTGTGTGTGTGTGTGTGTGTGTGTGTGTGTGTGTGTGTGTGTGTGTGTGTGTGTGTGTGTGTGTGTGTGTGTGTGTGTGTGTGTGTGTGTGTGTGTGTGTGTGTGTGTGTGTGTGTGTGTGTGTGTGTGTGTGTGTGTGTGTGTGTGTGTGTGTGTGTGTGTGTGTGTGTGTGTGTGTGTGTGTGTGTGTGTGTGTGTGTGTGAGAGAGAGGGTGTGTGTGAGGGTGTGTGTGTGCATGTGCGTGTGTGTCATTGTTGTCAATTCTGCCAGGCCACGACAAATAGCTTATTAAATCACACAGAAAGATCACTTTAACTTGATGATGATCATCATCATCATCATCATGACGATGATTGATGGTTTCTATGTAAAAGAATAAAGAGGGGGAGGAGGAGGAGGAAAGGAGGAGGAGGAGGAGGAGGAGGAGGAGGAGGAGGAGGAGGGATATTTACCTGCCCTTTTCTGACCTTATCCTGGTGTATCTAGGTCCTAACCATTCTATGGGGGGCGGGTTCTCTTCGGCCCCTGGACAACGGTACTCACAGGAGAGCGAGACCGTATCTCCTTCTCGAACGTTTATTTTTGTCTTTGTTACGTTGTCGAACGTATTTTGGCTCCAGATGGTCAGAGAACATTGGGCGGCGTCTGACGTAGGTGCGGGACTCGCCTCCACACAACATGCTACTAAACAAACAGATTCATTCTAACTTTAAAGGTGTCTACATTTTCAGAACAAAGATCAAATCAGACTTAAAAAGATAAATTATTGATATTTAATTCTATCATCAATTAAGGAACGACGTAATTATGAATACCGAAATATTCTTTCTTATTTATTTATTTATTTATTTATTCATTTATTTATTCATGTCCGTGTTGACACCATTCCCTGACCGGACGTAAAAAGACATGAAGACATATATCGTTGTATTATCAATTTTGTAAGGACTTCGTAAGGTTATATAACTAAAGGTCTTACAGCTTTCGGTAAATAAAATAACTGAAACTTTTCCCCCTCCTACAGACCCCCTTACTCGTTCTCACTGGAAACAACAAAAACCATCTATATAGATATAAGTTTTAGAATAAATGAATTGAATTTTATCTCAGAATGTAAAAAATAATGCAGTAATATTTGTCAATATCTTAACAGAATTTCATTTCGAAAATTACTGATGAAATTGTTAGCTTTTGTCTGGTTGTAATAAATTGGTATTATAGAAATCATATATTTACTAATATTCATGTAATATCAAGCTTATGATTAGCATCAATGAATATATAATACAAGAAATGATTATTTGTAAATATATTCATTTTTTTATACTTACCGAAAAGTAGAAGAAATGAGGCTACACAACGCAATACCCCGTTCATGTTTACTTATCTGTGTGTAACGTCTGTAAAACATGGATGAAATGTTATTACCTCGGTTGAACATGAATCTAAGGCCAAGGCAACTTAGATCATAGTTTAATGCTGGATTAGTGTTTAATTATTTTCATTCGTCACCAAATTATAAGAAAATAAATGATACTGTATCAAGTTTATATCTGTACGAAATTCATAAATAGAAATAACAATTTCTAAGGTTGTCAATATAAAAAGGTTAAACTTCAGTTGATCTTTATAATATGAATGTTTTAATCTTTAAATTATCGATATAGTTTTATAAGAAACTCCCTAGCCAGAAAAATATATCCCAGATATTTTTATCTCTTAACAATAAAACATCAATGATATTAGCAGAGTTACAAGACCTCTATATTTCCATTCTAAAGTTTAATCTTAGTTTGTGAATATAAAACATACTAAACGCAAATTTCTTTGGTCTTGCCTGCTTAAGTGTTTGTGTTATTGTATCTATACACAAAAGGTACTGTACTGTCAAATGTCGTGCACTACACAGGAAGTGATGACGTCAGCATCAATGACGCATACTACAACCCACACAAAATTTAATACTAAACATTTTGTCGTTTTCTCTGTAATGCACAGTCAACAGTGTGCTCTGTTTTGATCGTTATTCTACTACAGTTCGTGTTTGTTGGCGTAAACGTTGACATTACAGCAGTTAAATTCTGAAATCAGTAAAAATCCTTTTGTTTCCGGACATCTTACGACAAGAGTATAACAAATCGGTATCCTAGATTAGGAGGAACTGATTTATTGATTCGTTAATGTAAATTAAGGTAATCCAGGGACTCTCAGTATTTCTCCTCAATTCGAACTGTCCAGGAAAACATTGTTCGAACTGCCTTACTTTATATAAAAAATGTTTTTGGCTTAAATAAGCTTTTAGTTGCGTCAATTCTTTACAAAGGGCACACGTGTTCCTTTGTTAAACCCTTTACAAGTCGTAATGATGTTCTTATCTAATATCGCAACTACAAAGTGTTTACAAAATAGGACCATAAGAAAACAACAAGAAAATGCATCATGTCAACATAATCATAATCAAAACTCAAATTCAACACAACACGGGTAATATATGAACCAAATAATTATTTACAGGAGACTCCTGCAAAAGTACAATGAAAATAAAATCAGAGGTCCCGGAAGAGTAAGCGCCTTCTGCTTTATCATCGACGCCTGCCATGTTAACCTTGGTCAACCCAAGTGAGTAATGTCATGTTCTCAAATGAGGACAAGGTATAGAACAACGGAACCAACAGGAAAACTAACGAGCATCTAACACGTGCAGCTTCATATCACACAATGGAACCAACAGACAAACTAACGAGCATCAAACACGTGCAGCTTCATATCACACAATGGAACCAACAGGAAAACTAACGAGCATCAAACACGTCCAGCTTCATATCGCACAACGGAACCAACAGGAAAACTCACGAGCATCAAACACGTGCAGCTTCATACCATACTATGGAACCAACAGACAAGCATCAAATACGTCCAGCTTCATATCGCACAACGGAACCAACAGGAAAACTCACGAGCATCAAACATGTGCAGCTTCATATCGCACAACGGAACCAACAGACAAGCATCTAACACGTCCAGCTTCATATCGCACAACGGAACCGACAGGCAAACTCACGAGCATCAAACACGTGCAGCTTCATATCGCACAACGGAACCAACAGACAAGCATCTAACACGTCCAGCTTCATATCACACAATGGAACCAACAGGAAAACTAACGAGCATCAAACACGTGCAGCTTCATATCACACAATGGAACCAACAGACAAGCATCAAACACGTCCAGCTCCAAATCACACAAAGAAATGAATTGACACGTGATTTTTTTTTCAGAATGAAATCAATATGACGACCGTAAAACTTCCCCATCATTTTTTTTATCTATTGAAACCTTTTAAAAACCATAACTTGTGGATGCAGGATTATTGCTATCAAGAAAAGGCAAATTCACTACAGGGAAATTGGAATCATCACACCTATCGTACTGGTGGAAAACTGACCATGTTGGTTTCGTTGTAGGAAAAGATCGAAATAAGCTGCTGATGTAGAAAAATCTGGCTCGTTCTTGATTTCCAATCCTGGTGGATTCATGCGATGGACGTAGTCAATATATCTCGTGTTGTTTAAAGACCAGACATCACCAAAATACATTAAAGTAAAATTAAACGACTTTGCAAGGTCTTTGTGGCCTATTTTGGAAAGCTCTTCGACAAAATGTCAGCCAAGTCAGAAGCTAATTATTAAATACGAAAAAGTTTCGATCCGTATGAGGCGAAATCGAAAAAGTTTTAAACTTAAAGATAACCTTGATGTAAACCTTCATATTTATATGATATTGATAGTGACATACCAAAATTTAGAATAACCCACAATAAATGTCCTTAACGAATGGATAGTAAGATTTTAAATGCTTTATCGGTAATCGATTTACCAATACTATAAACACAAAAAATTTTACAAGGATGGTCAATATCTCTTGCCATATGCTAAATGTAGACACTGATCACTTATCATGTCTGTAGGATTTTTTTCTACTAACAACGTTTAAATATTTGTAATATTTCGATTAAAATTCTAAATGTATATTTGAAATGCAATCGGACATTCATTACACTGTAGATAGTACTGAAATATTCACATTTTACATATATACATGTAAGTAATTATATCCTGTGCGTTTTATCTCGCTTTATATATTTATTTTGAGAATATTGTTAATTTCATGAAAATCTATTAGTGTGTATCGTACGCTATATTACTTTAAACACTGTTGTGTTTCATAGTATGATAGCTTGTAGTCTATTTCAGTGTAAACATTTGTATCTTCCTCGATACTCCAGGAGTTACAATCACTTCCGGTTTCAACACCCCAAGAACATGTCATGGCAAAACAGAAGGCGCAAGTGAAGAAAATATCATTAGTCACAGGAGAAAAAAAAATCCAGACCAATCGCACAGGCTGATACGCTCCATTTTCCAGGGTCCAGAAAGCGGAAGTAGTGATTCAAACCCTTGAAGTATCGAGGATGATTCTGTATATTACAGTGTGAATACTTTATGTGAAATCTACTCATGTAAATTTAAGCGTCACACAATCAGTTAAAAAAAAAATCTTACTGTTCGTGTTGTATGAGATAATTCCATTTTGCCTCTACTTGAATTTGATCCTTACCCTCCACTTATATATTTTGTTTTTTGTTTCTCAAGAGCTGATCTTAAAGATCAACACGTCATCGGGCCCGTTATAAAAAGACTACTTGAGTTAAGAGAGCCTCTTCATTCAGTTTCGTCTTCATATATACCATGCCACTGTGAAGGCGGGATCCGAAATGTGTATGACACAAAATCATTGGGTGTGAAATTGTATGACGAACACGTACTTCCGGGTTTTGTTACTGACCGAAACTCAACTTGTGGTTTAAGTTGTCATATACAACACATTAGGTTAAATAAAACTTATCCCCTGTTAACACCGTCAATAGATCCTATAAAATTACTTCTATCACATTTCCATTTTACATCTTAACCGCTTTTAATATAAACTTTATTTATTTTACAACGATTGCCAAACAAACTGTCACCGTATACTAATCACTCTTGTTGGCTTGCTTGCAAGCGCGAAGGGGGTGGGAGGGGGTGGGGTTGGGGGTGGTGGTGTGTTGTCATTATACAACTGTAAGAGGAAACTGGGGTACACTTGGAAATCCCATGAGGTTTGGCAGCTGACCCAACAGCTTTTCACGTCTGCACCACTGCTCCACCCGACAAACCTAAAGCAATATTAGCCCCGTTTTCATTAAGACTTATAAATCAGTTGTTTTCTAAAATACCGTTGTTCGTTTCTGTTTTTGATGTGAAAGTGTGGGTGGATAAATTTAGATAAATGCTACTCAGCACTTTTTTTCAGAAAAGCTTTATCAAAATGTTGACGATATCCGGAATTCAAGTTCCTGGTTCCAATTTCAGATTTTCAAGATATTGGTTTTGAGTAATTTTTGACCTGATGGAGCTTTCCACGAGGAGATAAAGTGACCCAACAAACAAATAGTAAATATACATTGTAAATGTTGAACGAATTACCAGGCAACGAATATATACATCCATATGATATATAACATTGCATATTTGATTTTAGTCTTCTTGTCTGACAGAAATAGCAACAGAGAAGATATTAAACTTTATCTTCATATATCAAAAGTTATGTTGGATCTCGAGAGTGGTCGGATCGCCATGGTGACGTGAACTTTGCACTCCGCCGCCCACGTTCTGTATCCTCCAATCAACGTGTCCCAATTTTGCAAATGAATAATTATTGATATATTATTGATATATATATTGTACTTGATCAGATACAATGACAGGGTACCGAGGCACATGTTTTGCCGAGACACAGTGTATACAGTGTACGTGACTTGGTCAAAGTTGTTGCGGCAAAAGTGACGCAGTCAATGCACGTGTGTCGCGGTAAGGGCTGACGTGGTCAAAGTGTGCCGCGGTCAAGTTGTAGTCATGGGTGTTGAAGTAAAAGGTTGATTATTTACTGCCGACACAGGATGACGGGTATATATGTGACACAGTGTTTTAGATGGTATTGAGACTTTATATAGATATCACTGTTTAGGTGCAATTAACGTTAATTATCTACCGGGTGTAGTTTAGAGTATAGTTATTGGATTTGCATATAGTTTAAATCATTGTTATTTGAGTCAGGTAGACAGGCCGGTATTTTGTATATATTGTAGGCATTTTTATTTGTTAAACAGTTACTGGGTCCAAGGTAGAACTTGGTAAACGAACTGTCAGTACGCATCCGTTACAATATTAAGTTGCCATAAAAGATACAATTTCCGATATTTATTAAGGAAGAAATTATTGACGGTGACAATGCAGCTTTATCTACATCCGGAATAACACTGGTTGTTACTAAGTTGTATGCGGATGTACGGGGGAAATCAATTTGTTACTCAGTTATCTGGGGAAAACGACACTATCTAAGTTGATTTATTTCCGACATTCTCATGTATTCTGGCTGTGAATGATAAACTTTTTAAAAGCAGTTTAAATCTTCCCAACATTACCTGATGAAGTGGGTTTGAAGCGTGGTTTGGGTGAAGGGTAGCATTATGAGAAATATCATTTAGAGATAATTTACTTGTATTTGTTTCCAATCTGGGTGTTTGTGATGCTTGTATGTAAGTAATCATCAACCTTCGCTTTCTACACATGTCAGACAATGTCCCCGAGTCAATATCGGGATAAATCTTCACTTGCTTAAACCAGTCTATCACGATTATACAACCATTTTGGGTGATATTTTTTTTAAACCAAAAGTTTCCGGTTCATATAACATCGCTATAAATGGTATAGTTTACAAACACACTGAAGACAATGAATCTAGTTTAGAGCCATGACTTATTCTTTGTAGTACTTCTGACATGTCATCACATCGCAACCAGTCTTATCTGGGCACCTACAGGTTACTAGTGTCCTATATGGACCCCGCCCTCTTGACCAGTAGGTCGTTTGATTTTTAGGCAGGATACTATCTCGAACTACAGCGACATGTTTAATCAGTCTCATTTGATAAGCTAATCAAATTTATCTATTTATCACTATTTATAATTATTTCCCGTTTGGTTGCCTCAGTAGCCACAAATACTCGAGAATCATTGTTTTCTTTATTTACCCACGATCATGTCTACTTGTGGATTGTCCCTTTTAAGGACAATCCTAAAAACAACATGTCCTAAAAGCGCCCGTCTTTAAATTTGACAATAAAAGTCACAAATTTCAAATGCAAGTTTCTATTGTTTTCTAGTTGTGTCCGTTCATTTTTTTTTTTTTTGTGTGTGTGATCGGGCAAACAAAATACCAGACAGACAGCCTGTCTTGACATTTGACCGGCGTTGAAAAGTTGTAATCACTAATCCTTGAGAATTACTGGATGGATCTGTACCAAATTTTATATATAGGTTTCCCTTGGTCACTTGGGATTGTCAGAAAAAAAAGTCTACCGTAGCTTTTTCCCGACAGTAGATGATTATCGTTGATATTTCTTGAGAGGAATTCTTAAATTATGTCCCTTTGTTGTAACCACTCGCGCAATGTACCATGGACGACGCGAGATCTGGTGGAGGTTCCTGTGACAGTTTGGCGTGAAATTTTCGTGACGTTAGATGAAATAAACCATTGTACTTCTTTTAAGTGTGGAGCTGGCAGCTAGGAGACACAGAGTGTCCTTCATACACTGTAACAACACAATATTATATAATTACTTGGCGTGCGTTGGGCGTGGCAGTTATTTCTTATATAAATACATTTTGGATTTCAGTGTATAAACAAAAATGAACGACAATCCGTATGTTTATGTTTGATAACCACAGATGTCTGATACACATCGTTAAAACAATGGCGAGTTCAGCCAACTGCCATACATGTATTATACCAGAAGTAGTAGGTGGCGCCACTTGGGCCTCATTGATGAAGCTATGATTACATTGAAATAAGCCAAAAAAAAAAAAAACTAAGTTGGCGTTTTTATATTTTAACTATTTTCAAATACATATATTATGTAACACTTCTAATTATTATACATGCCTCTTCACGCTTCTACATTGAATTGAATTATTTTGGGATGAGAGAAAACATTGCACAATCTACGAGCATAAAAGATGAAATTTATACAAATTTTGGATGGTAAGCTTCACCTACATACTGAGACTATGCAAAGCAAGTGTAAATATTGTAATTTTGTTGTAAAATATTGTACTTCTGTAACACACACTATATATATCCGTCGTCAAGAAAACGATGTTTATAATATCATAACTGCCAATGGAAAGCAAAGGTTTTGAAATCCGATATAGAATCGAATAAAAGATGAAAAGTCGGATAACATTAGAAATCAGTCAATATACAGATTGTAAGCATTACTTTATGTTTAGTTGGCATTCATATACTTATAAATGTCAAATGGATGAACGCAAATTCAGTGAAGTGCATTTAAACGGTTCAATGCTTGATAGTGTAATATTATTGTCATATTATCATACGTATTAAATAAACTGTTACTCGCAAACTGTCATTAAAGCCAAAGCAAGTTGCAGTCACCAGCACTGAAGCCCTGAATTAACTTGGTGTTGTACACTTAGACTCAAGTATATTTCACATGATATTCAACTTGTATAGGACCAGGGCCACGCCTCTATTTTGAGATCGTATATACTTTTGTATATTGCTGACGACAATCTATTTTTGGAAAAAAATACTGGTACATAAAATAATTGTTATTCGAATACAGATAAATCTAATACTGCTGAAAAGTATATCAAATTCGTTCGTCTAATTTTAGGGCGTGGTTAAGGAAACGACGTGAAGAAAGCATGAGATTCTATATATCTTTGATTCGTTAATCGTGCGAAGACCTATTTAGCTTTTGTCATCAATTACACAATGTATACAACCTCAATCTGATGAAATGTTCTGTCTTTTTTAGTTGCTGACATTGTGACAATGCTGATCAAGATATAGCAGTATACGTAATATTTTACCTAAATGTTGAATAATGATAAAATCATATTCAACTGACAGCATTTTTAACAATACAAATTACTACTTCCGGTTTGAATTATCTCTCTTGACCAAAATTTCTGTACTGCGGAAATGTTTTTTTCAAAACTCGGGCCAGGGAATTGGATTTGTTTAAAAATAAACGTCTTTTATAAAAATGCAATTAAAAAATTACAATTAATTTCGAGCGATGAACAAAGAATCAGGACATATTTCCATCGGCATTTTCCTGTAAAATTATACTGTGGTCCTCATTCACAATTTTGTTTGGATAAGAATATATATATGTGTGTAAGTCTACATATTTGTCACAACAAAGCATTCACACGAATGAAACTTCCTGAAACGACACACAATCTTTAGTTAATATAGGTTTTTGTGAAAATGCCCTGATGATATATTCTCATACACGTCCACTTTTAGCTATACAATCCTTCCGACCTAGCCTCTCAAATGACACATGTGGGCAGTTTCCGGTTTTGAATAATTCTTCCTCCAGACAGCGGTGTACATGTGCGACACCAAATGACGGCATTCAAAATGGCGAACGTTTAAGGCCGACTGAGAGATCTATCACACAAAAGATGAAGAAATGATGAAGACGTGTTTTAAATATAGACAAAGTGCGAAGATGGAAAAGTCTACAGAGATAAGAAATGTTGCTTTCCTTTTATGTTTCACATGTAAGTATCATTAAAAGTATTATCCTTTTTGTATTTAACGCAGTATATTAATTAGCTGACGCGATCTGCACTTGTATGATTAAAAAAGTATTTAATTCTGAAACATTTTTGACAGATGTATAGCCTATTGCATACTTTTAAGAACATATATATTTAAAGTTTAATTAATTCACCTCATTAAAAATTATCTAAAAAAAAAAAAAAAAAAATATGAATGTAACTTCAAACTCCAATGCAGTTTCTTTTCAAACAAATATATTTAGATATATACAGCGGGCACTAGAATGCATGTGAAACCATACTTGTGCAGGTTTACAGGTGAGATAATAGTCGACATTTTCTAACCTGAACAATATGATATTTTTATATCTTCTTCCTGATTCTAACCGGTTTTATGAAGAAAAGTACATTGCATACCGTACATTTTGTTTATACATCTAGGTGGAGTGGTGCACACTTTTATCTCCCTCGCTGGCGTCTGTTGTTCTCTACAACAGTCATTGTTCTAATCTAAGTGACTCCTTACAACCTAGGGGCCTTTAGTGTTAAGATGAAGTTAGGAAAACAAATTTACTGCAAACAGGACATCATGTTATACATTTACGTCGCCAGGTTGATGTGTTTCTATATTGTTTAACGTCCAGTCAACAGCTATTGTCATCTAAGACGACCTCCCCAGGTAAACTAGAAAATTGCACGCATTGTGCGCGTGTGTTTTCGGGAGGCTGTGATAAGTTTATGCAAGCTTTCATCTGATGAACAAATGCATTTACTACCGAAGGGCCGCAGTAGTACACCTCACCAAGTCACGTTATACGACACACTCGTATGTCTTAACTAGGGTTTGGGACCTGAAGCCCTTACAGGGCCGAATGCCCAGCTAGAGGTCAAAAGGGAGGAAGTGTCAAAAGCGATATTAGAAGGAGGAAGATTTTTAGATTTAGGAAAGAAATTAAAAGTTAAAATCCCTAGTAAAGACACCTCTCACGATCATGCAATGGGGATAGTAGGCTCCTAAATAGATATCGCATACGGAATCAGTACTTTGCATTCTATGATATTAAGTTGCAACTTGCCTTAGAAAAGCAAGTTCTAGCGTATGTAACATTTTAAAATGTCATACCTTCAAACATCCCCAGAGTGAAGACGACAGACATAAGTGATAAGATATCACACTAGATATGACACTGAAGTAATACGGCACTTCTCACATTACACTTCAGTTACACATGTAAAACTATATATAATAGATGAGTAATGCACGTGTTACAGATGTTCCTCTGTAGTTACACGTGTAAACAAGTCACACTACACGTCAGTTACTAGTTACACGTGTAAACGAGTCACGCTACACGTCAGTTACTAGTTACACATATTACACAGTAGTTACATATCTTGCACAGTATTTGTGTTGAACACATTTCTTGTTAACTTTACGTAAAACAAAGTAGCTACATGTAATATATTACACGATAGTTACACCGGTTACTGTGGCTACGCGATGTTTACTTAAATAATGTGATAGGAACGCGAAAAACAGCATGAAACACGGTAAATAAATCGGTAACACGGTAAATAAATAGTTTACACCATTGTGACGAATGCTATATGGTCTCGACACAAATAGCATGGTAGTTGCACGAGAAACATGAAAAAAGCGTGTTACACGGTAGATATTTCGGTTACACGCTAGAAACACATTTTACACTGTCTTATATAACACGGCAGTGACACTAGATACACGAAAAAAGCGTGTAACGCGGTAGATATTCCGGTTACACGCTAGAAACACATTTTACACCGTCTTATATAACACGGCAGTGACACGAGACACACGAAAAAAGCGTGTCACACAGTAAATATTTCGGTTACACGCTAGAAACACATTTTTACACTATCTTATGTAACACGGTACTTACAAGAGTAACGACATAAACAGTATGTAATTTACACTGTACTTACCTCGGGAAAGAGCAATTTTGGACAACTGTTAAAAAACGTATGTGTGGACACCTAGTTGAGGTTGCGATGGGAAGGAGGGGTGGGGAGGGGGGTTTTGGGGTTGTTGTAGTAAAGGTTTAAACCAAAGGTATGCGACGATCAGAAGGGAGAGAAATCAAAGGCGTTGATAGTTTTTTTTTTCATTTTTGTGGTTTTATTTATTTATTTTTTGTACTTTTTTTGTTTTTGCTTTTGTTTTGTTTGTTTGTTTCTTTGTTTTCCTCCCTCTTATCAATCATATAGTTAAATTAAAAATATACCATAATTCAATTTCTAAGCTCCTTCACATCTTTATTTATTTATATATATTTATTTATTTCTATAACAATACTTCGAAACATAATTTTAAAAACTCAAAAAATTAAATATAATGAATTTACTTAATTATTACACAGGAATTGGTAACAGTTTATTATCAGATATAGATTATATAGATTTGGTACTGCAACATCATAGCAACAAACCGTGGTAAAATAAAATGTGACCGGAACCTGTGTAACTATCATAGATACCCACACTTACATAAAATGAGAGGATTATTAACCTTTGTGTAATGTTTGTTTACTTAATGATATTGGTTTCCATGTTTACAAAAATAGCTGTCTAACTTGCTGTAATAGTTTACAAACTGGCACGTATCAGATACTATTTTTAACTTTTTAGGTCTGACAGAATCAGTTGCTATATAAGTGTTTATTCTGATACAAATTGCATTGTTGCTACCAAGATAAATGTAACGTACCAGACAATTCTGTAATGTAGATGATGACCTCTTTCGGCACACAAATGTGCTGAAGTGTGATAAAGAAAATAAGAACGACAGCTTCATACATGTATATATAGACAGTGAGACTGGGAATCCGTGCCAACTTTCTTTGGGGTCAAGAACTCTTTTCTCCCCAAGAACTTCTTTGATCCCAACCGCTTTTGTCTTTTTGATTAATTTAATTTTAATTATCAGGCATGTATCATGAGATATGTAATTTATGAAAAACATTAAAAAAAAAAAAAACATATGTCAACCCCTCCCCCTAATCAGATGTGTGAATTATGTATCTTTGTTTTCTAAAGTATTTAAGCACTGAATACCATGTGGTAGAAATTAATAAGTAAAATCGAAAAATTCGTATGTTATGGTGGAGTATAAATTATTCAGAATTCTTAAACATTTGAGAAAAAATCCAGGAATAATTTTCTTCCATGTTTTCCCGATAAAGTTTTTCATCTTTATAATGTAATGTCTTCTGATATCTCTAACGACGTGTTGTTGTTTAGAAGTCCTGACGGTAGCGTTCAAGGTGGATAATTTATGTCTTTGTTATCCATTGTACAAACTGAGTATACAGGAAGTAAACCATATATATAAGATAAAAATGTCCACTCCGTGCTTCATTGTGTATAGTGACGCGATTTGAACAGGAAGTGTTGACTGTAAAACAGGGACGTATGGTAATAATATTATACGTCCTTGTGCAAAATATACAATAAAATTTAATCTTTACTTATTATTACGGATATAGTGTTAATTGTTCATTATGCACCACCAAATCTCACAGGATAACCGTGAACACTAAAAACAGGATTTCCTGACATTCCCATTATCGACACTTTTGTTTATTTTACGACTCAATCAATCAATTAATCAATTAATCAATCAATCAATCAATCAATCAATCAATCAATCAATCAATCAATCAATCAATTAATCAATCAATCAATTAATCAATCAATCAATCAATCAATTAAAATTCATAACGGATTCATTTTGTTCCAACAAGCTTATTCCAATGATATGGTAAACTACATGAAAATATCAATAAATAAGTAAACAAATAAATAAATGAATATTCTTTCAATCAATAAATTGATTTAGCCATCTATTGTTTATTTCAATTAATAAGTTGAACTTTTTTATTAATCTGTCTAATCAATTATCAATCAAAGTATCTTATATCATTTATCTTACTTGGGTTAATCTCACTATGGACTTAGAATGATCTCACCTGATATCATCCCCCAACTTCCATGGATTACGATCAATCGATGAATCTCTCGACCGCAACAAGGCGATTGGTACGAGTTATGTCCCTTAGGTCACGTATATTTGCCGACTAATTAAAAAGTGCTCAAGAGAAGCAGCGCAAACCTAGTCACATCCAATCAAAATGTTCGCCGTGAGATCCTCCAAGGAAGAAGATTTAAAAGAATTATCATTATAAACAAGCTTGATTCAAGATGATGCCCTGATATATACTGTCGAGAACTATTCTAATCTAGAACCGCTCCCCCTTTATGAGTGTGGGAATGTCATTGGAAAAGTCCCTCAATCAGACCCCTTCATCCATTTTATGAGTTTTTTTTCTGACGAAGAAAATTACCGATAATGGTAGTATTTACAATACATCTCCACACATCTCCACAAAGATCTCAAAAATGGAGCCGCTGTAGTAATGATGAGATGTAATGTTTAAACAAGTATTACTTAGGAACGGTGTTTTGGTATTCTATACCATAGGCATAACTGATACGTGTGATTCTATATATCAATCAAAATATATCATACAATTACAACAGGCAGTACATGTGTTTAAACATAACTCCAGTATCAGCAAGCATCAGTGATATTTGCAAGAATTTATACTTAAATTCTGATTCAAGCATTCAATGTTAATGAAATTGAAACTGATTTTCATAAGAACATATATGACACTACATGCGCTCGAGAGAAGCCATAGCATGGTTAAACAGAGTTATCTCCCATCCCGTCTTATTGATCTAAAAATGAGATTGATAATTCCTCATATTTTCATTTGTATTTTGAGAGAGAGAAAAATACCAACCAAAGCTGTATATTTTGTCAAACAATGATGGTTAATTTAAAAGTGATGTACTGACATTTGATAGTTAACAGGTTTAGTATTCCGGTAAGAGTATGTTCGATGCCGCCAGAATGGTTCTATTTCTGTTTTAATGGATGTTACTAGACACCTTTTATTCGAACGTAAATGCGTTGACAATATACTTATTTGTGCTGTCATATTTTCCATTCCTTTAAGGCGTATTGCTGACGGGTTCAACAGGACAGACCACAGATGACGCCAATATTACATCATCGACAAGCACACCCGGCAACACTATGGTGACTTCACCCTCAACAACAGACGCCATGATGAATACCACATATGACATCCAAATGAATTCTTCTGAACCAACGACGTCACCGCAAACATCCACACAACAAACGATTGCCACAAATGGCACAACAACGGGGCAAATGACGAATGACACAACCGGTGGTTCCACCTCACTTCCACCAACCAACAGCTCAACAACTTTGGCACCAACGACAATGCCAACAACAACACTTCCGACGACAACAACAACATCTACGACGACAACAACACCTACAGCAGCAATAACAACACCTACGCCAACATTAAAACCTTCGACAACAACAACACAAACAACGATGACGACGACTAAACAAACGCAAACGATGACGACGACTAAACAAACGCAAACGATGAAGAAAACCACAACAGAAACAAAAGGGGCGACAGACAAAGGTAATATTTAAGAATGCATCGTCATATCTGAAGATTATGCATTTTGAATTAGTTAGTCTTTATACAAAGGTTCATTTTTATCAATATCAAATCAGAGGCCTTTATGGACTGGTAACGCCACCTACTAAACTGGAATCTGTGTCAATATCTCTCCCGTTTGTTGTGATAATTGTGTTTCCTCCGTACGCAAATAGTCATGTGACGTTGGGCGTTGATGAAAGGGTCCATAATTCTTGGTCAACGTTTTAAATAAGGAGAAAAAGTTAAAAACAATTGAAATATACCTCTCTTGGTTTATATTTGTTTAAAATTATTTGTCGAAGCATGCTAAAACTGTTTTTGAATGAACAAACTATGTTGTTCTCTCTTATTTTCGTTTTCTTTCTATGGTAGGTTTCCTCAAAAGGGTAAACTATATGTATTTGATAAGGTCACTGTTAGTGGTGGTTTGTCAAAAGGTTATTATGAAATATTTTCATCACATGCCATCGTTTCACGTTTCTAATTTATTTATTCGTTCGTTCGTTTGATCGATCGTAAATTACTGGTTGATTGGTTGGTTGATTGGTTGGTTGTTGGTTGGTTTGTTGTTGGTTGGTTGGCTGGATGATTGGTTGGTTAATTGTTGGTTGGTTGTGGATGGTTGGGTGGTTGGTTGTTGGTTGGTTGGCTGGATGATTGGTTGGTTAATTGTTGGTTGGTATGTTGGATGGTTGGTTGGTTGGTTAGTTGGTTGGTTGGTTGGTTGGGTGGTTAGTTGGTTGGTTGTGGATGGTTGGGTGGTTAGTTGTTGGTTGGTTGGCTGGATGATTGGTTGGTTAATTGTTGGTTGGTTGTGGATGGTTGGGTGGTTGGTTGTTGGTTGGTTGGCTGGGTGTGGATGATTTGTTGGTTGGTAAGTTGGATGGTTGGTTGGTTGGTTGGTTGGTTAGTTGGTTGGTTGGTTGTGGATGGCTGGGTGGTTGGTTGTTGGCTGGTATGTTGGTTGGATCGTTCGTTCACTCATTCACCTACGTTTATTATTGTTTATTAATTTTAGTTGTCGACACCGAGACATCGTTTGGAAGGATTGGTTTACCGTTGTTTATCATCACATTTGCTGCACTGCTTTGTGTCGTGTTGGGGATAGTAATATTCTACTTTCACGGGAAGCGGAGATCTGGCTCACATTACCTGGAGGAGAATGGTGGTCCGGGCGGAAACGTCAGGGGTGGACCAATGACTCTGCAGATGGAAGGGATGGACTACGGGACAAAATTCGAGACTATTGACCTGGAAGATGAAAGGTTTCTTTGTTTTTTCAAAAGTTTTAACAGTGTTACTTTTCGTATAACATTACTTTAAGATGTTTATCCAACAATGAGTCAATGAACCAAGTTCAGTTAAAATTTCCGATTTTAGACTCGTTTCCGTTTAAACGTCACAAAATATGATTATAAATAATATTTGTGTGAATTTGATTAGTGGAGCCAATTTCTTATATTAAAAATTAATTGTTGTAAATCTTTTTGTTGTAAAAAATTGATTTCCATTTCGCACAGAAAATCAGCGACTGACAATGATAATAATACTGGACTCCTATCGTTCAAACACAATCCAGCTGAGACCGAGACTGGCAGTAAAGATGACGTTAACTCCATCACAGTAGAACCGCCATCTTGGTTGCGAGTAGAACCGACAAGTAACGATGACACAGCCTCAAATTTCTCTACGCAAGCGCAAACTGACGACAAAGACCCGGAACAGGAAGAAGAAGAACCGTCAGATAATAACGAACCAGCAAACGATAACCTTGAGGGGTCCGATTTAGATTCCGTGAACAGTTCAGCAGCAGACGAAAAAGAATTTCCACTCCCACCGCCACCGGAAGTATCAGATGACCCTGGTGAAGAAAAAACAGAAATGTGACATTCTGGGTTTAATCCGTTTCCGGTTGTAACTCACTAGGAATTCAAATCAAAATATATCAGCACATGGACTTATCAAAGTTCATGAATATTTCACTTTAACACAATTATTTGGAAAAGTATCTATATACAAAAGTAAATTCAGAAGTCAATTTTCGTAACGCGTCTTATCGAGAACCAGGACAAAAAGATCATTAAAAAATTTAAGACCCCGAAAACCCCAAACGGTGGAAAATATAATTAATGTTTGATAATTATTTTATTTATTAATTTTTTCATTTTTACCTTTTTTATCATTTATTTAAAAGTAAAATGAATTCGATCATTAATTTTCTTGCTATAACACAATTGTTACGGCACCGGGCTATATAAACTCAGAGGTGTATGGGCCCATTCCGCTCGGGACGGATTGTGTTTCCTCCTGTGCTACAAAGTATATGACGGGCCTCCCGTATGTTATTCACCGAGGTAGCCATCAGCTAATACAAGGACTACTCCGTCAATTATAATCTTTGGATCTGTGTGGCTTCAGTTCATTATGACTAACTTTGGATATCTTATGTTAATACAACAAGCTGAATTGTCTAAATATTTCTTTTAATTTCTGTAATATTGAATGATTACATAACTATCTGTTTAATTATACTTAATTTCATGTCGATAACCGTAGCGACAATAACAATTATTCTGAGTACTTTATTAAATTATATCAAAATTGATTCAAATCCAGCTATCTAGATTTACCTCCCTTCGAAAAAGTTTAAGCAACCATTCCATTTATGTTTAATACTATTCCAATCCAAGCTCTCTGGAGTTACGTCCCTTGAATGATATTACATTTACGTTTCATTTATATTTGATGTTATTAAATTATTAATGATAAGTTAAGTTTGATTAAAAACAATATTACCAGAATGTGAGGGTAATCATAATAAATTTATTTTAATATAATTTCTGACTGTATGTTGAAAGATGTGTCTTAGATGTTGAATGAATGACGTAAGTATGCAAATACAATTGTGTACTGATACACTTGTTTCTGAAAAAAATAGCATTTGGGACTGATGGACATGAACATTGAAATCCGCATGGTGAAAAAGATATAATGATTACTTTAAGGTTTTTCAATTGTATCAATTAAGTAAAAAAATATAATGTATTGATATTTGAAAATACAAATATAGGTATCTTTGTGATAATAATAATTATCAAATTATCAACGGTAAATACCTTACTAACGCTAGTGTTATATATTCTATACAAATTGAAGAACTGCTCTCTCTATATATATATATATTCGTCAAATTTCGTTTACTTAAAATTTATACAATTTATGTAAGATTTTATCTTTTCTTTCAATGGAGAGAAGGAAGGGGGACAGATTTTTTAAAAATAAAGTTTATAAAAAGGGTCACGTTTGAGCGCCATGTCAAGTGAAATAAGGCTATAGATAGGAACATTACCCCATTACAACAAATAAACTATTAATTCCTTTAGCATCTATTACAAAATTTTGTCTTTTCTGATTTTATTTCATTATTCCGTTGCCTGTACAAGTTTTGCTTTAATTTCATATTAAAATATTTTAAATATGATATGTTATCATAGTTTTGACTAAGATCGTTTGTTGAACAATAAAACTAAACGCCGACTCATGGTCATGAAAGGGGCAAACATTGTTTTGCCAATTGTAGAAATCTCGTTTATCTAATCATTTTGTTGTCGAAATTATTTCCGTGTAATAAAAATTAATGCGTATGTAAAATTTGTATATTGGTAATATGTTATTAGATATTTATACTGCACCCTGAATGTTTTGAATTTGTGATGAGTGGTGAAAATTTGTTAAGTATCAATTAAAAAAAAAGTTCCACCAATCCCTTTTCATCCAACGTCGATTCATCGAACATCCTGTATATATATGAACATATTTAAAAAAGCTGTTAATAATTGAAATTCACATCATTTTTTCCTCAGTGCATACGTACTTATTTATGACAACATCAAAATGTTGTAAATTCTCAGTAATAGAGGAGGTTCAGTCTTTTTTTTTAAATTATTGACCAATGTTACATCGTTTATTTCTTCAATATCTGAAATAATGGATATTTTCGCCAAGAAGTTATCGTGGCAAGTTTCATGTCGTGGTATACAAAATCCTATCAATCTTGTGCACAGAACAGTTGTCGAGCGCAGATCGTGGTACAAACATACACATTTCTCTGTAGGACATAAATGTATGTGATACGGGGAAAATATCGTGGTACAAAAACTACTTTAAAGATTTTTTGTGATACAAATCATATCGATATGTTAATCTCGTGGTCACATTGTTTTACCACTGATTTAGATATACATCTAAGTCCGTGTTGGTATCAACACTATGGTAAGAATTTTTTGTCACGGAATATTTCGTTTCACAAGATAGGAATAATAAATCTCATGATATGATCGGTATTTTTAACTTATCTTGTGGTACGTCATCTTTATCGTAAGACTTCTGTATTGTACAAATACATTGTACATTGTACGACTTGCTTGGATAGCAAAAGGAAAGGGAGATAACCTGGATTGTTGTAATACTATTTTCATAAATATCGGAAATAGCGAGTCCCGATATTAGTTTTTAATATTAGACGTGTACATTGCGAGACTGGACCTTCCACTTTGGGTGAGGTTTGAAAACAATCATCCTATATAGATTTGCGTATGCATCATACATATGTATCATTCTATATTAAGTACATAGAGATGTATATATTTTTTCATAGCTATAAATAAAAACTTCTAATAAACTCATTTCAAATGGTTCTGTATTTATTTGCTGTAAGTTTGAAAGAAAAAAACGTATAACGACATTTTGTCCAGAAGACAAGACAGATGACTTGGCTGGTCAGCTCATCTGCATTTGAACATGTTTTGTTTCACTCATCATGATTAGTTCTTATGTTAACTAAACTATTTAGCCAGGAAAACGACAAAGCAAAAATTCTAATAAATCTCAAGAAGTTTTTATTCAGTGGGGAGCCGTCTCCGACATTTTATATCGTAAGGGAAAAAACACCCATGAAAAGACACGTTTGATAATCTGATGGTGCTTTGGATAGCGAGTCCGCCATTCACCGAGATGGCCGTGGGGGTCATCTTCCTCGACTAGATGTAAGGAGGGATGAGATCACCAACACGGTTAAGTTTTCATCTTCAGTGAAACAACATGTGTGTTATAATGTTAGCAACTAAGAGTAATAAATTAAAATACGTAATTAAACTCGTTCTTTTATTTGTTTTGAAGTAAACATATGTCAAGTTTCATATTCCTTATATTATGGTTAGTGTAGAACTCTTTTGGGAAGAGATTATATTGTGTTAATCAGATAGCTACCTTAAATAAAGATAATAAGAAAAGTTTTCTCTCAAGGACTATGAAACAGTTGTATGTTAGTTAGCACAGCAAAGAAAACAGTTATAAATCACATTAATAATTCTGTACTTTTCATAAATATATATATCGAGAGGAAATGTTTCAGGCGAGAAGTGAAAAATGTCTATTTAACCATATCACACCAACACCAGATCTACAACCAGAGATGATATCATGACAGACATCTGAACATCAGAACACCTCGTTATCATCTAACTCGGATGAATTAGACATTTGAACATCAGAACACCTCGTTATCATCTAACTCCAATGAATTCGATCATTTGAAACACGACATTTCTTCGTTCAATATGATAATATAGTTTGAGGTGTAATAGATGGCCAACGTGTTCTAACTTTAAAAAAATGTTCGTCGTCTGATTTTTGAATTAACTATATTTGTAAAAACAAATTTACATTTACAATAAAATGAACGATGAAAAACGATTTCCACCCCGCCCCCCCTCCCCCCTCCCACTTCCTTCCCGTCCACCTCTCCCTCATGATAAGAAGTCAAGTGAAAGCGATTTAAGATATGATCACCTTCAGTTTGAAACATGAACAAGTACAGTGAGCTGTTGATAAAATAATACATTGAACTTTAAATATTGAATGTTGATTTTTACTTCTTTCACTCAGATATCTCACCAAGGATGTTTTACAAACTGTGTGTGTTTTTTGGCACTTAAATATTTCACCAAGAATGTTTTAAAAACTCTGTATCTTTTACACTGCGTCATCATGCAGATGATCATTCGATGGCACATTGAAAGATAGAACATTGAGAATTTGTAGGTACACATAATATTTAAATATCTGAGTATGCTTCCTGCTGTCAGGATGTATATATCTGATGTACCTTACTTTACGGGATTAAAGGGGCATAACTCTTCTGTACATAATAGCTTTCGACAGAATAGTTCGTGGAATCAATACATAATTAATTCGTCTTTCAATTTCTCTTTCACACAAACACGAGTTTAATGCATTCATGTATGTTATGTATGTCATTTACATCTTCTAGGAGAATAAGATTAATAAAACCCACATTATTCCCGTGACCTCCCTATTACAAGACAAACGTTTTAACATATTGCAAACAAGGGAAATAACTTCGTCAAGTTATACACTCTCGTCGCTGTCGGCATCCAGGTCTGTGACGGAGGAGAGAGATTCGAATCCCGAGGTTTTTTCAGTGTAGTCCATGGTAAGATTGCAGTTAAAGTCCTGAGTACTTGTAAGTGGGTAAGTGAAATCCCCGGGAAATTCCTGACAAATTCCGTCAACTTGACTAATAAACGCGATCATTTTCCTACAACTATCAATCTTCAAATCTGCGAAGTAAAATGCTAGCAAAGGCCAAGGCAACATGGCCGTCACAATCTGACGTCGGAGTGGGATATAATTACTGGCTATCACGCGCTCTAGCAAACATAAGTATGGCGGCATCACTTGATGCATGTCAATTTGACGCACACTAACGAGTGGGCACGCGTCATCACATTCGTGAAGGGAACAGAACAGGTTCTTGAGATCTTGTAAGTCTTTGTCATTTTGGCATTTTACAATAAAAGCGTTAAGTTCAATGAGCAAATCCAACTTCCGGCTGCAAACGACTGCTCTGCGTGGGACGGAAATCGTTTCCAATGGTGACGTCATGGCAGTAAGAGTTACGGTTCCTTTAATATTCTCGTGAAGTCTCTCGTAGACAAGCCAATGAAGATGTGTTCTAAGGGACCAGGCGAACAGGCCAGCCAATGTGTCCTCCCAAGTCGAAGCCTGGAATCGCGTGTTTAGTTTGACACATGTTTCTACATCCAGGTTCTCCTTCAAACTCAAAATATTGATTGGTGGCTTGAACGGTTTATGTGTCACTGACGAAATATGACAAAGAGGCCAGGGATCTTCCTCCAACATAAACTCAACCTCATGTTCCATTATTCGACCGGTGTAGCTGGTACATATACGTAGGAAGTAGTATGTTTCTAACACTCCGTCAAGCGTGTCATGTTTTTCTATGAACACCGGTCCGCCTGGCTTATTACTATCATATATGGGCAAATCGGGATATTCGTTTTTCGTCAGTAGAAAACGTGAGACAGACTTATCGTCAGACTCATAGTCCATGACTTCTAAAAAGTACATGTTCAACTGGCTTATCAGATGGTCATGGTCAGAGCGCGGGAAAAAGATTGAAAACTTAACATTGCCCACACGCGATTCGTCATCAATGCTAATAATGTCGGCCTTTTCTGGTTGATACCACAAACCCCGGATTCGAGGATAATCCCTAAGTATGGAGTAGTCATGCGTGGGAACGAGGGTGGTCGCTTGATTGGCAATCACAGGAATTGCATCATCGAAGGGGAGAACACTGCTGATGCAGTCGAATTTGTGATAGTACAAAGGACGAAAGTTTTCCCAGTCTCCTTGATCGATATTTTCCGGCATTAGGCGGTACTGATTGTTGTCGACGGAAGGTCGCCATAGCGTCAAAGTCTCGTCCTCGAGACTGATCTCCGTGATTTTGTGATGGACGTTTTTTGGCTGCAATGTAAAAAAAAACCATGTATATTTACATTTGGTTACAAATTTTGTCAATGAAAGAGAAAAATGCAGAACTCTTTGTCTTCACTTGCGATGTATTTCAAAAATAAATTGATGTGATGGGTGAATCGCCCTGTGAACAGCCAGGGTCATACTGAGGCGGAGTCTCTTTGTAGAAGCTGGTGACTAGTTCACTGAACACTATACGAGCAATAAGGATAAAGACTTTTGCTCAAGGATACATCTTCGACAACACAGACTTATCTATTTCTCAGCTTCCAGAGAAACATGATCCGAAACTAGTTGAGAGTGTACCTCGTATCTCAGGATTTCCATCCAAGGTTATGAAAGTTTTACCAAAAATCAAAAGATAAAAGATAGCAACGGGAATGTACAGTTATGGAAATCAGAGTACAGGGAGATCCTTATTTATAGATAAAGTATTTACTGTAAGAAGCAAGCGATAACAAAACTAGTAAATAAGTAAACACTCTATTTTGAAGGTCGAGGAACGCTACTTTGTATATCTAATAATAAATCCTGACACGACCCTAACCTTCCACTGACCATATATAGAACAAAATTTGAAATAACAATATATATATACATGATATTGTAACTGATCAGTAGCATACATCGATCACATGTTTTACTTGTGTTATATCTTATCCCGGAAGCGGAAGTATCAATATTAAACAAAACCTTTATGTATCGTTTATACAAAGGTAAGAAAGTCCCTACTATAAAATTAACGAAAATTTAATAAAAAAAAATATTTCTCAAATGACATGTGAAATGTGTTTCCCTAGGAACTCGTTAAAATCCATTAACATGCGTCTTTTTTTATTTTAGAAACTACAATGTCCCTAATGAAAATTCAGTGTAGAATTTAATTAAATTCCCCTCACTGCATTGGTGTTACAGTTAACTATACATTTTCATTTATTTGTCGATTTGTTCAAGTGAAACAAAATTGAAGTCAAACGTGTTCGTACAAATCATGTTTGATTTATGACAACCGTTCTGAATATTGTGACCTTTTGGTGACCCCTAGTCAATAATGTCAGTAATATACATGTTTACATACGGAATGTGTGTAATTGTTCATGTATGACAGTTCTATATTAAGAACCATCTTCTACTGTACTACATTTAGGCGTACAGAAACCTTATCGAACCTTTAACTTTATCGATTGAATGGTGCCAAACGCCTATTAAATTGCTTACCTCTCATAAGATTCAAATATATGTAAATATCACTGATCGGCGTTCAATAACGCTCAGGACATTTAACACAAATCGAAGCATCTCGGCCATTTCCGTGAATACCCGGAATTAAACGACCATTGACGGAGTTTGTCGATATCGTTTTTTCGGTCAAGATAAATTGGAGATATCAATTAAGAACTGGACGAAGTTCTTAAGCACACATGCCTGTACAATGTAGGCATGAACGCAAGCTTGCTTGTTAATTTTCATTTATTTTAGCATTTTGGCAGCGGACTCGGATTTATCTAAATAAATCGATCGCCCGAGCGTACTCACACATTAAAATCATTCGATATTCGAACATTCTCACATAGGCGTAGGTTAACTTACAATGACGATTTAAACACGCTTCACTCCATTTTTCCATAGCAACGAGATGATGCGCAAGCTGCACATAAATATTCTATATCCACTGTATCAGAAATGAGGATACGATACAGTACCAGTTTATACGGAAGAATCAAATTTTATTGTTATAATTTTTTATACTTTACAATTTCAAAAACTCTTTCTTAAATATTTAAACACAGAAATCAGTCGGAATCTAAATATAAAATTTCATAACATTTCCTATCTTATTAATCTCTGCGCTATCTTAACTCACGTGCAGCTTCATTTGGTGTATAATGTTCAATGTCTAAAAACGAAAGTAGGGATCAAATTATATGTAATACAATTTTATCCCTAAAACGACCCCAACCCCACGCTTCATTGATTTTTATAAAATGAACAGGTTCCAAAATGTCCAATTCAAATTAATGTTTACGAATTTACATGTACGTATTGTGTTCTTCAAATATGTGAAATGTCCTTTTATAGCTCAAACTGAACACGTGATTGTTTAATTAAGCTGATATTCAGTATTTACCTCTTATCAGCATTAACAGTCCATCAAGTATTTTTACGAATATAACGATTTCCGGTAAACAGACGTTTTAAAGCTAAAAATGTCAGTGTGTGGCATGACATATTTATTATATACAGGTAGAGCTGATAACAGAATTACACATTCTATAGTATAAACCTTGATCATCCAAACCTTTAAAGACCATTTGATTGAGATCATATACCGGCGGGGAAATATTTTCATTCTCCCGGACAGGAAAATTAAATGGCCCTCTTGGTCATGGCTTTTCTATATAGAGTAACAGTTTTTCGACCTAAAATTGACATTTTAACTTGAAAACTAGTTACCAAGAAAAAACTGACTTTCTATTTATAGTAACAGTGACCTGGACTTTTAACCTTTTGATATCAAAAGCAATCCTAAACAAGCATTCCCAAGTAGAAAGTGCTGAGTAAAATTTTAAGTTTGATCGGTTCACTAGAACTTGCGTTAATATCTGCAAATGAAATTTTATTTATGGTAGCAGTGACCTCGTGACTTGACCTTTTGACCCTGAAAGCAATGTATGCGTGTGTGAGTTCGATTGGTCCAGAGAAAATCAAGTTATTGTCCGGAACTGGTTGCTCGGACGGACGACCAATCAGCAGCGTTACGATATCCTCTTCAGATGTTTTCTAGAGGGATAATGATAGTACACTGCGGGATATGTTCTTATAAACACGGGCTGCATAAATTCTCAGATCCCTGTGCTAGCAATATCACTTTATTTTGACCCCGAAATTGTTAGAGCCATTTCTCATACATTCGTAAACACCAAACCCGTGTACACATTCTACCGGCCTACAACAATTGTCCTAAACTCTGAAATTTATGAACGATAATTATCAATTATTTTGTAACGCTTTAAACAAAACATATATATATATACATATACTATTGAATTGTATTTAGTAATTATCGTAATATCATGAGATTGGCGGACACCCAATAAATAAACCGAAGTCCAAAATTCAAATTATTTGGAAGACTGTCAACATTATTATTGTTATCAAATATAGTTCTTTGTTAGCCAAGACCATATCTTACAAGAATCAATTTGCGGGTTCAGCATATCATGTTTTAAATCTGTATTTGTTTAATATATTCGAGTAATGTACATCTGTATAAGATAATTAGCTTAACACTTAATTTTCTGTTGAAATTAGCTATCAAAACACACCATTTCATTGTCATTATTGTATTTGTTTTTTGACTTCAAAATGTTATTTTCTTTCGCAATAATGACTATTCTAAATATGGTTAAAAATTAAAAGTGTATGTATTATTCTTCAATGTCTGTTTATGCAAATGAAGCTTAATAAGTCTCGACCCTTTTTGGCTTTGTTTTATCAGTACAAATATTTGAAATAACTTATCTGCCATACCACAAAGGGTCAAGTCGACACCGTAAGACCTCCACCGCAGACTAAAATAATTATTCTATATTTGATTAATCCGGAATGTCTTTCGAGTACAAAGAACCCACCGATATTCCGGTTCTTCATGTTATTGTTTCCGTAATGAGCCAGATCAGCAGATTCCTAGTGCAAGATTGTTACTGATTCAAACGCATGTTTGATTCATATCGGAATGAAAATAACTTAAGTTAAACGCAAATCACGCCTTCTACACGAATTTGAATTTTAGTCTTCGCGGAATTCTGTTTTTAACCAAAAGTGAAGAGCAAAATTGATTTTCAAGACTTTTCTAAGAGTATGTACAAATAACGTTAAAGAGGATGACGTTAGGTTTTTTTTTCCGGTTTATGTGATATAACTCAGAGCAAGAATACTTAAAGTACTAAGATATTGACTTATTGAACGTGGAAAAATTCATGCCGGGTTAGTTTATAGATGAAACATTGTACAAAACTAAGACGTTGACAAAATCACGATATAGTGGTTATCTCTAAATACTCAGGAAGGAATTTATGAAACCGATGACCTTGTCTCCTCAAGAGATACACTTGAAGTTACAAGGTAAAGACAGCGAGGGTCAGCCTACACGTTCATACTATTATCTATAGACGTAACGAACAGCTTTGACGTGTTGTATCCTATATCCATATTTATCGATTTTTTTCTAAACACGTGGATTTAAATAGAATTAAAATCTCATCAAACTGGATTTGCAATTCTATCGATTAGGAGATCGATTACCGGCATATACTATGAAAAGCTTATCTTTACTTATCATTCCCCAGAAGTGATCTTCCTATATACCTCCCGGAATGGGAAGAAAATTCTGAATTTCAAGACCCGTAGAAATGTAATTATAGCAGGTCTGATGATGATAAAAATGTCAATCCAAACGTTTGTTCATCTCTCAGAATTTCTGATGTAATACAAATACTTTTCTCGTTTATGGAAAATGCCAACTGTTTCAAAACATTATGTCTTTTTTATGTACTTCATTTCATTTTTAGCAATAACATACCAAAACCATTTTAGCGTCATTATTATGTAGAAATAATTTAATTGGAATAAAGATCATCTCCAATTTCTAACAACGTGACCAGCAGTCAGCTCTCCACAAAACTTTACAGCAAGCGTGACGATATCTTTTTCTAGATAGTAACATTTCTTCTTCCCAAACTTAGTATGGAATTTACTGGTTTGTTGAAATGATTTCCGCGGAAGATGAAGGATATACCACATATACCTTGATGTACTTGGAGGAGATCGATACTCATTAGCATGGTGCCACGTATATTCGTTAAGATCACATTACCTCGATTGACATAGAAGCAGAAGGGGCTTACCATTCCGGAACACCTGGTCTTATTCTCTCCATATTAATTTCTAATTGTTCGTATTTTGAAAAAAAAAAGAAAAAAAAAAAAAAAACGACTGAAAAAGTGAAATGTTTGACACCAGTCGGCCTTTGTATTGTTTTCCCCACAGCTAGGCCTCAAAAAGAGCCTTCCGAATGTCACATTCAAACGAAAGGACATTCGGAATACCATGATTTCCGTTAGGCTGTGTGTATGCCTGCGTTTGAGGTTCTAGATCAATATTATCTGAATTTAGAGTCTTCAGCACATCACAGCGAGTTCTAATTTGTAAACAGTTCGATTGACGCGCAGACCTGTTTAGTGATATCGCATTTATTGATTATTTTTTATTTCCGTTTTTATATTTCTTGAATATCGTGTGAGCTTTTCATAATGGTATCGTTTGAGACTCTGAGTTCGAGCGTTTTCACTCGAAAGTCACAAAGTAACTAAAACTGCGCGTAAGAAAAATACTTATATACTACATAGTACCTTCTATTCGCGAAAAAATCCAAAGCTCTAAAAATGTCTAATATAGGGAAAGATTTGTCGGGTGTCGTACAGAAATATATTATGCTTTACTGTTCCAGGTGCTATGGGCGTAAAAGTAGTTAATAAAAGCAGTCAGATGCATTTCAGTATTAAGCAGTATGGTTACTTCATTTAAAGTTCTCTTTGAAAATCACGGCGTCAGACTATATTTCAATGTCCAGTAAATACGTACAGTTTTGTATATATGTTTTGATTTTCTTATAAACCTTTGGAATGGTGTACTTTCGATTAACGGTAATATTAACGATAAAAAGTCTCCTTTATATATAGAAGTTATAACGATTTTCTCGTCTATTAATCGAACACAATATGAGTGTAAAGGAAGAAACTCACTGAAGCGTAACGAACCTTTGCGTTGTGAATGATGTGTATTGGTAATCGATACATAATGTTTCACAAAAGGTGTGCAAGGTGTGAAAATAAACACCACCCGTAGTAAAGTATGGCGTTGTCTGCGCAAGGTTTCCATGTATGTTTTGAGTGAGGTTTCCTTGCATGTGTTGTGTGATGTCTCCCTGTATGTGTTGTGTGAGGTTTCTCTGTATGTGTTGTGTGAGGTTTCCCTGTATGTGTTGTGTGAGATTTCCCTGTATGTGTTGAATGAGGTTTCCCTGTATGTGTTGAGTGGGATTTCCCTGTATGTGGTGAGTGAGATTTTTCTCTGTATGCGTTGTGTGATGTCTCCCTGTATGTGTTGTGTGATGTTTCCCTGTATGTGTTGTGTGAGGTTTCCCTGTATGTGTTGAGTGAGATTTCCCTGTATGTGTCGCTTGAGATTTCCCTGTATGCGTTAATTGTACGTGTTTATTGAGTTATACGAATGCCAACAGCACAAAGACAAATTCAAATTGAAGCGATGCCTTATCCAGTTGTCATTCATATTGCCAATAAAATGCCAACATTTATTCTCATTCAAATTCTTTGTCCGGAGAGACGTAGACGACAGTGTAACTAATATTTTCACAAAATGTTTATAGTGATCATGCAATATATTATATTAATAAAACGTTGTTATTGTTCGAGAATCGCGAAGATTTTTAATTCGAGTGAAATCAGCTTTATATTCTTACAGTTTGACGTTAACAATTCGCATGTACTGTTTTGATCAATCTTAGAAAAATATCTTATTATATTTTTTTAATTTCAAAATAATACTAACCAAACAGCGGATATTACTTTCCATTGCCTGCTAAACGTTTCTGAAGTACAATATCATACAAAGATAGCGAGTACTACAAGTCAACAGAAGTACAGTTTTACTGAGAGAACCTAACTATGGTTCTCCAACCTTCGATAATACAGTCCTATACCGCTGTTCCTTACCACTTTCTCATAAATCCCGACCCCCGGGGAACCTGTTGCTTCAATATCAGTTGAGAAATTCTTACCTTCACGTTACGACTCATATTATCCACCATCTCATTCTTCATACGACTTTTATTTTCTCGGCGCTTTTTTTCAAAATAATTTTCCATTTTGATAATATCTTAGTGATATCAGTTAAGTCTTTTTAAAAACATCAGCACTTTAAATGCAGGCTTTTAACCCCTCACTTAGGGTCGTTTTGGAGCGTCCATACGTGTCCATTTCTTTAATCATTTAAATCCCAAACGTAAATGTTGGTCTCCCAACTTTAAGACACACACGTAAATGAAATAACCTGAATGATTCAACTCTAATCACAAGGAAGTGATCGATTTTATCATGATACAGAACAAAGTGCGTAAACTAAATAGCGATTGTTGTTCTGATTTACAACCTGATCAATCCAGACGTAATGAACCGGTTACTTTAAAGCTCTGTTTGAACAAACAGTGTACACTAATTGAAGTTAAACATTTAATTTGATTTGTCTTGTGTTGTCACGGAATTGATCCAATATCAGGTTCGACGATCGTCAGGTATTTGATATTAACAAAAGAGATATGGGTCAATACTGTATATATGACGGAGCGGCAGATCTACCTGTTGATTACAGGTAGATACATAGGTATACCGGTAACATGTACCTATATATTACCTATCACTGAAGGTCACATTCTTTTTGGCAGTCTGTATATTTACTTACATTCGGTAAATTATCAGAGAATACTATGTAAACGTTTATACAAAAAGCTACACGTCGTTCAGTAGATTTTTTTTATGTACTAGAATGTACATATATATACATATACTCCAATCTTTGCTATATACCTATTATGTCCGTTTCAAGGTATACATTTATAACATTGTACAAAAGACACAAGTAATCAGCATTCTTTATTACAAATCTTATGAACAAAACTGCACCATACACCTGTTTTCTCCTAGGACTCGTCAGTGTTGCTAGGGGCCTCAATCTTAGGAAGCGGGAGAGGAAAATCAAAAGTGTTCGAAAGAAGTGTTAAAAACCAGATTGGCAGGTACACTAACCCCAAAGTTCAATCATTTTATTATTCACAATATTGCATTATTTCAAAAGAACAAAAGTACATGTGTATAAATCAAAGCGTGACATGCAGGTTACGGTAAATCTCGGCAAAACTTTTAAAGTCTACCAGCAGTGCTAGTGTGTACCACCAGCAATGGTGCGAGGTACGGGAGCACATTTTAAACTGTGTTTATCAGGAATTGAATTCAGGTTCATAATTTATTTACTGAAGTAAGACAAAGGTATTTGATAAAAAAAAAATTGAAATGTCCTTTTTGGAATAATGACATGAATCACGGGAAATAAAGACGTTCTGGTTCTGAGACAGGTTATTTATTTATTTATTTTGTCGCTTTGTTGATTTGTATGTTGTCACAATGTTGTATCGATACTAGTAACAACGGTATGCCAGTGTCACTAGTTATTGTTGTTCTTCAATTTGTGTCTTTTTGATAAATCTTTTAGTAAGACATGTCCGAAGAATACGTGGAATGTCTATCTCCTGTTACGTACAGAAGAAGCCAAATTCGATGTGCGATCTCCGAGCAAAAAATGCTACTTCCCTCTCTACTATAGACCAGTTATCAAAGCGTTTGAGCTCACAAACCTTTGGTCGAAGATCCGAGGTGTTTGGTTCGACGCCCCCTATCATGTGACCGTTTGTATTACAGGGAAATGCACCTGTTTTTGATGCCGAGGACAATAAACTTACTTCGCCTTGGGTCACTGCTGTATGTTGGGTGATGTAGCCAAAAGCTACTACACGGACCCTGGCAGTAGTATTGACAGCCAATCAAACCCAGCCAAAAAACCCCACAAATTATTCCTTATCAACTCTTTCTGTTTCAAAGGTTATAACCGAAATAACAAACCAATAAAATAAAAAATAATTCATTCATATTTTTTTTTTCGACAATTGGGGTGATTTTGCTCTTTGCATAACTTTATCAAGAAAATTTCACCACGTTTGAGAGACTGATTTGGAGCCATCGCAGTCGATAAAGATCGAAATAGAGATTTATTGTGGCATTTTGTTCAGTCTCGGCCCCTCGAGTGTCAAGTTTATTGCTTTATCGAGGTACATTTATAGAGAAGAGTAGTTCTGATAGTCCATTTCCCATTCCTTCAAAAAACCTGCAACAATCTGGATATCTAGAGTAATTAGGTGATCGTGCTTGTGTACAAGAACAGTGTTATCATATGTGCAGTAGTCGTATGATTTTTGTCTTAGATCGATTAAGAAAATAAATGAATGTATAATAGATAAATGATAAATAGATAGATAAATAAATAAAGTAACATAACATATAGCTATTACTGTTTTATGATAGATTAATGAACACGAACCTTGTATGTTCGGAATAAACTTGATTACATGTAACAGAATTAGAGGATGTGTTATCCCCAGCGCCAAAACACATATATTCAGTCTGCCTATATTGATCAATGCAATGGGCAAAGTACCCATTTTTATTACAATAAGCGACATTACTGTATGCAGTAGTGACAATTAATGACAATAGGCATAGTATGCGTTTGTATGACAATAAGAGGAAGATTACCGTACAGTAGTGACAACAAATAACAATGTTACAACTGGTGTGTGACACTAGTATAACAGTAGGTGTATTGTTATATAACACCACTTGGCTGTAGGTTGGATCACTGTCAACAAACCTTACACATGTAATAAGAACTTAAGTACTAGTATTGATATACATATCATTTCATCAACTGGGTCGCCGTAATTATATACATATATTTATGTATATTTGTATTATCGTTTTAGTGACATCTCAGTCGGTAGTGTTGGCATAAGTAACCTCAGGTAAATATCCGAGGGGTCATTGGTTCGACTCTCGCTTCCCGAGGCAGTTTGTGTTTCTTATGATCTGGTCGGCATGTGACAGGCCTCCCGCATGTTGTTCAGTCAAATGGTTAATAGTTATGACCACAACCCTCTTCAAACGACTCCGGTTGTTCAAGGAAAGATAAATCCATACAATAAACAAACAAACAAACAAATTATAAAGTTCAGTTTTTCTCTTTTTAAATGTTGACAAGTACATGTTATTTCCCCCTGTACTGAAACAAACATTTCATGGAACGCGATAACAAACATTTATATCAAATATAGCCTGTGATGAGTACATACCCAATACTTATCTTATCAATATACGTTATTGTTCCAGTTTCCTCTTTGATAAAGATGATAATGTTTGAAATGACCTAAAAGCATTGTAAGTTTGATTAAGAAATATTTCAAACCTTAAAATTAATTTTTTTTCGGACTTTCTAATTTTTTGTCCCTATTCCTTTTTGACATTTTGTTAGATCTGCGATCCAGAAAATTTTAATATATATCATTATTAAGAATAAGATATCTGAATTGTTTCTTGTAATTTACTTGTAAGCAATGAAGCTGACGATGGCGCTATATTTTGAGAAATGAGTATTTAGAACGATTTTACCACCAGTATCCACAACACTAGTATATATGTGTGTAGTGTTACATATACACTGTATGTAATGGGGAGTTAAATGTTCCTAATAACAAGGTAAGTGTATTGTATAGTAGTTATAAAAGAACACAACAAAATTAATTAAGAATTCAACTTTTATTTGCCGATTGGAAATACAATTCTCCTTGATACATACAATTTGTAGACTGCTCAATAGACTTAAAGTACTTCAAGGTTTGTGTGCACGATGATTTAGTCAGGCCATAGCAATTAGTGCGACGTACATGCACATTAGGTAAAGTACGCAGACATTATCTTTGATATTCAAATTACTTGTATTTTTGATTTTAAATAAAACACCTGCATAAGTAGACTTTGTAATAAGTTATGTATTTTAAATGGTGTAATACTGACTGTACATGGGATTTAATTACAATGTTTCTTCAGGAGGAAAGACACACACACCCCCCCCCCCCCCACCAACCCGTAAATCAAATTTCAATTCAATCGCACTCGCTGGTTCCCAAGATAGAGAGGTATATAACAATATATAAATTTTACGACGAATGTTTTTAAACGTTTTTACTTGATGATCAATATATATTTACATTTGGTCAAAAACAATACTGTGTATATAAACTAGATAGACAAAAAAGTAATTTAAAGGGTCATATTTCACTTAGTTTCTTATTACGTCATGATTATAGTCATAGAGACGGTAACGCTGGGTCGTCGACATTACTTTTCGATCTGAATAATCTAATATTGTTAATGAGTAGCTTATTACATAATATGAAATTTACTTAACTGACTCCCATGGTATTTATAGTCAATATAAGTAATAGAACTCAAATAGATATGGACCGAAAGTTGTCAGGTATGGTAAGTGAAATTATTAGACATCAGGGGAGGTAAGTAAGATTATTAGATATTAGGGGAGGTAAGTGAGATTATTGGATATTAGGGGAGGTAAGTAAAATTATTAGACATCAGGGGAGGTAAGTGAGATTATTAGATATCAGGGGAGGTAAGTGAGATTATTAGATATCAGGGGAGGTAAGTGAAATTATTGGATATCAGAGGAGGTAAGAGAGATTATGAGATATCAGGGGAGGTAAATGAGATTATTGGATATCAGGGGAGGCAAGTGAGAATATTGAATATCAGGGGAGGTAAGAGAGATTATTAGATATCTGGGGAGGTAATGAGATTATAAGATATCGAGGAGGTAAATGAGATTATTGGATATCAGGGGAGGCAAGTGAGATTATTGAATATCAGGGGAGGTAAGAGAGATTATTAGATATCAGGGGAGGTAAGTGAAATTATTGGATATCAGGGGAGGTAAGAGAGATTATTGGATATCAGGGGAGGTAAATAAGATTATTGGATATCAGGGGAGGTAAATAAGATTATTGGATATCAGGGGAGGTAAATGAGATTATTGGATATCAGGGGAGGTAAATAAGATTATTGGATATCAGGAGAGGTAAGAGAGATTATTAGATATCAGGGGAGGTAAATAAGATTATTGGATATCAGGAGAGGTAAATGAGATTATAAGATATCGGGGAGGTAAGTGAGATTATCAGATATCAGGGGAGGTAAATAAGATTATTGGATATCAGGGGAGGTAAATGAGGTAAATGAGATTATTGGATATCAGGGGAGGCAAGTGAGATTATTGGATATCAGGGGAGGTAAGAGAGATTATTAGATATCAGGGGAGGTAAGTGAGATTATTAGATATCAGGGGAGGTAAGAGAGATTATTAGATATCAGGGGAGGTAAATGAGATTATTGGATATCAGGGGAGGCAAGTGAGATTATTGAATATCAGGGGAGGTAAGAGAGATTATTAGATATCAGGGGAGGTAAATAAGATTATTGGATATCAGGGGAGGTAAATAAGATTATTGGATATCAGGGGAGGTAAATAAGATTATTGGATATCAGGGGAGGTAAATAAGATTATTGGATATCAGGGGAGGTAAATAAGATTATTGGATATCAGGAGAGGTAAATGAGATTATAAGATATCAGGGGAGGTAAATAAGATTATTGGATATCAGGAGAGGTAAATGAGATTATAAGATATCGGGGAGGTAAATGAGATTATTGGATATCAGGAGAGGTAAATGAGATTATAAGATATCGGGGAGGTAAGTGAGATTATCAGATATCAGGGGAGGTAAATAAGATTATTGGATATCAGGGGAGGTAAATGAGATTATTGGATATCAGGGGAGGCAAGTGAGATTATTGGATATCAGGGGAGGTAAGAGAGATTATTAGATATCAGGGGAGGTAAGTGAGATTATTGGATATCAGGAGAGGCAAGTGACATTATTGGATATCAGGGGAGGTAAGAGAGATTATTAGATATCAGGGGAGGTAAGTGAGATTATTAGATATCATGGGAGTTAAGTGAGATTATTAGATATCAGGGGAGGTAATTATTATGATATCTCTGTATGGATTTATTCTTGCTTACCCTATAGGAGAATCCTTCAATATGGATTCAGACAGGGAGGGTCTGCCTCTGGTACAGAGTGGTCCGTCATCGTCCCAGTACAGCGGGCTTCGAAACAGTAAGTGTCCATAGAAAAGATACTGAGTAAATCAATTTTACTCAAATAAACATTTGATCTTGTTTACCTAAAGGCGAAAAATGGTTTAAATATAAATGATCTCTCTGTTTAATGTCATTTCAGTTTAAATTACGCCTATTTATACGATGCCAAAAATTGAAATATAATAATTATAATTGAATTGAAGTAAAATACATGTAGGTCGTAATGACATTAACACCAATTCTAATAATAGGCTTCCTTCACTGATAATGACTTTTACTTCGTTACGACATTTTTGACAGAATTCTGTGAGGTTCTCTCTCTCTTTTCTTTACCGTACTTAATAATCAACTTCTCCACTGACAGCATGTGAGGTCAACCTGAGTGATTTCAGAGATCGACGATGCTTAAGGATATTTAAATAGTTATTGACTATTGTGATGTATCTTTCTATTATAGGAAGTAACTACACTCAACCGGAACCGGAAATCGATTATCCCGATAATCACCAAGAGCCGAAACTATTATCTCCAGATGAACTTTTGTACCGAATGAACTATGCTTTCATCAACCATGGGTACGCAAGAGTCAAAGTGATCCATACTTCAATGTTAAGTTACTGTATATTGTAATAGGGTAATGTACTTTATATATATACTGGTTGAAAATATATAGGTTTCCTTGATTGTATATGCTTTTTTAAAGATTAAGCGATAATTTCTCTGACATACGTGCACGAAATATGCGCATCTCCTTATTCAGATACATTGCTTTTCGCTCAGTAATAGGTAAGTGAAAGAAAGAAGGAAAGAAAGAATATTTACTGGCATTTTTTCAGATTTGATGCTGAACAACAAGTAGAGCATGCTCAGTCCAATCTTCCGGCTGCAGAACAAGACGATTATGAAGAAAAGATTTTAGATAAAATTAAGGAAAACTCACTTCCGCTCCGTGAAAAGCTGAAAGTTATCCGGTAGGTATATACGAAATTCAATGGTAAAATAATTTTTCCCTACTTAAATATCTACTTGTGTAATTAATACGTCGAATTGATGGAAACATTTAATTAATATATTACACTGTTGTTACCGTGTTAAATCATTTTTTTGGTCATGAATATCAAATATCATATTATCATAAAATTTAAACTTCTCATGTAAGATTTCATATAGCAAAACATTTTTTTTTTCTATAAATCAACAGATACATTCAACGATTTTAAGGTTTTATTCGTAACTGCAAAGTTGTTTAGCCAGTTTTATCGTCGATTAAAGGATCTAATGCTGGTATTAAATATATAGAATATAGAATAAATAAATAGGAACATTTCTACATTTTTAATTAGCGTTTTCCAGCGTGGAAGTAATCGACACCATGCGGTCAAAGGTCAGTACAGCCGTCAAGGGAAGGTAAGTATTGGGAATCAATCAAATAATACATTTAGAGAAAATCATTACGAGTGAGCATCACGTGTTCATTTCAAATTGATAATAGCCAAGATCATAATCCCTGTCCCCTCCCCCTCGACAGTCCCTCCCCCTCTCTCCTAAAATATGCGAGTGTTTATATTTTTTATTTTGTTTCTAGTAACGATGGTACGTTCTATATTACATGGATTAGAATAACAATGTCCAAGAAAACATATCAAAACTTGTGTAAACCTCCTGGTTATTTATCCATTTGCCTTTCCCGACATTACTCAGCCTCTTCATATTGACCACATTCTGTCCTGTGAGTACGTTTACTATAAAGAGATGTTACGCACAAATAAAGATTTCATAGGATACTTTTGAAATAAAAACCTGCACAAAAATCATCTACATTTATGGAAATTGTACACCTACCATTCAAAAATATCGATCTAGCTTGATCGATTTACAAACTTTCTCGCTGCCCTGATTGCGTCATAACAGGGAAATCAAATATTTGTGTGAATTATAAAATCGATAGAAAATAGCCTCGAATCATTTTAAACAACTTTAACATTGCCACTTTCGTGTATTTAACTGCATACATGACAGTTGAAGATCTATGTTACATGTATCAACTGAAATGGTTGAAGGTATGTAGTAATGAAAACAAACCAACGGAACGTTAAAAACCATAGTGTCTGTTTTCTTGCGTTGTTCGGTACCTCGATGTTGTGTTTGAGTGGTAAATGTTGACTATTTGTTGTTTTTGTTGTTGTTATAGACAAGGAACAACATCGCCTCGGCGTTTCAGCTGTGGGATGGAGTTATAAAAAACATAGCAGGTAAGTTAAAGCATATATATTATTTACCATGCCTCACCAATATAAGACATAGTACTTAAACTAGCTATTTCCTGTTGGATAATAACCAGCCTATTTGTAAATTTCACTAGTTCTCGACCTACAACATCAATTAAAGAAGCAAATAAAATGTATTTCACCATTAATAGCTTAAAGATGTGTGATACATTTTCACAATGAAGCTGTAGCTTAAGAGTTTTGAGAGAAAGTTTTGTGTCACTAACAATTTATGTTTAAGAAGTACGGATATTTGTTATGTCACACACAACACGAGCAAATGATAATAACGTACATCTATAAAACACTGCAACCTCTCTATATCAATAAAACCAGAATAGATTGTTTCTGTCGGAAGTTTCTGTTTTCGACGTTTTCCAGTAATAATACAAAATATGATAAGAACGAATTTGATCACTCGCTGTAGCGCGTCAAATTTTCTTCAATTTTTGAGCATTTACCAAATAACAGATTTTTGTTGATGTTTTTATTTTTTTTCTATTCTTTTTACCGAAAATGTCATTGTGACATGTAAACCTGACTTATATTATTTTTTCATCACTAATTTTATCCTCCAGCTTATTTCGGAAGTAATGTAGCATCCTACTTCAAATTTCTGCGGATCTTGTTTTACATCAACATCTCGACAGCGTTTGTAATGTTTGCCTTTACAACACTACCACATGTGAGTATAAATTTACATCAACGTCTTTACGGAGCTTGTCGAGAATTTCGCTGTATCAGTCCACCACCACCATGTACATAGATCGGACAGAGATGTCTTATTGTTTTTCCACTGGCATGTAATGTCGTATAAACTTAAGTACATAAGTACCACAAGTTTTCCCACGGACTATGTTTCACACTCTCTTATCGCATGTTTTCTAAATCTGTAACCTTTCTATTAAAAATGTGACTCCAATCACAGACACCGGTGCCTTTTTGATACAATCCACATGTTTCAGGTAATATGCATAACACACCATGATAAGGAAGTAAAATAACAAATATTTGAATAATGAGTCGAAAAATTAATAAACAAATGTGCAGAAAAAACATCTTTCTGTATATTGTCTGGTCTGCTTTGTAAGTATTTTTGAAATAAAATGTCTATTTTATCACTCGCAAAAGTCAAGATTTTGGCTGAATATGAATTTTCCAGTCTGACGCGCATGCTATATATTAATCTTAATCAAGCATGTGATATCAATACCGAATCTGATGCGTGTTATGAGTAAAATTCGTTGCCGTGTTTACATTGCGATCACATGTACATATCCTGTACATTGTAATAGCGAATCTGTCACTATTCTCTTATTAAAAATGTCTAGATGTTTGTCACTCCTTTCGACTATCCTTTTTGGCAGGTTGACGTCGTGGTGTGGTAACTGTATACTATTTTGGATTTGTTATTTGGTGATAAATTCGGGACCCGGACAGACCTCCTGTCAAAAAAAAATGTTTTCCTTGTCAAGCCCAGTTCGATTACATACTCTAATCTGCGTAACTGTTTTTACTCATCATTGTATATTACAATGTAACACTGGTAAAATACTAGCCGCAATATACCAATCGGCTAGAGAAAACTTCTCTTTATCTCGATTGGTTGAGTGTCAGACTAGTGTTCTGTAGTTGGCACTCGAACACTTTCCTGTTTGTACGTTTTCTATATTCTTTTGTAGCTGATAGACACAGATACGGAAAGCAACCTTACGATCACTGGAACGTTTGTAAGTAATAGCTTAATCTATTGACTATCCATAAAAAGTCAATTCGAAAGTTATTAGCTTCAAGTACACATTATTAATCTATACAATAGAAAGTACGTGGCTGCAAACAATCAACATGCTAGTTGGGATAATATCATTTCTCATTTCTTAGAGTTACTTCCCTTCGTTTGACTCGCTCTTCATGGTATACCGTTAATCTTGACAGCGAAAAGTGCCGAGAATGGAAAATGTGTGCACATGGTTGTACGGAAGGATAATCAAATTGTAGAAAAGTATATTAACGATACCAAACTTGATGTAAACATTTTTTAAAACATTTCCACATGGGTTTGAAGAGGTATGGGTTTCCTACCAGTTGTGTAGCGTTCGTGTTATATTGTACATCCAGTACTTGTAATACCTTTTGATTGCAGGTATAGTCACCATTGCAAATTTCATAAATATCTGTGTCTACGCTAAGTATGCCTTCTACGGATAGCCTGGTATCGTTTATTCATTCATTCATTCATTCATTCACATTCATTCATTCATTCGTTCATTTATTCATTCAAATTGCATATAAAAGCACATGGCGTTAATTCCCTTTATCTTTAAAGTAAGTAGTCTCTGAGTAGATATCTTTTTTGTTTATATTTTGCTGTAGTCTGATTGAATTTTAGTTCGAAACAAGATTCTGTGGGTACGACGTATTTTTCTTTCTTTGTTTTCAATGCCGTATTTGTGTAGTTTTACCCGACAGTCTGATAAACTTGGTCAACTACTACAATATATTTTGTCATGTGTAACATCAGGTCATTTTATATACTTCGTTTGTGTGTTCATATGTCTTTATTTATTTCTTGGTGATTTCATTTAGTGGTCAAAGGGTATATATCCCGTGCGGTAAATATAATTGAACACTAACAGTTAACGTTGTGAAATACTGACCGCTGATGGTGATAGTTTTCGTACGCACAAGAAAACTTACCTGAGTGTTTTGATGAAATCTAAATACAAGTTTAAAATTTCATTTTTTTTAATCCTGCAATCGGTGCTGCCATTGTCGGAATACACCTACCATATGTACTTTTGCTGTATTCGACACTAACGGAAAAATTGTATTTTAGCACGTGCACAAATTCGACAGAATTACTTCTCGATTTATTTGAATATTGTTTTTTTTTTAAATATAAATGGTTGTTTGAAAAGTAATCATGACAAACAAATTTATTTACGAAAATGTACATAAAGTTGCTTATTATATCCATTGAAGAGTGGAACTGTACCTCCGAGCTCGGCATAGAAAGATAAAAGTGGTTCGCCAGAAACTTGCCACTTTTGTCGTTCTTCGCCCTGTACAAAATACAGCTTATATTTAAGACACTGACCGCGAATTCCCTAAATCTGCCCATAGGAAAATTTTGATTGATGTTAATTGATTTTGGAGCTAAAATGGTCAACAACTTTTCTATGATATTAAAGTTTAAGAAAATGTTTGGTTTCCAGGGAGAGTTGTCTGATAGCCTGATGTTTTATGGTGCGTACAGCAACAAGACAATCCACCATTACAATCACCCATTGGCTTATCTGCTCACGTGGTTAGCCGTCAGCGTGACGACACTTGTCGCTATTGGTGTCAGGTAATCCTGATTTAATAACACTTTTTTCACAGTTTGTTGTACTTGCTCTCACGCACGTGCGCACACTATCATTTCATTGACCGTATGTATGCGTTATATATTTAAACATGACAATTACTATACATTTGTTGGTTGTTGTTGTTCTGATGTAGATCGTCATGTTCATGCTTTGATGTTGCTGTGATCTATCTGTGATAGAATTCCCGAATGAGGTCAAAGGTCAGAGTTCATGGATACATTTTAAGTTATACAGTCATGTTCTCAGCGAGTGTTTTTAATCGCCTATGTAAAGATGTTTACCTCCCTGGTTTATTAAGAACAATTTTATTTGTAAGAAGTTTGAGATTTTTTAAAACCTAGAATCCTTTCAAATTCTAGTACAAATCAAAATGCTTTGTGGGGACATCAAAATGGTGGTTTCATGGGATCCGAAAATATTGTTTAATACTAGGCATGGCCTCGCGAGCAAACTGTTCAATAGGGGTGTTCTAGAGAACAAACTATTCAATAGGGGTGTTGTCAAGAGAAGCCTGTTCCTTAAGGATGTTCTCGAGAATAGACTGTCAAATAGGAGTGTTGTCAAGAGCAGATTGTTCGATAGTGATGGTCTTGAAAGCAAACGGTTTGATAGGGGTCGTGTCAAGAGCAGACTGTTCAATAGGGATGTTTTCGGGAACAAACTGTTCAAGAGGGGTGGTGTCAAGAACAGGATATTCGATAGAGATGACATCGAGAGCCGATGTTGTAAAAGGTCGCCTCAAGAGCAAGTTGTATATAAGGGTAACCATTCGAGATCTTAAAAAAGTTTCATACTTTTTAATGGAACATTGCGTGCTTTTTTGGAACAATTCCAAGCGTACACATCTTGAAATTTACGGCCAGATTTTTTTATGTAGAAGGAATGCTACTGATATTTGGTCCAGGTGGCTTTTCGTTTATACCCTAGGGTTTTTTGCTCTGCATTTCAGTGTTATTAAACATAGATAAAAAGTATGACTGCAACTAATACAGTGTCTGACCTCGTTTCTTCAATAAACAAACGCTTACAGGAAATTTGTGTATTGAATGAAGAAGTTATAAATTTTTGTCTTTATTTAAGCATGAACGTCCGCTACAGGCGTAGTAAACTAGCTATCACGGAAGACAATTACGAATTTTCTCATCGGACGTTCTGTTCATGGGATCATGGGATTACTACAAGGGCTGGAACACGTGACCACATACGGGCATTCACAATGGAACTTAAAGTAAGTATAACAACTATATAAATTATTTCCAAAAAGATATTTTAATTCAGTATTTTTATATCAACTCACTTGTTCCAAAGGATCGGTGAACGTATGGAATAGTGCGGCGTCCGTCGTAAAGAATATTTCCGTGAAGTCAAACAAAGTCTGTCGGTAGAATGTTCTTGTCTGATCACGTATACAATCTTTATTCAGCTTCTGGATAAAACGTATACATCCTTTCAACTGAAGAAAATTAAAATTAAATAAATTATATCATTACAGGAAAAAATACGTGAAGATCAAAGTCATGAGAGGAAAGCGTGGACAGTAATGTAAGTATATATTGTGGACATATTTACAGTATTACCTGTGATGTAAGCTAACATTTGGTCTTACCTGAGTATAAAGTGTGATCAGAGGGTATAAATCTTGGTCTGTAATCTGAGCATAAAGCTGGTTTGTTAGGTGAGTATAAAACTGTATCAGAGATCTAAGTATAAAGTAAGATATGTTATGTGTGTCTATAAATATTTGTCTGTGATCTGAGTATAAAGTAAGATATGTTATGTGTGTCTATAAATATTTGTCTGTGATCTGAGTATAAAGTGTGATATGTTATGTGTGTCTATAAATATTTGTCTGTGATCTGAGTATAAAGTAAGATATGTTATGTGTGTCTATAAATATTTGTCTGTGATCTGAGTATAAAGTGTGATATGTTATGTGTGTCTATAAATATTTGTCTGTGATCTGAGTATAAAGTAAGATATGTTATGTGTGTCTATAAATATTTGTCTGTGATCTGAGTATAAAGTAAGATATGTTATGTGTGTCTATAAATATTTGTGTGTCTATAAATATTTGTCTGTGATCTGAGTATAAAGTAAGATATGTTATGTGTGTCTATAAATATTTGTCTGTGATCTGAGTATAAAGTGTGATATGTTATGTGTGTCTATAAATATTTGTCTGTGATCTGAGTATAAAGTGTGATATGTTATGTGTGTCTATAAATATTTGTCTGTGATCTGAGTATAAAGTGTGATATGTTAGGTGAGTATAAAAAAATTATCTGTGATCTGAGTGCAAAGTATGACAAGTGAAAAATATATTTGAAATGAAGTGAGATTTATAAAATAACATTTATTTATGAACCACTGAATACGATTAAAATGAAAAAAGAATTAGAACCGTTTTCTCGTGATTAATTTGATTTGATTAACTTTTTCTTGATACTCGTCACGTCTGTTCTGTGAGAGTTATATAATGACTTTAAAGAAGAATTATTTGTAAAATCTACAGAATCATATCCCAATCTCAAGGACTTTAATCACTGTGAAAAGCTAGTGATACCAATAAGCAACTTAACAAAGAGCAAATGCAAAAACTTGTTCTTATATCTGACAAAGACGAATAACTTCTTTTTGTATAAGAAGTCTAAATGGGATATAAGTAGTACTATGGTATTTGGTGTATATTTTTACCTGTATAACCTGGAATTATAATAATAGTTTTATGTTGCTGTTTTAATCATCTCTCATGACTCTTTCTATGGTGGCAGCATATTAATTTTAAATTAACTATAATGCATTTTATCATGTTTTTGTATTTAATTGGTATATGCTAATGAGATGTAATTAAATATTTGACATTCTACATTGGCATTTATCTGTCTATAACCGTTGAAATCGCCACAGTTAGGGAGTGCCAAACACTCCCAGCTGAGTTAGGCGGCCGATCAGTCGTGTTAATGAAATGCATCATCCTTGGACGTTTTTCACAGTTTTCGTGTTCTTGCACAAATGTGAAAGCTTTTATATGAAATCTTTACCTATGACGTTTTATATAAATGTCAAATGGGGATTGGTGCTATTTCTTCGCATTGTCTTCATGCGTCAGTAAATGCCGTCTAAACGAGTAAATTTGTAAATCATTGTGTAGGCCATCGTTTTCAGTGTGGAATTTGTTTATATAAATATATATACTGTATATATTACAGTAAGTTTGTAAAAGGTCCTCAAATCTGTCAAATAACCCTCCTCAAATAATAGGGTGGTCGGGTGGCGCAGTGGTAAAACACTCGCCTTTCATCTAGGGGTTCGACTCTCGGGTACTCCAGTTTATTCCCACAGTAAGACCCCTCGCGCGCTCCCATCCGAGTCAACAAGAATGATTAATCTAAGCTGGAAAATTTGTTTCGCAATTGTTGGAAAATAAATGAAGTTTATAATTATAAACAATCTGTGAATCTGTGACATATATTATGATGCAGTGTACATAATGAAATTAATGTTCAAGAAATCAAGAAAATAGATCTATATTTTTTATTACCCAAAAAACTCTGATCTGTCAATAAAAGTATTCTTTATATATTTCGATATGTACTTGAGTTTAAGTTTCTATTACTTGTGAATTCGTAAAAATGCTCACGGTTTGCTCTTTGTCTGGCTGTCTGTTTATATATATACAGGTTTTATGATAAAAGAAACTTATACTCGTGCTGATGTAAAATAGAACTGATTAAACCCATGTCGCTGTCCTAAATACTTATGACATTTCACTTTATTGAAACTCGTCTACTTTATAAATTCCATATTACATAGAAACTCACGTGAGGTCCTTAATTTTTTTTGCCATGCCGATGTAAGACACTCGGTCATTTTCTGATAACTTTCACGGTTTCTCTTTGTTATCCCAGAACTGTTAATACATTTTTTAATAAGAATATATTTATAGTGTGGCTGATGTGTATACCCACAGCTGTTCATCATTAGCGGCCCGCTAATATTATAAAATATCATTTAGGACGCGGCTTATAATTATTTTCTTATCATTTTTTATTCTTTGTCATTCTATTTTCCCTATAGAAAAGTTGAAATAAAATTTTGAAACAATATATTCCTAATACTGTTAGTTTCCATGCCATCTATTCTGACATGTAACAAAGGGTTCTCTACCAATAAAAACACTAATTATTATGGACAAACGAAACTTCACTTTTGCTAAAACTTTTTTTGAGTCTGATACAGTGATACATCTGTAACCATTTAACAGTATATAAAAATAGTATCCGATGCTCACTGATTTCTCTGTCCACCATTTCGATCACTATGATATATTCACATGGTTATACTTTAGAAGCCACTCATATTTTAGACTGTGCTTAATTGTGATCGCTGTATTAAATAAAAAGTACCCAAAGACAACAAGATATATAGATATTTAGGCATCTAACGAAAAATGGAAATGATATATATTGCTTTAAAAAGACGTGCTCAAGGAGGCATTTGCGAAGTCTGAATGGCTTAAACTGTCTCTTATTAATAGATATAGTGTACGTCATCAACTGACCAATACATGTTACCTGATCAAGAAGATTAATCAATTAACTACTTTTATTGGGTATGAAAAGGTCAATATCTGGTATAGCCACACAATCATCAAGAGTTATGTACTTGCAGAGAATTCAGTTGTGATTATATATCTTAATCTTACTACGCCATGTGACACTAAATTAAAACGAATGTCCAGAACAAAATAAAAATGTTTTGGTACTGAATAATTCAAACGTTCAGTTGGTGGATATTTATGGAGATTATGTACGGGTAATGACTTAATGCTATTGGAGGTTGAATCTGATTGGATACTCCCAGAAAACGGTGATCCTTCACGGAAATTATCTGTCACAAACATTAGCACAGCCAATTTGAAAATCAATAAGCTTTCTACTACTGCCTATTTTATTTTTAATATAATTTTTAAATGTTTACTTCTTTACTGTAAAGATAAATGATTTGCTTCCGCAGAAAAATTCCCCTATAAAGACATTACTGAAGCTTTACAAGGAGATATCAACTATGTCTTACGGAAACAAATTATGAACTTAAAAAAATGTTTGCTATCTTTTTTGCTGCGATATTTGGAAATAAATGGGTTTGTTTAACTAAAGATTACTAATATAAGTTAACCATCACCTTAATATCTTGTTTTTGCCATAAATATTCATGGGCCGAAATTATAGATTTAGATTTTTTGAGTAATTGAGATGAAAATGGTAGGTAATGCTCATTGACGTACAATTTCTAACCATAGCGCTTTTGTCGGCTTCTTTCCAGCACTTTTAATACTGGGCTAGACCAAAGGTGGCGCGAATACATCAACTTCTTTTTTGTCTCCAATATCACGTGATTTCGGGACAAAAGATTTCCGTTCTGTATCACCACACAATATCTCACTTAAAATATTCCTTACTGATCTATTTGTAGACTTGCCAGACTTTTGGGCCGTTTGGCCTCGAACATGTTTGTCATTGGAATGCTTGGAGGGAGCGGATATTTGATCTACTATGTAGCACAAGAGTTTGAACTCCCGAAAGAGTCACCCGATTTTTTACAGAAACTCTTCACCAAGTACCAAGTAAGTATCTAATTTGTAGTCTTTACAGGTCTACGATTCACATGAAATATAGGCTAGAGAAAAGATTGAATGGTAAGGTTTTAACAATTAAGCTAATTGTAAAACGCGCGAGTCAGAATGTATTTAGGGTTAAAGAATAAACGTTAATGCAAAGGAGACGGGAAGCTGGTGAGGTGTTAGCAGGGGGTGGGGATAGGGGAGTTGTGGGGGTGTTCAATCAATTTTTGATAACAACATTTTTCAGTTCCATACCGGTATGAAAGAATTACATTTTTACAAACTGAATGAATGCATGAAAATAAAATAATATCATTATCAAAACTTATACTTAATTTCTTTATTTCTTTTAATAAAGAGAATAGCACATAAATGTATTAAGATAATTCCACGAAGGATCATGTTAAAACAAATCACTATAACAGCTGGCGTTACGTCATTGTCAGTTAATTCGCGCCAGTTTTAGTCATTAAAATTCATTCATGGATGGATCCGTCACATTGCAGACAGAAATGTGTAAAAGTATACAATTACATATTTTCCCCTCATAAAATCCGTTATATATTCGTTGTTTTTAATATGTGTACATGTACATTTTTACATCGTTGGATGACATTGATCCATATACTAGGTGAATGTAAATATATATCCAATTTTTATAAAGAAGTTATTCCTACAGAAATGCTACAAGATGTCGTGTTGCCATTTACTCCTTTAATCATTATCAAGTGGGCTGAGCTATTTTGTTTTTCATCGAGAATTGAAAAGAAACAAAAACTCGAAAAACGGCGAATCGGTATTTTGAATACAAACAGTAAAAATATTATTATAGACATGATATAATGGAATGTCACATATGGGCTGTAAGGTTTTCTGCTACCATAATGCATTCATCCATTTAAACAGTTGGTCTGACCTAAAGAAGGTCACTAATTGATAATAATCCTTGTTTCAGCTGACGACAGTGGTGGCTGCCCTTAAATTAATTGTGCCAGTAATATTCAAGCTGATTGGTAAATTGGAAGCCTGGCATCCTAGAATAGAGCAGAAAGTGACTTTGACAAGGTACTAAAATGGTCTTGCAAAAAAATCAAAATCAAATATTAATTTCTATTGATTAGGTGAAAGCCATTTCACCCAATATATTATTTGAAAATGATTTGGATAAGAATCCAAACTTTATACACTAAACCTCGTTTCTTATTCAGTTTGTCAAAGTCGACGTGCATTAGAGGTTGGAATTTATTTTCGTTTTCCATATATTTATTACAGGACAACGCTGTTCTACTTTGCCAGTCTGGCGATTTTTATATCCTCTCTGTACAATGTAACTCAAGAATGCCTCGATAATTCTGAAGGCAGACCAGATGATGGAAGTGGGAATATTAACAAGACTAACGTAAGGAATTTTACTTCATTTAGATTTAAAAATAAATACTTATGTCATAAGCATTGTTTGTAAAATTACATTTTTGTATGAATTATTCATTTGTTTGTCTTTTGTACAATCTTTGAGGATACTGAATTTTTCATTGTTAATATTGATTAATCTATTATTCTTTTGTTTACAACGGGAAAATATGATTCCAGATAAGATTTTGTTTTTCGTATGAACTTAAATAATTAAAAAAAAGATAAATTGAATTATCAATTTAAAATATTAAAACATGTAAACCATGTGTTAAAACATATCATGATCAATTGTTTTGGCCTTCTGTGGTTGGCAAAAAAATTTCGCCCAAACGTTAGAGGAACATCGAAATGAGGTGATATACACGTTTATACGAGGGTTTATCCAATCAAAAAATGACATTTATCAAATTCGAAATAATCAAATTATTTTCAACATTCCACTTGTACTGATATTTGACGAAACTCGGTTTGTGATGTTGTTTTATTGCTAATTGTAGACAGAATTCTGTTGCTGGGAAAATGAAGTGGGAGAGGAGGTTTTCAAGCTCATTCTAGTGGACTTGGGGATCTGTGTTGCTGTGGCATTGTTTTTCTATGTATTGAAAGCCTTGTTGGTAAAGACGGGACAGTGTTTTGACTGGGTGAGTCTATGTAGATTGACAATACAAGTCAGGATCAAGCCATTTTGGACCACATACAAATTTTCGTGTTGAGCAACACATAGGAAAAAAAATATATACACATATTTTGGTACTGAAACTTACTATCCTATCTTTCAAGCATTCCCCAACAAATTGCAAATCTTGTACGTCATTTTATTTTCAATAACTTAAAGAATGTTTTTTTATGTTTGCGCTTTTTTGTCATTTACTCTCATAATATGTCTCCCGTGTTGCTTCCTAAAGTACATCAAAAATTAATATTTATGCAGCAAATTTGACATTTTCAGGTTAAACTGAGCGAATTTGATGTGTCGTCAAATGTCCTTGACCTTGTTTACGGTCAAGGTCTTGTTTGGCTAGGTCTATACTTTTCTCCAGTCATCGCTATCGTTGGAGCAATTAAACTAATCGTCGTATTCTACCTTCGGTACTTTGTTGCACGTGTTGCGATCACGCCACCTACTCGTGTTTTTCGTGCGTCAAGGTCAGGCAATTTCTACCTCTTCCTGCTACTTCTCACGTGGTTCCTGTGTATACTGCCACAAGCCTACGTCATTATTGAGTAAGTATATCTGACATATATGGTAAAGATGGTGAGATATTAATGTTAGGTCTTCCATAATCGGTGACTAGTATGTCATGTATTTTGTATGATGACTGATTTCGTGTTTTTGGTCAAAGAGATGCCAAGCGATAAACTGGGATGACAAAAAGTCCACAAAAGTGCCGAAGTGAAAAGTGATAAAGCCAAAAACTGCAAAAATAATTAATTGCAGGACTATGGCGTCACTTTTTACTTAGTTATTCTGATCCCATCCTGTCACGTGGACATGTGTCACTTTTCGGTATATCACTTGACGTCTTTTCTTGCACTTACAAAAGAGACGAAATTTCACATATCAGATATCATATATTTTCTTACTCTGCTCAATGAATCTGAAAAATGTATGTCAGGCAAGGTGAAAAACTATAACGATGTGAAATCAAATAAAACAATTAATTCGGCTACGCTTCACATTAACGGCATTACAAATGGAAAATCGATTGTGTTAACAGTTAACCACGTACCTTGTCAAACATTTGTTATGGAGAACCTTCGTTTATACTTGACCCTAAAAGCTCAAATGACATCCAACTACCAATCCAATTGCCATTTTTCTTTAATAAGAAAATGTTGGTCGCAATTGACATTTGTGAAGTAAGATTGTATTTTCGTTGATTTTGTTGGTGCTGTTCGTAATGTTTTAATTAAATCAAGAACCGATTAAAAATTACTTAAAAATAAAATCTATCTATTATTGTTGAAAATTGTCGAATCATTAGCTACGTGTTTATTATGTAATTCATGTACTATAGCAAAGGTACGAAAAACAGCGGAGTCATGAAGTGTAAAGACAAAAACACATATTTACAATAAACATAAAGCAAAATAGTGAAACGTTCGAGGAGGAGTAATTTTGGCATAAATCTACGGAATGAACGTTCAATCTCGATTAATTTATTCCCCTCTTTATATAAAAAAAAATGTCACCGAGTGTGCATTTTGGTGCGTGCTAATGGAAATTGGTACAGATCATTATTTCCGTAAGACTGTTCTTTTTGTGTTCAAACATTAGTTTCAAACAAGGCTGAATTTATCAAAGAGCTTATCAAAACAGGTCACAAAGACCTTGCCTGTTGGTTCTGTTAATGTATACCTTGTCCTCATCTTGATCTTCAAAACATTTCTAGGTGGGCCAATAGATGAGGTATTATTTTTAATCTTGACAAGACAGAATCCCTACTTTTTTCAAGGAGAGTTGATTCTGAGATGTTGCATCCAAATCTGTACTTTAATGATTCAGTTATTAAAGATGTTACCTTCCATAAGCACCTTGGTCTAACTTTTAATAGTCATGCTAATTGGTCAAACCACATAAACTCTATCTATGAGAAAGCTTATAAACGAATAAATGTACTTAGAATGTTAAAGTATAAAATTGACAGAAAGTCACTTGAATTAATATATATTACATTTATTCGTCCTATTTTAGAATGTGCTGATATTATTTGGGCTAATTGCACAGAAAGGGAATGCAACATCTTAGAATCAATTCAACTAGGCCTAAGACGGGGCACCAATCATGCAATTCTATATAATGAGTCTGGATTAATACCCTTAGCTTAAAGAAGACACTTACATCAAAATATCCATTTTTTAAAGATTTTAAATAACAGATGCCCTCCTCATGTATTTGATTCTATCCAACCTTTTATAAACAATAATACTGCTCCTTATCCACTTCAACACAATAGATTGTTTGATGTGCCCCATACAAGAACTTGTCAATATAGCACTAGCTTCTTTCCAAAACTCATGAATGAATGGAATGGTCCATCTTATCTGTATCCCTCTTCTATTTATGCGATAAAAAAAACTTTTTTATCACAGCAAGCTACCATTCCTCCTTTCCACTGTAATGATACTTTCAAATATAAAGGACAAAGAAAAGCTAACATAATTTTATGTCAACTAAGAAACTCTGCAAGTAATCTGAATTTTGATTTATTCAATTCCCACCTTAAAGATAACCCTGCCTGTAACTGTGGCCACCCAGTTGAAGATTGTACTCATTTCTTTTTCCACTGTCCCTTCTTTACTAACCAGAGACAACTCCTCTTTAATTCCCTTTCTGACCTTAGTGATTCTATACCTCCTACAATTGATACATTTCTTAAAGGTTCTCCTATACTTGATGCAAACATGAATAAATTTATTCTTGATATAGTTCAGAGATTCATAACTGGCACTGGTCGCCTGTTTTAGCAAATGTACATCCCATTCTATACTTCTATCTTTTCTATCTTTCATTTGTATTTGATGTCTCAAGTGTGGGTCCGCCTGTCCATTTTAGGGACTCAGCTCAGGATTGTGTGCAAATGGACTGTTTGAACCTGCACCCTGTCCCACCACAAATGGACATATTTTGACCCAGTCTTGTAATATCTTGTGATACCTTATTGTACTTTTTAGTTTATGTTACTGCTCTGGAACTCAATAATACAAATGATGCTGATGCCTATTTTGCATTTCTGTTATATAATCATCCATTTGAATCTATCTTCTACATTCTTATTCCCAACATTATTATTATCTGTTATCTTTAATTTTGATTGATGTATCTGTATACTTGTTTATGCACTGTAAGGAGAGGGCTTATAGGCTCTGCCTGTTGCCCAATTCCTATTGTCAATACCACCAAGACAATAAAATATTCTGAAATAAAAAAAATCCTCATTTTAGACATGACATTACTCAACTTTTGATTGACCACGGTTTACATGTCGGGTGTCTTCGATGAAGCAGATTACGCTTATTCTTCCGGAACTCCTGGTCTTATAATTGTGCTTTTTTCAGTAGACATAATTTTATCTACTCTGAACTTTGATTATGATTCCAGTTGATAAGTTGGTATAATCATTTTTTTTTATGTATAAGTGACATCCGTTTTGTAGACTTACACCATCCTGGGATTGCGGTCCTTTCCTGGACAAAAAGCATGTTGATGAAGTAATCACAAACGGAGTTGGAGACCTGCCAGACTGGCTGGATAATACTTTGTCCTATATAGGCACAGCTGCAGTCGCCGTTCCAGTTATCGTCCTTCTGATGTACGTAGCTTCAAGTTAATTGTTTAAAGGAAATTAATTGCAATTATCATTTATTGAGATATTCTAATTCCGTTTTAGCTATATGGACATAGTTATTGGAGTTTAATCATTGTACGCAATTTCTTTTTTTGACAGTCTGATAGGATTGTATTATAAAACGAGAGCCTCTTCATACAGCGATCTCGCCAGACAGCTCAGAAACCAATTAATATTTGTAAGTATCTCAAATAAGTGAATTTTGAAAATATCAAAATAAAAACGGAGTCATCAAATTTGAATTTGGCGCGTGCAAGTTATTCTTCTAAGGTTGTGTTTTGTGACCGTGGACTTGCAGAGATCCTCTTTACTAGAGATTGTAATACATAGATGATACGAGGGGTCACTATATTCTGTTAATACTATTTATCTTAATGAATTAATTTTGAGCTATTTCATTAAATGCTTGAAGTGAATGATTTTGTTTATGAAAATGTTGAATTTTTAGAGCTGTTTTCTCATTTATTTTCTAAGTATTTTCAAACTTTTTTCGCGTGTTTATGATAACCTCGTTAACAGCGATGAATAGACCTCTCAAACAGAACTAACATATACAGCATATCATTAAATCCTGAAATGAGTCTGATAGCGTTACATCATTTTATATGTACAGGAAAGAAAAGTAGGAAAAAGGGAAGTGTTTGCGATAGCCACCTCAGCACCAGGTAAATAGATATATAACTCAGCTTTGCGAGCAACAGCAGACCATCTTTATGTATAAATCTATGTTTTCCGAGTGAAAATTAAAACAAATTCTTCTGTATACATGTAACCACATTTTAACAAATTGTAAAACGAATAAAACAGGGTGTTTGCATTTATGAACAGTGTGTATATTGAACATGGTTGCCACTGAGAAGATAAGAAGGAAGGGGAATAACCATGTAAATTTAGGATAACGACAGTAACTGAACGTTCTAAGGCTAAACAACATGATAATTAGACCAATAGACACAAACTCCAAACATACTTACTAACATAAGGTGTTCTTTCAGTTTAGGTTTGGATATTGCGGTTTATACAGCAGAAATATCAAATGTTCTTAAAAATGTTTTAGAAGAGGGTGTTGAAAATTGGTCAAAAGCTCTTTAGATTTCTTTAAGATTCTACTTCTTGAGTAAATAGTATCATTATAAGACTGCTACATGGATTTTAATACATATATATTATTTCAGGACATGGTTAGTGTAAAAGTGGAATAATTTTGCAAATTTCATCATAATATTATATATGTAAGTTTCAATAGGCATTACGAAAACCGGCATAGATTTTCTACAAAAATAGTCTGTTACGAAAGATTTATTTGCTCAAATGATGCTTACCTTACTGACTCTGCGGTGTTGAAATGTCAGATGTCTTCATATAGAAATGACCAGATCCTTATAGAAATCTCCCGCTGGTGATTTTACACCTTCTCACCATGAATCATGCGTTCTAATGTATATACAAAAATAGGTGTTACATAAATAGGATGTTTATCTCGGGAATAGAATTGTTGCAACATTTGTATGAGTCAGTTTTACTGTTATATTTGGAAATAACTCTAGGCTTCAAAATTTATGCCCGTAGCATCACTGACGAATTCTAGAAGGACGAAACAGTGTATAATGTTTAATTAATGGTTTGGCTCTACTGTACCTCACTCTAAATTATGGAAAGGCGCTATTCACTTGTGTGTCTTCTTTACAATCTATATCATAACCAAATAGTAGCATCCATTACATAGGGATGAAAAGTCTTTTTTCAGCTGTTAAACTCATATTGAATAAAGGCCCGCTAAAACATTTTCATAAAAGCCACAACTGTGGCAAAGAAAAGTTATCACCATCGCTATGTGGTGAAGCGGCTCAGTGTGGCTTGATCTATTCAAACGCGACGAAATGTCGTTACTCGTGTAAACTACTAGATATTCGTGATATTAATATATATTAATAAACTTTAATTAGCATATAGTTGAATATATATTTAGATATATTTAAGGTTATACTTAGAATATTTCATTGTCGAATTACATTCGTGTATTGTCTCCATTTCGTTTTTAGCTGGCAGCTTAGGACGGACAACTGGCGTAGCTGCGGCGAATAAGATCGATGAAATGGAAGAAAGATTACCACATTATCAGTGAAAAATAATCTTGCGATTATATAAATCATCGATGTTTTAAAGCAGACTACTTTGACAACAAGCTGTTTCAAGTCCATGTTCTATATGGAGGTCGTGAAATGCTCACCTCTGTACTTACTCTTCAGTCGTCAAACGCATAAACAGTGCATAAAATAATGACAGCTTCCACATGGTAGCTTTACAAAATATATTTGTTCTTCACTTTAGATTAAAAAGATCATTGAAAGAAAACTATCGTTACATTACCATTTTAAAATTGGTGATTCATTCTATAAATGATTCTAGACGCCCTTAGTAGATTTGCGATTGTCGAAATTAATATATACCTTTATCACATATGAAAAAGTGCACTCTTAGATATTTTTATTAAAAACGAAGTCTTAGTGATAAAATTACAGTACATATTTCCTTACTAAATTATGCCACTACAGCATTTCTTCATCAGATTGAAACAGTCTCTTGGTCATAGTGATTCAAATATAAGAAAGATTAAAAAAGGGAAATAGGAAAATCTTTGATATGAAACAGAAATAAAACTATATGTCATACTTATTTTATTTTAATATTTATTTTTGATAAACTTTGAATGATTGTTCATATTGACTTAAAGTGTAATTGGAAAGTAGTTAGATGTGTAACTATTGGGGTAAACAAATACGTTAACATCCACATTGATAGACATTGATAGACGAATACCTCTTGTTTTCAACATATTTATTGTTTATTAAAACGGATTATACTGTCAGATATAAAACGTGACAACTTCTTCCTGACGATTGGCTTGGTCTATTTTCACTCAATGATGAAAGCAAGAAATGGATTAAACATCATGAATATATAAATATCATGCAATGTACAAAACGTATAGAACGAATAAATAACAGATTTAACAGGGGGACATCTGTTGTTTTATATTTTTACCCATTTTGAACTTCAAGGCTGAAAGCAATATTCCACACAGAGATCAAAACATCGTCTGATTGTAATTGTGTCCTACTTAAGATTACAGGTTGGATTTCTTTGGCTTTGGTCGAGTTTTCTTTCATACCAGCTTGAAACTAAAACACATTCTTATCAAAGCTTAAACACGAGCTTCAGACTGAACTATCGAATAGAAAACACTACCATTAAGTTATGGAGTCCCTTCTCAACGTTTAGGATGTGCCCAGATTGCTTCGAAAATAATGATAAGGATTCTTTTTATAAACAATGTTTGAAAACTATCAAATTCCGGGTCCATTGTCAATGTTAATTTTGAAAGCAGGGTCCTTTAAAAGAAAAAAATCGTATCACCTTCCGGAATCCATTTGCATTTGTTGAATATTGAACCAGTATTATCAAATTAAATCATCTCCGAATATTAGATGAAATGAAAGGTTTTGGTTATTATGACCTACTTTCAACATTGAATTAATATGAAACACGTTGAATCTAAATCATTCGAGGTTTCATTTCCAAAGCTAAATATGGACGTGGAATGGATTTATCTTCTCAGGGGTTCTTTTTCAACGGCGAATGTGAAATCGGTATTCTTGAATTGAATCATTTCGTAACAAAGGACATGCCAAAAAAAAAAAAAAAAAATCTGAGTCCATCTTCCATGCTGAAACAGAATTGTGAACTACTTATTCCAGTGGAATACGAGAATACAATTTAGGCCTGATTTCAAAAATTTGTGCTATAATTAAATGTATCATCTAGTTCTTGTTATATGTCATTGTATATGGGCTTCATTGAATTTGTCCTTACCCCGTTGGCATTCATATGCCAATGAACGCCAACTGAAAGAAGTTCCATGCCTAATTATGCAGCAATATGAAAAAATCAATGTTATTTAACCCCACTTGGTTGTGAGAGACTGATACAATTTTCAAGTGGGAAAACATCAGGCTTGTCGAGTGTTCTTCGAGGGTCTATATCACCAAAGATGGTGGTCTTCTTATTCGTTGTTTTATCACAATGATTTGCTTTATCAATATGACGGCATAATTAAGGTAAAAAAGGAAATATTACTCAGCTAAAATTGCGGATAAACCTGTCCACGATATTAGGAAAGTTTATCACAAAATGATGACGGAGGATCACATATTATATATAACTGAGTGTATTACATCACAAACGAACAGCTGCGCCTATAGGTGATAATAATGACTAAGTCTCCCGTAATTGACAGATATAGCTATTTGTTCAACGAAGGTTGTATAGCAAGGATGATTCCTTTCTTGACTGAGAGTGATGATTGGTCTGAAGCAGTTTTAGCAACTCTGTCAACAGTTTCTGTGTGTTCCAGTTTGCTTGCATCTATCATCTTGCTTAAATGTCGGAAAATTCCTGTATCACTCAAGTTTGTCATATTCAATACGGCATTAATGGATATCTTAAAGGGCATCGTTTTGATTATATATGTACATACTGATCCGTCCAGTCATTATGTTTGTCAAGACCATTTTCCTTATGTTTTGCACGTGTCCACGGTGATACAGGTCGCTTTCATGGGATCGGACAGGGTTATTCACATATATAGACCAAGGTTTTACCAAAGGTTCGTCACCAAGAGAGGCATTGTCGTCCTGTGCATATGCATGTGGGCTGTTGCTCTTGCACTATGCACATATGGTTCCGTGTACAAAGCTTACAATCAACGATGCCACATACCAAGTGCCAATGATCACAATCAGATAGCGGCTTTAATGGGATCTGTACTGGTTCTCTCATTTTTTATTTCTACAATTTGCGGATTTATTCTTTTATACAAAGTTTTATCTCTTAAATACCACAATACCGGACACGAGGAGGAGGCGAGGTCGTACAAAGGTCATGTCGTCATAGCAACCATGCAAATATGCATTCTCGTTTTGACAACGCCTTGTGCTGTTTGCTTGATATTGATATCATTTGACAAAGAAACAAGACTATCAATGGAACTCTCTATAAAACTTGCCGTAATGATAAGTTCATTCTGTCTACCACTAAGCGGTATACTCATCCCACTTGTATACGTGTTCCGTTTGACTGAATGTCGAATAAGACTATTGGAGATATTGTGTTTTTGGCATCCGACTCTAAAACAGAAAGTCAACCTCCTTGATGTACAATTTCGCATGGACATGGCCGGAATTCCTATTACACGCGGTACACAAGTTGGTATTATTCGGAGAGAACGTTATTGATAAGTACAAAGGAAACGTTGGTTTCGATATACAAGAAGATAAATACAAATGTACCTGGTGTTTTTGTAAATTTTTTAGAATTATAGGACTATGGCACTTCCTCATTAGCTCTAGATATTTCTTACAACCATTTAAACCTTTTCTAAGTCGCCTTTTAGGATTTCAACATTAAGACTCTTAACATCGCCGACGAATCCTAAAAGGACAAACAGCTGTATGATGCAGTTTTAATTGCTTGGATCTACAGTATCTATATCTAAATTTCTATTGAAAGACGTTATTCATTTGTGTGCCTTTTGTACAAAATTGACCAAGGTTAACATGGCTGGTGTCGTCGATGAAGCAGAAAACGCTTTCTCTTCAGAACACATGGTCTTATTCTCCTGGTACTTTTTCAGGGATCTTGTATTTTTTTCTTTTGATAATTTTAATCCCTATTGTTATTTATATTGAGTCTGGATTATGATTATGTTGACATATTGGTATTTTCTTGTTGGTTTTTACAGCTTTGGAGTACAGTAGTGTTGTTTAAGTTTGAAAAACAAATCAATGTTAATTACGAAGTCACGGTCGAACTATCGATACTAAAATGATTAAAGTATCCCTTTATCCCATGGGTCATATCGATGAACTGACATAATATCTAACATTAATTTGATCATCATCTGTTGTCGTGACCCTACATGGCGATAATATTACTAACAAAACAGAATTTCTAGGCCATGTAATGTAAATAGTTAACATAACAAAATTCTTGATAAATTGATGTTTCGAAATAACTTTGAGACCCGCCCTTCAGGTCTCAGATATGGTTCAGCTTTTTGTTTATCATACTATCAAGCTGCTATTTCATCTCAATTTCTCAGGAATTTTGAATGATTTCGCTCTTTGAAAGTTCAGATTTCATCCAAAAATATGAATCCTGAGAAGACGTTTCAAATTTATCCCAATTTCCACTTTCAGGCAAAAATCGAATTAATTGAAAATTTGAAAATTAGAATGATATTCCGAGAGAGAAACAGGGTGGTCGGGTGGCGCAGTGGTATCGTACTCGCCTTTCACCTAGCCGACCGGGAAAAGTTTAGCGGTCACCTGCCCGAAAACGTGGGTTTTCCCCGGGTACTCCTGTTTCCTCCCACAATAACGCTCCTCACCCCTATAACTTGTTTCGCAATTGTTGTAAAATAAATAAAGTTTATATTTAGAGAAACAGGGAGTCGAAGTTTACGAAAATGTAAAGCATATTCATCCATCTAATGAAATTGTTTCCATTTTACAATCACTTTTAAATATATGCATCTCCATTACGTCCCACTCTCCTGGTGCCAAAGTTAGGTCTGCATTTTCTTGTCAAACAGCCACGTGACGACATGGATTCTTACCGATATTGAATGGTTTCTCATTACATTTAAACAAAATACACTAAAGCAGTATTTTTAAACTATAGTAAAATGGTTGACAACTTTGATTATTTTGATTCGAATATTTTTAAAATGGTTGAAATTATCAGAATTTAAATAGCTTAGCAATCGATAAACAACACAATGAATGAAATATCAGTAAATTTATTGTTATGTGTGTGAGGACTTTGTATGCAATGTGAAATAATTTTGTACTGCTCTGTATTTATTTTATAAGAACGCATCTGAATTGCATTGTAAGATTGGGACACGATGGAACTTCACATGATTTTTTTTCTGAATTATGCCAGAAGACAGACCGTCGTTAGATTATCCGTAGGAATGACGAATTCGTGGAGGTTATGGGGAGCTTTTCCCCAAATCTGGTAGATATTGGCTACTCTTCATCACAGTCGGCTGCACAAGAGCTGGAACATAACTTGAGAAGGGACACTATATATTTCAACCATGAAGAGGTTATGTTGTACAGTGGTCAGCGTTTCAATGTATCAATGAATTAAGTATTTTCAGATATATCCATTTGTCTTACTGCGAAAATAAAAAGGTTGGCGATAGATTGTTATATCTGAATTTGTGTTTTGTACAACGAATTTAGCGCAATGGGAAAACATGTATTTTAATTCTATTTACGGGCGACGACGAAAAATCCGAGCGAATATTTACCAGTATAAATGTCATATTTTTCTTTCTTATTTTCATTATATTTTAAACAGTAAGAGTTAACAACTGGTAATACACACACACACACACACACACACACACATATATATGTATTACGACATAATAAAATCCAGGATTTAAAAACATATATCGCTCCATTTGGTACAAGAAGGTTGAATTGAACATAGGTTAAGACACATCACAGGAATAAAACAATGGCTACGTTGGTTTTTATATCCGGTGTTAAAAATGTCAAATGTCTCTCTTAATTGTGTTGTTAATAAAGGAAACTGGAGCATATCCGATCAGTCAAAAAATTCAGTTCAATGCGTCACCCAATCGTAGTAGGTGACCACCAAACACGTGAACAAGGTAACATTTTAAACCAACCACTACTGCTCTAGTCAGCATTTAGTGTTTTCGTCCCGCAGTTAACCAACTTGATTTAGAGGTAAGCGTGTTGATGGAAAGTATGTTATTTACCATCAAGAGCTATAGTAATCATACACAGATATCGGATGTTTAAGTTACTACTTAATTGTTATGTAAGTAAAAAAATACTTTTTCATCATCTCATTAACAAAGACTTGTCCTAATCAGTGTTTCCATATCGTTAAAATTTACCATTTTCTTCTAAATCCGATTTTGTGTTTTCTTTTGGTCACTTAAGATTTTCTTAAGTCTCCTCCTAGACTTCAAAATTTAGGCCCTTAATATCACTGACGAGTCCTAGAAAGACGAAACAGCTGTATGATGCAGTTTTATGTATTGTTTGGTTCTACAGTATCTGTTGCTAACAATAGTGTAACATATCCCTTGTTCGATAACCATTACATCTCCTTCTTGCTCGGAGGAACGTTTGTTGCTAATGGACTTCTAGTTTTCGCTGACATGGCCAGACTAGCATTTTCTCTATGTCAACATACGGACTCTGCTGTCGAGCTCTCGACTAAGTGGGCGGACGAATTCGTAGAGGTTATGGGGAGCTTTTCCCCAGATCTGGTAGACGTTGGCTACGCGTCATCACAGTCGGCTGCACAAGAGCTGGAAAAGAACATCACTGGAGAAGGAACACTATATATTCCGACCATTGTGTATGCCAGTGTAGCCACGGCTGGAGGCAACTGCGTCTCAGATAGGCAGAACCTTGGTTGAGTTGAAATTCTCGCCACAGTACTCGCTTTTCTGTCAGCAATGGGATTGTCCAGTGCGATAGGAGTAAAACCTAGAATGTCAAAAAGCTGTATTGTGCAGTTTTAGTCACAATTTGAGTTAACTATATCAAACTCTAAAATTGTAACAAAATGTGCTGTTCATTTGTGGGGCAATTTGACATGGTTCCAACAAAATATCACGCAAATGGTTCCTATCTTATCTGACGGGAACCGAATATCTTCATCGGTAGATATTTGAAAATGAGTATAGCAATGAGAGAATCTTATCAGCTTGCCGAAAATATTAACATGTACAGAAATCGACATAATATCATGGAGGACGGTTGCCTTCGCAACTTGTGACGAAACACGATGCTGATTATAACTTTACAAAGAACAGACAACCACAATAGTTGGCTCATTTCTAAAACGTGTCTATTGTAAGTTTCAATACTTAAAACGCCTCGAACGCCACCAAGCACGTTCAACTTTTCGAGCACTACCAATTACAACAACCCATTCATTTTATCCATTACGATCACAACAGCAGTGCAGGAGGATTTGGGACAGCAGAAGCACTTTTCTCGTGTACATGAACATATCGTCAGTTCTCTTTCTAATTATTATTAATGAAATGATTACTTGTAAGGTGTCTTCTGACCTGCTGTCCTTGACGAACGATAATCACTCTCCTGTTTTGAAACTACGATGTGAACCTAAAACAATTAAGGTGGTATACATGTATCTCATAAAAAAAGTTGTGAAATGTGATTTTTTTTTCAACCTTTATCGATTGAAATCCATTTTGTATTTCAATTTTGACTTATCAAGTTTGAAAGCGTCTTGTATTTCCAATCTTTAAGAATTAAAGGGTTTAAGGTCTCTCTTGACCTCTTTGACAACTGAAGTTTTATGGATTAAAGTTGGCAATAAATATATTTTACATTTACGATAGAACATCTAAATGTCTGTGCTTTCAAAATGGATTTTCACAAAATAGATTTCAGTTGATAAAAGTTAATCAATGATTAAGTAAAACATAATAAAAAGATATTTACAAAATCTTTGATTAAATGTTACTAACGTTTGAATAAAAAAAACTTACAGAATATGTAAAGCTATATTGATTCATCAATTGTTATGAATTGAATTTTACAAATAGAACATGAATCTGCCTGGATATCTTACATCATGGGTTAAGATTTGCATCAGAAAGAGACAGAACAATTTACACAGAATCGTTAATATAGTAAAAGGGAGATAAATCTACTTAAGGTTGAAGGTTTTGTCAATTATGGCTGGCTGCAGCAAGAAATGGAGGGAAACAGAAGTAATTATTGAATCAGGAGATGGCTGGTTTGAAGGAAGATAGTGTATCAGCTGATTCAGGCGGAAATGTATTTCAATTATTGATTGAGAAAGAAGGATTTCTTCAAGAACGTTCTGCCAGAGGTAGCGCGGAAAGAATTTTGATGGCAATGTCATGTCTTGAAGGTCTTGTAGTGGGAACCAGGTATTTGGGGTTGTTGGCAACTTTACTATGGCATATTTTATATAATGTAGTCAGTCGTGCATTTAAGTATCGATATTATGTAACATACCGTGTTAAAGATTTTAGATATTTCGTAAATTTCAATTAAGTTCTCTTATACATCTATCAGATATCTGTTTTCCGATGAAAGCCTTTTTTTAGCGATTTTCATTACTTCTTAAACCTATTTATAGATTCTTGGTAATGTACAAAATAATTCAATTAAAACAATTCTTTGAGAAATCCAAATTTCTGACGCAATTTCACCTGATTTACTTATACGTAACTCAATGTTTATGATCAATGCGTTTTAAAATATGTCATTGTACACAGCGACACGTCTTCCAATATCCTCTTCCAGCGGTCGATCTTAATGTATATATAAATCACACACACACAGAAAAAATAAAACCGAAACTCATTGGTTTTATATTGGCTACATGTAACAAAAAGAAAAAAAAAAGAAAAAAAAAAAAGGAAAAAAAACAGAAGAAAAAAAAACTATACACAATAACATGTGATGTATATATATTCTGTAACTCAAACAACACTTTCCATCGTCTTCTCTAATTTACATGTAGTCATGCCATACCGAAAGACAACACTAAGCTTAGATTTGTTTTCTGAAAGATCTTTTTATCATATCAAGCTGTACTCGAGTTACTTCCCTTTGATCTACGAAAGAATCTCGTAAACAAATCTGTGCCATCTTGATGCGGGGTCTCATTTTTGTAGCAGCTGGTGGCTATCTCGCTGAGAAACATGCGATATTCCCGCGACAGGTTATCCAGGACAACGACAGTAACTTGTCTTGCAATATCGATCATATCATTCTCACTTTCCCGAGAAACACAAACCATCTCAATTACAAGTACCTGCAAAACCTACCAAAAATATTTTTTAAATCTTGACTTAGACTAGTTGGTGTGTGGGGGTGATTACAGATGTTATTTCTGCTGAAGTGTTATGCTACAGTTAGCGCAGTGACGTTTAATTCTGAATTATCCGTCCCTGAATAGATTAATTCATATTCTGCTCAGTTTAAACCAAATACGTTCAGGAATTTATATTTGAAGAGCACAAGTTAGATAAAATTGATCACCAACACAGATTTATTATTATTATCATCATTATCATGTAAGCAGCAACTCGTGATCATCATTTTTTTTTCGAAACAAAACAATTCCGTTAACAGTTGTGTCAGTCTGTACATTAGTTTCGAACACCTTCAGATTCGTATCTCGATAACATCCCACTGTCGATGAATTGTAATATATAGTAACGAGCTAAAGTCAAAAAATGTTTCCTCATTCACATACTTTTACAAACACCTGAAGTCGTGAATGTGGTTAGAATATAATGTATTAAGCTGACAATGCTTGTCAAGCTCAGTCCATATCTACGTTAATAGCGCGTTCGATCAGTTATTATCAAAAAAGTATAATGAAAGAGCAAAAGTTAATGACAGTGAATAAGGTGTAGAAATATACACTTTATATAGAAGTCAAGACTTCCTAGCCCAAATGTCGTACCTGAGGAAGTCGATACAGGTACTACTCCCAGAATGCATTGCGATGACACGTCGCCATATTGTTTTGATGGTGATGATGAAAACGTGTCGTGTTGGCAGGCAGTCTTGACAAGTGACAGTGAAAACTGTGCTGCGCACAGATGAATAACATGAGTCGACGGAATGGCAACCTTCTCAAGGGTGTTGTTGTCTCTGCAACACTTTTGTGCGGTGTCTATTTTATATATATTTATAACAATACAAGCGGTAAACTGAAATCGACGGAACGACTTGCAGAAAGGTATCGTCGAGAACAAGAATCGTTGCGTACACAACTCCAAGGTATATTCCAAAGAAACGTTCTCAGTTGATATTTCTTTCATTACATTGCATTTGTATTGTTGAATTTATATCTTGATTTGGTGTGAAGATGTTGCATACAATTTGATGGTAAATGTAAAACGGTATTGTAAACAACGCCAAGGTGGATGCTAGCAGGATCGAGTGCCATCATGTGAAGTGAAGCGAAACACCTGTCAAGTTTCCTTGCTAAATATAGGTTTTGTCTCATTATATTGGTCACAAAATCACAATCACGTACTAGTCAAGTGGTCAGTTTCAGTATAAAAACTTTTTCTGCACACCCTTAATCCGAATGGTTCTGGTTATCATTTCATTTCGAGGTCTATAGCCAGAATTACTCCCCAATATATTGTAGAAACAACAAAATTCTAGTGACTCTAGCAAGGCATTCAGGCATTGTTTTATTAAGTTAACAACAACATGATAGTTCAGGGCTCTCACACCCCGTTTTGGGACTGGGGGCCATGGCCCTTAGAATTGGGGAAAAATAGCGACGTTTTCCTTAGAATTGGGAAAACTTGGGGTCTGAATTGGGGAAAAGAGATACTATTTTGCATTGGGAATTGGCCCCAAATCTGGCAGATTGAGAGCCCTGTAGTTATTCATCATACATTGATGGAAAGATAAAAAAAATTTCTGCTCACTCGCATATGTGTCAAAGCGATTCAATGTTGTAAACTGCATATTTTCACTCATTTTCCCCAACAACTTTACTGTCCAGCATAATTACAATCGCCTCCACTACGTGGAATTTCTGCCATGTAAACCTATTGCTGCCAATCTCACAAGATTTGACTTTTTGGTAGGTTTACAGTTGTAACTTCAGAAATATTCTACGGAGTGGAAACTGTTTTGGAAAGTTTGGTCTAAATGCACATAATGACTGTATACTCTACATTTGCATTATCATAGTAACTAATTATGACCTTGACAGAAGACAGAGAGAGATCTAATAATTGTCTTAGGTATTGATTCTTACTACATTTTATGCTCACACTACAGACACAATATGATCCATTTTGGTCCGTTCCTGTGATGTTTTGATGAAGGTTTAGATTGTGTATGTTTTTGTTCTTATCCTGGTACAATTAATTACCTAGTTGTTGACGATTTTTCTGTTTAGTGTGGTGGTTGTTTTATCGTTCTCCTAACTATGTTGTGTTGATTTTCAATGTTCTTCCGGAATGCTGGATTAGTAAAATTGGTAAACTGTAACTGAGCAGGATCAGGGCATCTCAGTCGAGGGCTAAAATCCTGTAACATAATCCCAATTAAGGCATTAGGCGAAGTAAGGATGTTACTAGGATCTTAATAAGCCTGAGCTTGTTACATAGGATATCCCTGTCCAAGGTGTGAGAATATCTGATCAAGAGGTAGGGCTGGCATTGGTCACTGAATCATTTTGTACATGGATACTGTTCGCTGTGATTTCCATTTGTTTTGCAATGATAGTAGGTACAGATCATTTCTGACATATTCAAGGTGTGTAATATGCTGAACAAAGCCAGAAGCATAAATTTTACTTTCGGGATGGGGTCATAATTATTATAGAAATAAACCAGTTGTGATATCACTGTGTTATGTAGGCCTGTTGAGACATGAGTTGAAAGTCATAGCTTACACAGATATACACAAGTCTGATAAGTACCAATTAGTTTTTTATTCTGCAATGTTTCAATAAATATTGGTGATAATGGGCTAATTTTCCAGTGAATTTATGATTATAATGTGAAATTTTTGTGTATATATCACTAGATTCTAAGTCAGCTGCAGTAACTTTTGTTGGATTTATCTAGTGGCAAGTCCAGAACACAAATTCCAGAATGTTCACAAATTCCAAGTCTGAGATGAGAGTGCATGTGAGATCTCAAAATTTCAGTGAATCCCACATCAAAAATTCATGAATGCGGGCCTCCACAAGTTGATATATTAGGAACATTGTCTACAGTATAAGTCTATATAAAGCTCTTATACTATCGCTGGAATACTGAACACATGCTTTTCTTGGACTTAACTAACGTTTGAAAACACAAAGTCTCTGTAATGGGAATCCTCAAAATTTAGGAAATAGTTGTCTGGATTCACGTGGAAAATTCCTACAAAACTTACTGTATTGAATAGCGCCTAACTACAAACTTTTGAAATTTCATTGCTGGTAACAAAATCAACTTTTCATTTGAATAAACAAGCATAACATGAAATATCTTTTAGATCATGTTCATATGTTGGTATTTTGTTGTTGTTTTTATAAATTTGCTTAGAAGTAAAATATTTCAATACATACTTAACCAATTTTTGGTTAGGCACAGGTGATGGTTTCTATGAAATAGTTGTTAAATTCAGTGTTATTTTTGGATATATATATAAATTATGTTTGTGAATGATTTAATTTTGTTGAAAGTGAGCTAAATAAACCTAGCTAGTGGCTATATAGACACACCTGTATTGACACCTGAGCCTGCTCTACCAACACTGACTGTAGCTGTTATGTAATTGACTGTAGCTGTTATGTAATCATACCTCACAAGATATACCTTGTAATTGATTACCTTGACACTTATAAGTATCCCTAAGTGTATTTGAATGCCAAATGTATGCAACATATGTTGCTAACCTGTTATTTGAAAATTGTGAATATCCTGTCAGAGGATATAGAAATACCAAAAAAGTACTAAAGAGGGGGGGATATTATATGTTGGCTAAAAAGTATCCCAGTATACTTTTATGATGCGGATGGAGTGGGAAGAGAAAAAATCCAAGCTTTTTTTTACGTGTGTGGGTATGGGGAGGGTGGGGTGGGGATACAAATATAATGTTCGGTATATTTATTGAGCAACTGCAAAACCTTACAAGATTAATGCATTCAAAAGAAAAAATTGTTAAAATCACACTGGCTGTGTTTGTTACTGAGCTGATTCTCTGACTAGATATGACTGCTGTAATTTGTATTATGCCCTCAAAAAGAAATATATTTATCTACTTACAGTATAGCGTTAAAACAAAATGTGATAAAGGATCGCAACAAACAGGCTAGGTTTACGTATAGGATTTACCAGTTAGAAACGACAGTCTTTAGAGCCACATTAGTTTTATCTTATATTACACTGAAGGAAGGCTGTTTTATCTAAGGGAAAATCATGTGCACAAATGTAACTGTATTGCATTAATATCACTAGCAATATGCAAATATTGAAAAGATATCCATAAAAGCAAATAGAACTGGGCTGAATGATCAATATCTATACATATGATAATGATGTACTTGTAGATTCTTGATATATGGTATATTGGGGCTACTTTTTACCAGGATATGCTTTCTAGGATGTGCATGTGAAATGATTTTCTGATGAGCCCACAAATTGCCAATAAGCAGTGATCAAGGCCTTTTGACAAAATTTAGTGTGGAGCATCCTTTAGTGGAGTATTATATGGTTCCCTTGGGTGGTAGGTCTAGAGGAACTCTCGGGGTCCAATATTGGAAATTGAAAACGTTCAATAAAAGGCATTTTATAAAATTTGTTTGAGATATCGAAAAATAAAGACCCCTTGTCTATTTGCATTTCTTTAAAATTAAGAATTTACAGTGCTGCAAATTAATTGTCTTGAATAAGATTGTCCTCTAACTTTGAATGTGTTGTAATGAGCCCTTGGCTCATCAAAGGATAAATGCAGTATTATATATTTTGTAATATTTATAATATTTTTTTGTTATCATTACAGAGTTAACATCAGCTAAAGATGATTTACAACAGAGGACTGATAATGAAAAAGTAAGTAAATTTTAACCTCGGTCAATATCGTTTACCATTGCTCCATAAATCTTCATATTGATTAAAACAAACCACCATAACAGTTCTTATTTGGGCCAGGTAAGCTTATGCCATGGTGAGTCATCCGTCGTATGTCTGTCCATCTGCCGTCCATCTGGAGCAAATTTTTCCCATTTAAAGACTTATTTTCAATAACCAACAGACAAGGAGTCCTGGCATTTGGCTGGTGGGTTGCTGCGGTGAAGGCTGCAAATTGTTTTGTGGAAAGAAATTACCTTGATCAGTATTCAACGTCACACAGGTGGATTTTGTTAGAGTCTTTAAACAACTTCCTCATGCTAATTTTGAGGAAGAAGCCCAACAGAGTTTACAGAAAGAAATGACATTGACCCACAAGGTCACAGGGATTGAATTTGTTCAAACCTTAAACCTATTTTTCTGACTAACTAAAACATACAGAAGCATGGTAATTGGGTTATAGGTTTCAAAGATGAAGCCTCACAAAGTTTGCAAAAAGATATGACCTTGACCGTTATTCAAGGTCACAGGGGTCAAATTTGCCAAACAACTTCTTTTGACTAAGCTAAAGGCCAAGAAGCATGATATTTAGCTGATAGCTATAGGTCTTTGGGATGAACTTTGCCAAAAAGAATTGACCTTGAACTGTATTCAAAGTCACAAGTATCAAATTGTTAAAACCTGTGAAAGACTTCTTCTGGAGCAAAAAGTTGGAGAAGCAGGATATTTGGTGGAATGGCGTTTCTAGATTAAAGCCCGACAAATTTTGAGAAAAAAAGAAATTACATTTATCTATAATCTAGACCATAACTGTCACTGTTGAGAGCTAAGTATTTGAAGCTTGGAATAGGTTAGAATGGATTGGATGTGCAAATGCAAATGGTTTACATGTTGATGCATTTGTGATAAATACAAGTTCTATTTTTAATTAGTATTGAATACCAGGTGAACGATGCAAGCCCATAGGATATCTGAAGCTTGTTACAATTCAGTATTAAAACCAGTGCAAAAAAAAGCTTAAGACATGATCTCATACCATTAAGATTACATCTTATTCCATATTCACTACAGTATCATGAATACAATGTCAAAATATCACATTGTACTCTCACACAACATGTAAGCTGGACAGGAGTCTGACAAATCTATTGGCTGAAATAATGAGATGTCACAGAACACATGAGTGTGCCATATGTTATTTTATGACTGTCAAAAAGAGCAATTTGAAGTTAACTGGAATAACACCTGATTGGATATAGGCCATTCAGCATCTAATACAAAACTTAAAATATAACAGAAATACATGTTGAGTGTGAAATTTTGATTTCCAGTTGCAATGTATGATTTTCTTTTACCCAATAAATTTAATTATATATCAGTTTAAGCTTGAAAGTAACAGACCTTTTTAGAATGATATTTGCACGAAAATGACTTCATTGATAATCTTCTCCAAATTGTTAGAGGCAAAAAATTTGATGAACCATGGTAAAGGGAAGAAAAGAAAACACATTTCTCATGATAGGTTTAGAAATATGTAATGGCTTTTATGCCTTCACCATATCGTAGTTAATGGTTTATACCCTCGTCTGACTCAAAGTCTTTAACAGGTACCGATATCTAAGGTCGTTCTACAATAATAATACAGAGGTCTAGTTTTGATTTGGTTCTCAAATGACTTTTTCCATAGTTGTTGCCTTTTAACTTTACGAATATCAATTGAGTATTCACAAAAATGGTAGGACTGAAATTGGAGAGCCAAGGCTGACTCCAGTGGGACTTTTAAAACATCCCTTTAAACATTAGGTATTTATACTAAAAATTCTGAACTCTTTAGTTCCCAGCGAGGGTATTCACAATGCTCTGGCACATGTAGATAACATGCTAGTTCTTTGGTGCTAGTACAGTAAGTACCCACAAAATGTGCTCAGTTTTTTTTTCTTTTTTTTTTGAGAATGTAAATGTTGAAAAGTGTGAGGTATGCACATTAAGTATCTGTAGGATTTTCATGTTTTAATGGAGGAATAGAAAATTCTTTGAGGCTGCCGTCATTGGTTGTCAGAATTACATGGTACTCTAAAATGATATACAAAGGATTTGAAGATTTATTTATGAACAAAAATAATGAGATAATTGCTGTAATATATATCAATGCAAACTATCTGAGTCACTCGGCAAAGTCTGGACAAAGTGTTTGAAAACATGATAGTAACTAACAAGACAGAAGATTGGTACAGACAATGGCCTGTTTAGGACATTAAAAAATATTGATCATGGTTTGCTTATTTGTGTGATGAAGCAGAAGCCATGAGCACATATCTGTTTTCATATTTATTAGCGGAAGTTAGCGTTGACATATCAGTATGAGTAGTGTGGATGGAGACTTATCATTAGACCCTGGTTTATTTCATTATTTATTGATATTTATCTTATTGATGTTTACAAAGCATATATTGTCTTATGATAAAGAGGGTATAGTCTTTGCGTGATTATCTTACCAAAATGTGTAATGAAACACAGTTCTTCTTTTGACAATACACACATGCATGTCTACATTACATTCTGTGTGATTCCATTCCATACTCTGTATAGCAATTGCTTACATATGCAGAGTTGGGGCCTCAATTTTCGTCAGCTGGCACATGCTTGATGTGACAGCGAGACACGAAAGAAAAAATGACTTGCAGTGATTGTATTTACCTGGTTTGGTCATGAATAGATAGATAATGACTTGTACCTGTGATTTCAACACTGAACACTGTTGATTAGGGCTAGTTAAACGACAAATAAATGCTTGTGTATGTAAGATAAATAAAGGATAATGGATAGGTAAGTGAATGACAGCATGTCTTATGTCAAAGAAAAACAAGCAAGAAGATGCACAAACATTGCACTATAATTAAATAGAAGTTTAATAAAAGTCAGTAAATGAAATAAAAACAAATTTGGAAGAGAATACTTTCAATTTTTGACTTGATATCGTTGAACTGACATTTTAGCTGAATATTCTGAGATTGATTTCTTGGCACCTGGAAATCAATTTTGACTCAAATTTTGGGTGTGCACGATATACAAGTAGATGCTCTTTTTTTTTTACCATTATCAGCGCCAAAAATTTTTGACCTAACTTCAGATAAGAAAACACTATTGACACTGGGAAAACACCTTACATATACCCAATACTTAACATTAACTTTAGCAAATTAGATTTATAATTCATTCATGTATACAATATTTGTATATGACTGCATAATGAAGTTTCCATGAATAATAGACTTGTTTATGCCAGCTTGTCTTCCTACATATATCTTGTGTTTTGTTTCAGGTGTATATGAAATTATTTTTACTAGCCAAGAGTTGAAGTCTCTCTACCTCTTACAGGAGTAGACAGATAATAACAATGAAATTAATTATCTGTATCATGAAATTTTCTCTATTTTTTTTTCACAGAAAGAATTTATAAACAGATTAAGTACATTAAACCAGCACCATAAAATGCTCAAGGTAAGTTGACTTTTAATTTTAGGGTAATCCATGTTTGATATACACAGATACCTCAGACTGCTACTCAGAACAATTTATGGAAACTTTTTTCCAGTGTGCAATACAGATCTAGGGAGCAGATTTAGCATCAACAATAGCTATTATAGTACCTCTGTTGACTTCAAAGCATTGTGTGAATGATCTACCTCTTGAAGTCATGAAAGAAATTGTGTCGTTGGTAATGCAGTTCTACCATTCTTGCATAGCATTTAACAAAGAAATAAAGGAAGAAGAGGTCAGCCAATTCAGAGTCCAAATATTGCGAGTTTTTGAAACTTGGAAGTTCTCTAAAATTATTGATGATAAATTAAGTAAACACTTTTGCTAAAAACAATATTGATATTCAGAAAGAGAAATAATTACATTATTAAAGAAAAAAATTACATACATGTAATTACAATATAGACATCTGAGATAGAAGAAGTTGTATTATATGTCCAAATTGATTCGGATAAAATTTAAATGTTATGATTTTGAGGTCAAGGTCAGAAGGTCAGTCAGTGCCATTGATTCGTTTCTCCGAGCATTTGATGGAATGAAAGAACTAAATTCATACCATGGTAAATTTTCTTGAACTGTTCACTCCCATGAAAAAATGGTTAGTGACAGCATTCAGCACAAAAGTTTGCTAAATTAGTTTTCAAGAAGGGAAACTAATGTGTTTTTAGCTCTCCTGTTCGAAGAATGTGAGCATGGAACAGGTAAAAGTTTTTGGGGTAAGTTTTCTGATAGCTAATTGTTGTAATAGCTAAATATGTGAGTGTATAGCATGCAGATATTTTACATGGAAGTTCATTAAATCACTATATAACCATGAGGGAATAAACCAGGAAGTTTGATATTTGAAATAAATTCAGCTATCTTCACCAAAATCTTCATGTATTAGTCTTCTTACATATAATGGTATATTGAAAGGTTTATTATATGTGCTTGCATGCTGATATTTTACTCGGAGATTTGTCAAGACCGCTTCAGGAAGTGATGTGACTGATAACATCTATGCTTTTACAAAAAAAAAAAAGAGTAAATTGCTAATTTAAGGTATTATGAGCCATGAAAAGCAGACAAAATTTTAGTGTTCTATGTTACTCAATAAGTAGAGGGTTAGTCTGCAAAACCTCAGTTGAAGATCCAGAGTGTATCATTCAATGCCTATTCATGGTGGTTTGTGTTTCTCAGGAAGATGAGAAGCAGACCATTGTGTTCTGTTGTTGTATCCATGGGCAGTATTTTTACCTCCATGGACATGCATGCACCTCAAAATGACCCTGGCTTTTGATCAAGGAACTATCCTATCCCAAACAAGTGTTGCTTTCCATACCTGTATTAAAAAACTAATCAATTTCTTCCTGATATTAATATGATGCCAATTACTATGTGAATATCTTTTTTTTTTTTTTTTCAAAAAGTAAAACACCTCACTATGATAAGGCACAACCAACTTTCTGGTCATAAATAGGTAAAAAAATATTCTAATTTGGGGTTTTGGGTTCAAAAATTTGTATATACTGTTTGTTGTTTTGATACAAGTCAGGATTTTTTCTGTGGGCTTTGAAGAGCCGAAAATGGGGCCCATTCCCAATTGGATTCATATCAAAAAATGACTAAATTCCCAAAATATACAGTTTATTAATGAAAATTTCCTTCTCAGATGATCAGTTTTCCTTCCTTAAATGAGATAAAGATCTCCTAATTGAGTAGGAAAATGCCCTGTAAGAGATTTGTAAAACTTATGAAGTTTGTACCTGTAAGTCGTTGTTTTTAATATGATACTTCCCTGTCACAGAGTCAACATGATGACCTACAAGCAGATTATAGTCGACTACAGTCGGAAAAAGAAAAGGATAAAGAGGATACAAAGCTACAGGAAGTTCAGAGGAATCAAGAATACATGCAGTTAAAACAAGAAAAAGAATTAGAAATCTCAAGTTTACGGGGTAAGTTTGCATATCTGTAGTGTATACACAGCAATGAAGCAATTAGAGAACAGGTTACAAATTATGGTATTTTGACTTGAAGTGTTTAGTGTTAAAACAAATACAAAACATCCATATCAAATTAATCTCTCACTATTGAGATTCTAGTGACTTTAAAGATTTTTTTTTGGATCGATAAAAAGTTTTGATTTGAAATGAATAAGTTTGTGTCTCTTGTTTTAAAGGGCAAGGTCACCAACTGTTAAGTAAAAATTAAAATGACTTACCAGTTGAGTGTCATTGCTTCCTCAGATTTATAATTGTAAGGGTTTATTTTATTTGATATTCTAATAAATAGGGCTCTGTATACCAGAAATATGGGCATATATTGCTCACATTTGAAATAAATTTTTTATTTTTCAAGGGAGCATGATGTACTGTATAAGGAACAAGGCATTTTTGTGGAAGTTCTACATACTCAGATTCAGCGCCCATCTATATGTCATTGGTTTTCCATGTCAGAGAATTCATTTGTGTACGAGACTGTCCAAGTTATAAAGTTACAAAGAATTCAGATATCTTTCAATATTTGATGAGTTCGAATGAATGCCAATGAATTAGGAACGTTTTAAATTAGTCACAGCGAATAACCCATGCTGCAGATATTTATGTAAACAAGAGCAACCTTTCCAGCATAGAATTGTAGCATATGAAAAACCTGTAAATATATGTCCATTCTGAATACGCACTAAAAATAATTAATTACACATCAATGATGTTGTAAGTGATGAAAAACTTTGCTTGGTTGTTTAAAACCAAGATAGTGACATTGTTATTGTAGAAAAATGTTGAATCGTCTTTTATTTTGCATCTTGGAAAAGTCCATTGTCGGAAGTCAAATAGTTTTGTCGTTTTGCATAATGTCATAATTTTGTCCTAATTTATATAGTAGTGGATATGATGCAGGATATGCAGGACAAAGATTGACTTTTTCTAATGTGAGACAGTATTACAATTTGCTTGAAAAGAAAAGCAGACATCTCTGATTGATGTTGTGACATTTGTTGGATATGGAATTCATTTTGATGATACAGATACAGGTGTGTGCTGGCATTGGTTTGCCAGAAAGTTGAGGTTATGGATATGGATGTTATTGTACAATCACAATCATATCCTTTGACAAGACACGTATCCACATTTTATTTACTATTGATAAATGACAGGAGACTGTTGATTGAATTTTACAGATCAATTAGCAAATCTTGGCAGAGATAAGGAAGATTTGACAGAACAGATAAACAAATTAGCAACCCAGCTCAAAGATAGTCAGGTAAGTTATTAACTGCTTAAGATTCCTCCGTAGATAAATTAGCGGGTCAGCTCAAGGTCAATCAGGTAAAGGTTTAGCTGTAGTTACAGGGAACTTTTCTCTGTTTTGAGGGTTTCCTTTTGGTTAATTTTGTAGATGATTCTGAATTGCTACATATATAATTGGAAAACAAGATAGGTTCTTTTTCATTTCCAGGTTGAAGATCTCACTGACTATTTTTCTTCAGTTATTTGTCCGTACAGTTACAGTTTGTCTAAAAAATATTATTGTTATTTTTTCTTTCCTTTTGCAGTAGAAAAATTGAAATGCTCCTACAATATATTGCATAAGTTTTTCTTAATAATTTTCTTTCAGCTTAGAAATACCCATATTAGTTTCAATCTTTCAATTACCTGGTATTGATAAACATTCACATGAAAATAAATATTTTTGTACCTAATACTAATGATCGTAAAATCAATTTGTGACTGTTGAGAAGTAAATTCTGAAGTACACCACCAACAAAATTGATTACTGAGTTCAGCTCTGGTATGAGAATTTAACAATAAAATACATCAGTTAATATCTATCTTCAAACATACAGAATGATTTGCTGATACCTAGTTTTCAAACTGATATTGTCATTTAGGTAGAAAAGTTTAAAAGTGTCGACAGTACCAAGAACTGAGACCCTGTTTATCATGAAATAATATTTTCATTCACAAAAATATGAATAATAAAAAAAATTGCATAAATGAGTCAAATTTGCAAGGTGACAATATTTCAGTAACATTTTCATTCACTTACTCGGTGATTAATCTATGTACAAGTCCAGGAATAAATTATACTTACTTCGTAAAATTGTCCCATTTAAATAAGTAAATCTATCCTGCTCTGTCTTGGAAACGGCTCATTCTTTTCTTGATTTTGGCGGAAAATGTCCGGATGTTTTTATAATGTTGATAAATCATTGCTTTTGATAAGATAGAACTTTAATTAGGTGTTGTTGACATTTTTTAATAAACAATCTTTGTAGCTTTGATTTCTGCCTGCTATTTCAAATCGCACCCTTTCTTTCACCGAGTAGAAGCAACAAAGTCTAGAGCAGGCTGGCAGAGTCCATCTAGAGCAGCAGATTCGGGATATCAAGGTTTAATTTGAGTTTTTATCACCCATCCCTTTGGTGAACTGGGGCTTTATTACTGTTTAAAAGTCTATACAAAGTCACTATTAAAGGTTACCTGTAAACATAATGTTTTTTTAACTTAGTTAAGGTCAAACAAAATGACTTGGAAATCCCAAGGTGTTAGCCATTGTCAATGTTGACAAAATGTTTTTCATGTTTTTTCGAATATTTTCCAACTTGAATCTAATGTTTTAGGGAATTGAAGATATTTATATATATATAAAATTACAATTCCTCTCTCTCACGTCTTACATGATAATTACTATTTCTCTCGTTGACGTCTTTTATGATAATTACTATTCCTCTCGTTGACGTCTTTTATGATAATTACTATTCCTCTCGTTGACGTCTTTTATGATAATTACTATTCCTCTCGTTGACGTCTTTTATGATAATTACTATTTCTCTCGTTGATGTCTTTTATGATAATTTCTTCTAATACTTCTTATTTTCCTTAACTTTATTCTGGAGATTTAAAAGTCTTTATAAGTACTATGTATAAGAGAATCTGTTGCTGTATTCAGAGGCAAGTTGATACAGGTGTAAATGAAAGGATTGGACTTGAGAAGCAGATTGAAGACGTAAAGGTGTAGATGAAGTTACTTTCCTGCTTCCTTTCCCTCTTAATATTTTCCTGTTTTCTTTCCCTCTGGTTGAAACAAAATCCTTTACACCATCCTTACACTTAGTGCTAGTGGTACAGCTGGCTTATAACATTGAATATTACAATAGTGTCAAGTTGCGGTGACCTTTCACCATTGTAATTCGGACTGATTACATGAAAGATCAAGATTTAAGGAAAGCATAATTTTTTTTCAGCTTTTATTGATCAATATGTACCTTCTTGTAAAAAAATTTAAAGCGCTATTCCTGGGGAAATATGTTCTTTTTATTGTCTGCTCTGTAGGAAAGTGGTTTCTATGGTATTTCGACCCAAATGATTCCTTCCAATAAAACCTATGTTATTTCTTTGGAGGTGAAATAGTGCTTACATCCTTCCTTTCACCCTCATGGTTCATGGTGTAAGTTTCCCTATAATTTTCCCCTACAGTATCTTGTTCATTGTATGTATTTTATTGAATACTGTTTAGTTCTTGTAGTTGCTTTCTGCAAATGACTGAAAGGAGCTAATGCTGTGTCAAAGAATCCGTTGTCATGACCAGTCAGAAATTCCTGAAACATCGTACTTGTCAGTATATATTGAGAGCAATATATATTGAGAGCACCACTTTGGTCAGATTTAGTAATATTTTGTGGGAATGATTGTTTAGACTAGGAATTAAATAAATATTTCAAGAAATTTACCCCCTCAATTTCTATAAAGTCAATCAGACAAAAATCCTTACAGATGATCTAACTTTGTTTTTTGAACCAAAAATGTTTTATTTTTCCAATCTAGACCGAATCGTTATCAAATATGTCTGCCTGTTATTTGGAATGTTTAGCTTTTCAACTCCCAACAGACTGGTTTCGACAAAACTTTGATTGAAAATGTTATTAAAAGTCTTCTGATCCTAAATTTTGATTTGAAGTAAATCTGTATTTGTGATTTGCTTTGATTTTTTCCATTTTACACAAAAGTGAAGCCCAATATTTCTGTCATAATCTCTTTCCAGAATTATTCTCTCGGTGATGGCCAATAAGAATTCTGATATACCAATAGATAACCTGTCACCACAGTTCCAATTTGAAATGATACAGGAAGCGACACAGGCCCTGTGAATCTTATGTTATCTAAAATTCATGAATTTGTTTTCTTACAAGTTAGTTTTAAATCAGTATGGGTGAAACTCATGTCACTTCAAGCAAGTTCAACGAAAGGCGTTATAAAATCATAAATAATTGCTATAAATTTTCAACCTAAAATTCAGAGTTACACCAATTGAAATAAGAAGCTGTAAGCGTACAATTATACAATATTGAAAACTTTTCTTTTTTATTCCATCCTTTCTGTAGTCTGTTTTATTAAATATTTTTTCTATATGGTAATTGCACCATTTACACTAAAATCTATTACAACCATAGCATGGAGTTTTTATTTTGCTTTTATATTTCTTTATTAGAAACGGCTTAATTTAGATCAGGAGGAGAAAAGGAGTCTAATGAAGCAGAATGCTGATATGAAGGTTTTCCCTTAGTTATTTCCCTTTATGTTGGTGCAGGTGCTTGACATTCTCTTCTAAACCTTGTTGAATATTTATTGGCTTAATAGATAAATCAGAGTTAATTGTAGTGATTTGTCGGGTACTTATTCACTCATGGATCTGAAACATTTTGATACAATAATAGCTTTTGTTAAAATAATAATTTGACATATTTTTTCTGTTGTATTTGATCAATGTTATTTGGAGAGTTCTGATTTCAGAAAACTGATGAAAGATAATATCTTTCTTTTATATATTTCAAATCTTCAAAACTTTAACTTATATGACTGGTATCAGAAAATATACAGATATGTAAAAAAAATATGAATATTGTGGTTGTGTGCAAATCAATGCTGTTAGTGTGAAGACTTGACTTTCTTGGTGTAGGGTTGGCTTGGTGTCCCTTACTCGTTATCTCCCCTTGATAATAATTTCTTCTTCTTTGTATACCAGTATCTCTTGTATATGTTGACAGCTGTTCATGGCTAGTTGAAATTCACCTTGCAGCTGCACTCATTACAATACACTTTAAGCCTCAATTGGTTGCCCTAGCAACTTCACAGCGAGAAGGAAGTTTTAAAAACTGTAGTGCTAGATTTGATTTGTAAAAATGACGAGTCAGGTCATGTTATGGAATAAAGTAGGCCAGAAAAATATAATGCTTGTTTTGTACTTCATCCATAGTTATCTTATCTGTCATACAACATCTGTTCATACTAACTGACACTGGGAGGAAGGATATGTAAAACCCTAAATGGCCTGTTTACAGTTGAGATAAAATGCTTTTTGACAGAATCTACCTTTATTGTCATTTATGTATGATGCAGACTCAACCAAGTTTCGGACTCTCTGTTAGTAAAATCTTAATTTGGAATACAATGTTGATAAGAAAACTGTATTTTACTGGCATAGAAGGTAATTTATGTGCTTATGATCAGATGAGAGTGAAGGCTAATATGTTTGGAAAAGACTTAAAAACAATTTGTATTGTATTTTATAGTGTAGAATATAGCTACAGAATTGATATAATATTGTACTGACAAATTAAGATAAATTTAGATTTTCATATAAAAAATGTTCAATTTTTCAATGGTATTTTTCAGATTGTTCCTGTATTTCAAAAAAAAAATAAGATAATGGTGTCATTATTATGATGCATTTAGCAGAATTTTAGTTGTTACAGAAAAAATTGTTGCGAAAACAATGAAAATTTAGGATGTTATACAATGATGATGCTATACTTTTGATGAACGGCATCATATTTGAGATGAATGCAGAGTCACATGAAGTATGTTTGAAACATGTTTATCTCCTTAATAGAAGTATATGAATGCTCTGGAACTTTTGTTGTAGCTGTATATTTCAATCAGGATCAAGCACCTTGTAAATTTAACATGATAAATTCATTTTGACATGCTGCATTTGGGGGGGGGGGAGAGGTGGGGGGCAACTAGAATTTAAAAGTTATAAAAAGGAAATTTGTTATGGTGTTGTTTAAAATATCCCAGAGGTAAAATGCTAAATGTCATTCTAACTTTGGTAGTAATATGTAAGGATGTATTTCACATTTTAGCCCACACACCTGTTCCGTGACTGGTCTTTGATGAATACTTTTCAGAATGCACATACAGTTATTAATCAATGTACAAGTCCACAGAAAAATGACAATTACCATGCTAATCTGCAAATAA